CCAACTGACGCTCTGTGTATGCAGGGAACTGGGGGGGGGGGTGTTCCTACATTTGGGGGTGGGGATTGGCTCTGTTAATGGGTTTGGAGTTTGGTTTCCCAGCTTCTTGATTCATGTGGGATCTCATCTGCCTCTTTGCGGGGGAATGAGGCAATCTGATATTATTATTATTATTATTATTATTATTATTATTATTATTGCTTTTCTATCCCACCTTTTTCTCCCAGGACCTCAGAGTGGCGAACCTAACAGTTTGAAAGCACACCAGTGCAAGTAGATAAATAGATACCACTCCAGTGGGAAGGTAAATGGCGTTTCCGTGCACTCTGGTTTCCATCATGGTGTCCCGTTGCGCCAGAAGGGGTTTAGTCAGGGGTCAGCAGGTCCCACTGTCCCTCAGACCTTGTGGGGGGTCGGACTATATTTTTCTTTGTGGGAGGGAATGAACGAATTCCTATGCCCCACAAACAACCCAGAGATGCATTTTAAATAAAAGCACACATTCTACTCATGTAAAAACAAGCTGATTCCCGGACCATCCATGGGACAGATTTAGAAGGTGACTGGGCTGGATCCGGCCCCTGGGTCTTAGTTTGCCTACCCATGGGTTTAGTCCTGCTGGCCACATGACCCGGAAAGCTGTCTGCGGATAAACGCCGGCTCCCTCGGCCTGAAAGCGAGATGAGCGCCGCAACCCCATAGTCGCTTTTGACTGGACTTCACCATCCAGGGGTCCTTTACCTATTTAATTCCCACAACAACCCTGTGAGGTAGGTCAGGCTGAGAGGCAGTAACCCAGCTTCCAAGGTTCAAGGATGAGGGGGGATTTGAACCCTGGACTCCCAAGTTATAATTCAGCCTGGGGAGATCCCAGGTCAGCTCTGCAGGTCTGCCAACTCCTTTTCCATCAGCAGGGCAAAGCCTTCGGCAACGCTGCCTCCTTGGCAGGACACTGGTAAAGAGCCAGAAGTTGGCAGGACCGGGGGGGGGGAGCTATCCAGCGGCAGGCAAGCCAGATTCGTCATTCTGAAGCCGTCCAGGGAAATACCTAGGCGATTAGCCTCGGATTTCATTCCAGGCCCGTTGTGGGCACTCAAGTCGTTTGCTGAAGCTGCCGCGGTCAGATGTGAACTGTTAGTTTGACTCCAGAGAATGCAGCAATCTCCGTGATGGGAAACGCGCCTGGCCTGATGTTTCAGAGGAAGGAAGCTGCAGATTCACAAGCCTTGCTTCCCGCTACCTGGTCGACTGCAAGCAAACACCAAGTTTGTGACACCCCCGCCCCCAAATATATAGGGCTGGACACAGCTTGGCACATCTTGGGTTGCACAAGCAGGGCGGGATATGCTACCAGACCTCCTCTCTCACTTGTCCCCACCATCCGTACATTCAGAAGTAGTAGTAGTAGTAGTAATAATAATAATAATAATAATAGTAATAATAATAGGTAGTGTGTCTCTGAACATGGGGGTCCTGTTCAGTCGCCATATCTGCTTGCTGTTGACAGAACGGTCCCTCCATGGATTTGCCCTCTGTTTGAAAGCCACCTGAACCAGTGTCAGCGACCATCGCTTCATGTGGCGGTGAGTTCCATAAGCTGACGGTCGTGCATGCCAGAAATGATATTATTGCACTGTTTTCCCTTGCCTTTGGATAATGAAACGTGATATTTCTCGCCTCTGAAGTAGCCTATCAAGAAGCACGTGGTGCAATGCCGCAATTGATTAACACAGAGCTAATAAACAAGAGTTTTATGATCACTTAAGTGTTGAGAGGCATACGGTTTCAGCTTTGTATTCTCTTACTTGTTACTTTGGGCCATATGTGTTGGCTCAACTCTGCTTCTATCCCAAATAATCTTTCCACCTCCAGGGGTCACTCAAACTGCCACCCACTCCCAAACGGAACTGACCCTCCCACGCCGGGATCCTTCGGAAAGGAAAGGAAAACAAAGCTGCCCATATAATAATGCCGTTATACAAATCTGCGGTGCGACCGCATTTGGAGTACTGTGCACAGTTCTGGTCGCCTTGTCTCAAAGAGGAGTTGGAAAAGGGAAACCAAAACGATCAATGGGAAGAAGCGACTCCCCTAATGCAGAAAGGTTGTAGCATTTGGGACTTTCTGGAGAGTAAAGAAGTGACACAATAAAAGGGTCTAAAATTATGCACGGCAAGGAGAAAGTGGATGAAGTTCTTCTCTGTCTCTCCTTGTGCTAGAACTTGTGGGAAACCAATGAATCCGAAAGGTGGATGATTCAGGACAGATAAAATAAAATTCTCCACGCCGCACATAGTGAAACTCAGTCCTGCATGAGGCAGTGATGGCCACTAGCCTAGATGGCTTTTTAAAAAGAGGATTAGACAAATTCATGGAGAAAACTATCGATGGTTAGTAGCCATGATGGCTATTGCTCTACTTTCCACAACCGGAAGCGGCAATGCTTTGGGATACCAATTGCAGCAATAAGAAGATCACTTGATTAGTAAAGGTAAAGGACCCCTGGACAGTTAAGTCCAGTCAAAGGCGACTGTGGGGTGCAGTGCTCATCTCGCTTTCAGGCCGAGGGAGCCGGCGTTTGTCCACAGACAGCTTTCCGGGTTATGTGGCCAGCATGACTAGACTGATTCTGGCAAAATGGGACACCGTGACAGAAACCAGAGCAGCGCAATGCTGTTTACCTTCCCGCTGCAGTGGTACCTATTTATCTACTTGCACTGGTGTGCTTTCGAACTGCTAGGTTGGCAGGAGCTGGGACAGAGCAACGGGAGCTCACCTGGCCACAGGGATTTGAACCTCTGACCTTTTGATCGGCAAGCCTAAGAGGCTCAGTGGTTTAGACCACAGCACCACCCGCGTTTTTAGTGCATGCTGCTGATAACGCCAAGGTTGTCGGTTCGATCTCTGTATGGGATAGCTGCAGATTCCTGCAATGCAGGGGGGGGGGGGCGATTTGGACCAGAAGACCCTTGGGGTCCCTTCCATAGTAATTTATTACTTATAATAATTTATTACTTATACCCCACCCATCTGCCTGGGTTCCCCCAGCTACTCTGGGCGGCTTCCAGCGTAATAGAAGCACTGCAAAACGGCAAACATTAAAAACATCCCAACACATGGCTGCCATCAGAAAGTTGTGCAGCCGTTTACCTGTTTGACATCTGATGGGAGGGCATTCTGAAAAGGAGGGGAGAGGGGTTCTCGTGCTTGGATCCTGCTCACTGGCCTCCCACAGGCATCTGGTTGACCCCTGGGAGAACAAGATGCTATACTGGATGGGTCGAACAAGGCTCTTTTAATGCTCTTATGCTGTCTCCCACCAGCATTCAAACTCCCCTTTCAAGCTCTTGGTCAATCACTTCACTTCCCACATTCCAAGCACGCTCTCTCACCCCCTCCCAACCTAACACACATTTTTTTTTACACCTAGCTATACGTTTACCTTAGGGACGGAGCTGGCGCTGTGGTCTAAACCACAGAGCCTCTTGGGCTTGTCGATCAGAAGGTCTTCGGTTCGAATCCCCGCAACAGGGTGAGCTCCCGTTGCTCGGTCCCTGCTCCTGCCAACCTAGCAGCTCGAAAGCACAATAAAGTGCAAGGAGATAAAGAAGTACCACTCCAGTGGGAAGGTAAACGGTGTTTCCGTGCGCTGCTCTGGTTTCACCAGAAGCGGCTTAGTCATGCTGGCCACATGACCCGGAAGCTGTATGCTGGCTCCCTCGGCAGTAAAGCGAGATGAGCGCCGCAACTCCAGAGTCGTTCATGACTGGACTTAACTGTCAGGGGTCCTTAACCTTTACCTTTATATGTTTACCTTAATTACTCCTCGTGGCATGCAGAAGATGTTACTTACATAGACACCTGGCCATCACACAGCCCAAGCCCAGAAGCCCCGGCGGGTATTGACTCCTCCCTGCCGAACTTCCAGATTTAATCAAGATGTGTTAAAGGGAAGCGTGAAACAAAGGAGCAGAAGGCCGCTGGGTCGACATCCATTTCTACACTGCGGTCCTTTGTACTGAATGGATAACCTGTCCCTGAGACAAAATGACCCAGGCAAAGAAGACCAGACAACAGCGATCTGTCTCTTGCTGTCCATCGGTGTTTAGGAGGGCCATCAATCCGGCCGTCATCGAGTATCTCAGGACCGCTAATTCTCTGGCTCCTAGGTCTTTGTCTACTGGGTCTTCACTTCGTTTGTCTTGGGCTCGTCGCTGCATCACCTCAAGCCTTACAGAAGCGGATAAGGACTTGCGTCCTTGACAGGTCGGCGAGAGATGGGCCAAAAGGCATGTGGTTTAAACGAAGGACAGCTGGTTTATTTATTTATTGCCCAGGTGGATCTCTCGGTTCTTAACTACACCGAAGAGAGAGATAACCAAGTACCTTCTCCCATGAGACCCTAAGGTTCACCCAGTAAGAACCAGAAACCTGTGGCTTTCTGCATGTTGCCAGACTACAGCTCTTGCCACCTGTGACCATTGGCCCTGCTGCCTGGGGCTGATGAGAGCTAGAGACCAGCAGCAACCTGGGACATATAAAAGAAAGCCCTTCTTTGCAGAGCTCAGAGTTGAACTAGGGAACTCATTGCCACAGGAGGCAGCAATGGCCAGCAACCTGGATGGCTTTTAAAGAGGATTAGGCATATTCCCAGAGGAGGAGAGGGCGACTGATGGCTACAGTCATACCTCGGGTTGAAGTACCTTCGGAAATGAATATTTTCGGGTTGTGCTCTGCGGCGACCTGGAAGTAACGGAGCGCGTTACTTCCGGGTTCCGCCGCTTGCGCGTGCGCAGATGCTCAAAATGACGTCATGCGCATGCACGGAAGCGATGAAATGCAACCCGCGCACATGCGTCTTACATTTACTTCAGGATGCGAACGGGGCTCCGGAATGGATCCTGTTCGTATCCAGAGGTACCACTGTAGTAGGCATGTGGCAGTTTCAGATTTATCTCTGTAACCTGGAAAATGTCATCCAGAGATCACCAGGTGCCGTTGTGCAAGCTCAGATCATCTTTAATGAAGGTTAAAAACAGGTGCAAAAGGTTAAAAACAGAAAGGAAAACTGTGTTTTGTTTTTTGAACGAGGCAGAAGCAAATTTACCCCTTGGGTTACATTTTCAAGACCAAGCCATTGTAAAAAAGGAAAGAGAAACCAAAGGAGATGCATAAATAAAGGCAGCGCAACAGGAAAACAGCTATTTTTAATTTTTTTTAAAATGAAACATTATCAGGTCGTTGTTGTGGAGCTGGCTGGCTGCACTGGGAGGTGTTTTGGCAAAACCGCACCCCAGGAAGAGTCCAACAGATACCCCCACTTTTTAGCCGCCCCAAATGAGAGGGGTGCTCACCACACTGGTCCCCACTGGAGAGGCAAAATGGCTTCTAATCAGGACTTCCAAGACATTTTGCTCTCTGCCTAAATCTGAGCTGGGGAACATTTGGCCCTCCAGATGTTGGACTACAGCCCCCATCTGGTCACAGGTTCCCCATCCCTGACCTTAATCAATGGCTGGAGAGGAACAATACCAGCATCCCTTAAGCCAAAGTGACCTTTGTCCTTTTTTGTGGAAGATGCCTGGTAAGAAGTACCAGGGACTGGTCCTTGCCACTGGCAGACTCAAGCATGTGCCTTCTCCTCGGGTTCTTCACTATCAAGGTCCAGCAAGGTCCTTCTGTCCTCTCGGAGTCCCGAGCCACCAGGTTGTCCCTCTTCATATCATGGCTTCCATATGCAAAATCTTCAGGGCTTCCGAGATCTGGGAGCTGGTGTCCATCTGCCCGTACATCCCCACCAGGAAGGCCCTCTGGAGCAAAATGGCAGCATGCTCTGCGAAGAAGGAGAGAGATGGGCGCAGGCAGAGGAGACGAAGGAGGAACAGCAGATTCAGTCAGGAGGCGGGTGGGTTCGCCACAGGAAACGCAGGCTGGCCCAGGACCCTTCCTCATGCCCACCCTCCAAAAAACCCCCAGAAGCAGAGCCGTGCGTTAGGAAGAGAGGACTTACACTAGTGGCCAAAACTGTGGAAACCTTTTGGGGAAAGTGTATTTCTGAGGTTTGATGGCTCATAACACCACTTTCTTTTGGAGTAATACCATGAAATTATATATCGATGGAAAGATAATTTAATGAAGAATGTAATGCAACAAAGTTTGTTCAATTATCTGTATTCTATCAAATGTTATAGCCAAATAAGCAGGAAAAGGAAGCTTAGGTTGATATGCAGCAATGTTTCTGAATACCAGTTGCTGGAAATCACAGGAGGAGAGAGAGCTCTTGGGCTGGGGTCCTGCTTGCTGCAGCCCAGAATGCCGCGGCAAGACTACTTACGGGGTCCTCACCACGGGATCACATTCACCCGGTGCTATACCAATTGCACTGGCTCCCGGTGGGGTACAGGATCAGGTTTAAGGTGCTGGTTTTAACCTTTGAAGCCCTATACAGCCTAGGACCCTCATACCTATGGGACCGCCTCTCCTGGTATGTCCCACGAAGGACCTTACGGTCTTCAAATAAAAACATCTTGGAGGTCCCGGGCCACAGGGAGCTAAGAACGGCCTCAACCAGAGCCAGGGCTTTTTCGGCCGTGGCCCCAATCTGGTGGAACACTCTGTCACCAGAGACTAGGGCCCTGTGGGACTTGACATCTTTCCGCAGGGCCTGCAAGACAGAGCTGTTCCACCAGGCCTTTGACCAAGGCACAGCCTGACCCCCTCTCTCCTTCTCTAATCCTCATAGAATTCTAGCCCAATGGTTAGAATTAATTTGATTCTGAATTGATTTTAGAATGGATTTTGTGGCTTGCCGTTGTTTCATATTATATTTAGTTTATAGTTTAGATTATAGTTTATAAATTATTTATTTTAACTGTTGAGTGGATTTCTGTTTAACTTTTGTGTTATTATTATTATTATTATTATTATTATTATTATTATTATTTAATACTATTCTAATGATTGTTGAATGTTACTTTTTTGATATAGGTTGCCTATTTTAAAGTTATGTTTTATTATCACATTTTTGTATTGCAATAGATTGTTCTAAGATGTACATTTTCAGCTTGTAAACCACCTTGAGTATTGGAAGATAGAAAGATGGTATACAAATTAAAAATTTAAAAAATAATAATTAATTGCTTGTGATTTTATGTAAACTGTGCTATTTTTACTGTTGTTAGCCACTCTGAGCCCTGCTTTGGCTGGGAAGGGCAGGATAAAAAATATATTATTATTATTATTATTATTATTATTATTATTATTATTATTATTATCATAGCTTCCCCTCTCCTACCGCACAACTCAATTGGCAATGTCAGAGAATGAGCTGGGCTGCCACCGTACCGATCAGTATCACCTTGGCCTAACGGGAACGCCTGCCAATATTTTTCCAGGATCAGAGAAAAAGCTTGCCTGCTGACATTTGACCAAAGCGTACACACAGCCCCATCGTGCCACCACTGGGCCGGAGAAGCCCATTTGTCAGAAGAGGATGCAGACTCTGAGAAGCCCAAGCCGAACCCACAGAATCTGAAGGAAAAGTCAACGAGCCGCTCCTCTGAGGCTTCCACACTAAATGCCACCTGTGTTTTCAGAGCAAAGAAAAGTAGCTGGAAAAGTTGGGTTCTGAAGGAGGGTGGAAGGCTGGGAGCTGAAACTGAGCACAGAGGTGGAGGGCTAAAAGGAGGCAAAGCTATTCTGGTGCTGGGCCGGGGCAGGTGGGGTTTAGTAGCAGGACCTATCTTGGAAATAATGGAAAAGAACTATCCCAGTACGTTTCCGAGCACAATTCAAAATGTTGGTGCTGACCTTGAAAGCCCTAAACGGCCTCAAAGGCTCAGTACACCTGAAGGAGTGTCTCCACCCCCATCGTTCTGCCTGGACACTGAGGTCCAGCTCCGAGGGCCTTCTGGTGGTTCCCTCGCTGCAAAAAGCGAAGTTACAGGGAACCAGGCAGAGGGCTTTCTCAGTGGTGGCGCCTGCCCTGTGGAACGCCCTCCCATCAGATGTCAAGGAGATAAACAACTATCTGACTTTTAGAAGACATCTGAAGGCAGTCCTGTTTAGGGAGGTTTTTAATGTCTGATGTTTTATTGTGCTTTTAATTCTGTTGGGAAATCCAGCCAGATGGGCAGGGTGTAAGTACAGTGGTACCTTGGGTTAAGAACTGAATTCGTTCCGGCGGTCCGTTCTTAACCTGAAACTGTTCTTAACCCGAGGTACCACTTTAGCTAATGGGGCCTCCTGCTGCCACTGCGCGATTTCTGTTCTCATCCTGAAGCAAAGTTCTTAACCCGAGGTACTATTTCTGGGTTAGCAGAGTCTGTAACCTGAAGTGTCTGTAACCTGAAGTGTCTGTAACTCAAGGTACCACTGTACATTAGAATCGTCAGTTGAACTGACCCAAGCAGGATGATTAAGGTCTGTGTGGAGATAAACTTTAACCAAAGGTATGCTTTATGGAGATCGAGAAGCAATAAGAGCTTTTGGAATGGTGCAGCAATTAATTCGGAGTCGCCATCTTGCCAAAGGATTTATACCCGGGAGGAGGAACGGACTTGTTTTCAGACTGCATTCCTAGTGAATCTCCTCAGAGGTTTTGAGAAAGGAGGCAGATTGGTGAAGATTAATGACGCTAAGACTGTTTTGATGTATGGAAGTGATGTTATATGGAAAACGTCTGGATATGGCTACTGGATAAAAAAAATAATATCCACGCAGGATTACAAACTGTTCTAACCAGCTTGTGGAGACTATCAGAGGTCACAAAGAGAAAGGAAAAATATATTAAAATAACAACAAGAGATGTGGAAAAACAATAAGAAAGGACTGGATAGTACTGTGAACATCATAAGGTTAGATTTGTGGACATTAAAACAGCAGTAAGAAGCAAGAAGTTGATTGGATCCCCTTCGGAACTTGAAATATGGGTACCCCCAACAAAAATTTAACATTCGGCTGTGTAATTTGGAATTTATGTAATTTGGTTTGATTTGATGTGATTGGTCGGTTAATAAAAAATTATTCTTAAAAAAAAACCTCAGGGTACCACTGTAATACATCATCATCATCATCATCATCATTATCCATGTTGGCAACCATCGGTCTTGAGAGTCAATGGAATGTGCCTCCAGAGGTGAAGCTAAATAGCTGTGTTAGTAGCACCTAAATGACCTGGGCAGTGTGTATGGAAGTCCTGGGCTGCCCAGACAACAAGCCTACCCCCTCATCCTCCAAGGAGCACGAAGAAGCTAGCTATGGTTCTCCTCTCCTGTTTGATCCTCACAACAAACCTGTGAGGTAGGCTAGGCTAAGACCCAGTGACTGGCCTAAGGCCGCCCAGGAAGTGTGATGGCTGAGTGGCGATTTGAACTCGCATCTCCCCAGTCCAAGACTCTAACCGCTGCTCCACACTGCCTCTCTCCTTGAAGGTCAAGGGCTCTTTACCCCTTCCCTAGCTGTGCTTCTGTTATATCGGAGGAGCCAGCCTTACACAAATGCAAACCTCTCCCCCCTTCCCCATGGCATTTTCTGAGTGCTCAGAGTCTCTCGCTCGCTTACACTGAGCTCTGCAGTTCTTACAACCACCTTGCAAAGCACGGTGGAAGCATCAGGAAAAGCAACTGCCTGCTCTTACCTTGGCAAAGGAGGGTGTACTCAGGCAGGTTTCTCAGAGCTGTCTGAACAACCTCAAAGTCACGGCTGCCAAGGCAGTACATGAACGTGGGGAGGAAGTCGGCCGCAATGCTGGAAAGTGGAAAGGAGAGAGAGGATTTCGGTGAGTCGAGAATACCAGGAAAGCCAGGCTGCTGTATCAGGCCACAGGCCCATTTAGTTCAGTGTCCTGTTTGCACAGAAGGCAGGAATATGGAAAGCCCCCAAGTGGGACATGAGGGCAAAAGCGCTCTCCCATTGTTGTTCCCTCGCATTTGGTATTTGGAGGTAGACTGCAGTTGTGCAGGGAGGTTCTGCGCAGCCATCATGAAGAACAGCCTACTCCTCCCACCACAAATGTGTTGAATCCCCTGTTAGTGGCTGTCGCGACAGCTTGTGGAATTGAGCTTTATCTGTATTTAAAAGCATGCCTGAACTGCTTAGTATTTTTAAGAATATCTAAGCGGCAAGGGTGGCACTGTGGTTTAAACCACAGAGCCTAGGGCTTGCCGATCAGAAGGTCCACGGTTCGAATCCCCGTGACGGGGTGAGCTCCCGTTGCTCAGTCCCTGCTCCTGCCAACCTAGCAGTTCGAAAGCACATCAAAGTGCAAGTAGATAAATAGGTACCGCTCCTGCGGGAAGGTAAACGGCGTTTCCGTGCGCTGCTCTGGTTCGCCAGAAGCGGCTTAGTCCTGCTGGCCACATGACCCGGAAGCTGTACGCCGACTCCCTTGGCCATAAAGCGAGATGAGCACCGCAACCCCAGAGTCAGTCACAACTGGACCTAATGGTCAGGGGTCCCCTTTACCTTTCAGCGGAATGCAAAGATGCAACATGAAAACAGGAGGGGAGAGTGCTCTTGTGGACTAGATGGGCCACGGGCCTGATCCTGCCAGGGCTCTTCTTGTGTTCTTACACTACAGTTGTTCAGCTTTGCAGCTGGCCTATACCCAAACCCAGCACCGCCTCCTGTTTCTTGCAGATTTACAACCAAGTCATGCGGTTCCTGAGATCTACAGCCACCCATTCCTTGTTGGACAGCGTTGCCCTGGAACTGATTCTGTTTCAAACTGAGTGATCTTCGTCATCTGTCTCAGAAACAGCCTGGAATTCGTTCCCCCTCCCTGGGATTTTCAAGGGCTGCCCTCTATGAGCAAAGCGGCTTGAGTCAAACTCCCTGTGTCGGTTCCTAGGCCCCATCAGCCCCCCTGCCCTCCATGCAGGGTCTGCCCATCCGCACCTGGGGTTGTTCTGTATCGAGCGCAGCGCGAGGGAGAAGGCGAGATTCCGGCAGGTTTCCTCGGGAGAGCTCATCAGTCTTTGCAGGTGAGTCTGAGCGGTGGAAGAGAGAAAGGACGATGGAGGGCAATGCCAGTAACAATAGTTACAGAACCCCTACTAATAGCCAAGTACTGGAAGGGTGACCATATACCAACCAGAGAAGAATGGCTACAGAAGCTAAGCAAGTACTTGGAACTCACTAAGTGGACTGAAGCCTTAAGGAACAAGTCCAATAAAATAGTCCAGAAGGAATGGGAATGCCTAAATATCTACCTATCGAGTCAAGGTTCAAGATTTGGTTGTGTTTCGAATAAACCCGTAAGTAGGAAAATGTCTCCTTATACCAAGATAAGGAATATATTGAAATACAGAGAAATTGCTTTAGTTATAAGAAATGAACCAGCGTGAGGTCGACAGAAGTCAAAAAACCAAAAGTATAATAAAAAGAGATTCACCCCAGAAGGGTCAGCATCTCAGTAGAGAAATAACATTCTGAGCTGTCTATTATAGTTACCTTGTATTATATTTATGTTCTTACTTTTTGCGTTTGCTCTGTTTTCTTTTTTTGTATTTTTTCCCTTTTTTCTGTTTCTTTACTTTTCTTTTTTGTATTCAATTGAAATGTTTTTATACCTTGTTTTGTTTGTATAACAATTCAATAATAATAGTAATAAAAAATAAAAAATTTAAAAAAACCAATAGTTACAGAACCCCTTCAGTGGTTCAGAGTAAGAGAAAGCAACTTCCAGGGTGGGCTTTTCCATAGGAGAGAGGTGGGCATTCCAGCTCAGCACTCTCTTCCCCTCCTGCAACCCCAAAGAAGCCAAAGAACTTGGCTCCAGAAGTGCTCCCTTTTGGCAAGTCTTTGGAGTGTCTACAGTGGCTGGCAGAAGCCATGGGGAAAACTGGCACTGTCAGGGCCGGCTTCTGCCCAGAAACAGAGCAGGAAGAGGTGGAGCCTACTGTTAGCCCCAGGGCATGCTGGGATGAAAGGGAGCCAAGGTACCCCAAGGGATACCCTGAAACTCATACCCAGGTCAACCTGCCCACACATCGAGATCAACATTGGAGCCTCCCTGCCCCTGCCATTTGTCTGCCACCTAGGTTACGGATTGCTTGCGGAGCACTGACTTCCATTTTCGCAAACGCTTCCTAACCGCTTGCATGGAATTCTTACTCGCCACAGGCGATTAGGCTGCTTAGGAGTCTGGCCAAAGTCAGGGGTCAGCAAACTTTTTCAGCAGGGGGCAGGTCCACTGTCCCTCAGACTTTGTGGGGGGCCGGACTATATTTTGGAAAAAGGAAAAGAAATGAACCAATTCCTATGCCCCACAAATAACCCAGAGATGCGTTTTAAATAAAAGGTCACATTCTACTCATGTAAAAACACACTGATTCCCAGACCATCCGCAGGCCGGATTGAGAAGGCGAATGGGCAGGATCCGGCCCACAGGCCTTAGTTTGCCTACCCATGGCCAAAGTGGTTGGCGACACAGGCTCTGTCAACCCTTTTTCCGAAAGGGTGGGGAAATGAACATCCCACCGAAGGGGACCAGGGCAGAGCAAGAGACACACAAAGCAGACAACTGAACGAGGATGGGGGCAACATACGGAAAAGAAGGCAAGGATTTCCGGTCTTCGCCTGGACATCTCGTCGATATCGGTCAGCACCTCCAGGATATCTGGGAAGCAGGGCAAAACAAAGAGACTGGGGTGAGCAATCTGGTGTCCCTACCCCTAAGAAGAGGGGGAGGAAGGAGATGACAGCCTCTCAAGCGAACGCAATCTGCTTTATAACAGCTCTTCATAATCAAACTTATCCCTTATACACAAAGTCGATTGCTGCCGTCTGCAAGATAGTCTCTTCTGCAAGTTCCAAAGGTCTCAGAAACTCTCTCTGCAGTAAGTTGGAGCAGGGCTTTTAGTGTGGTGGCCCCTGTTCTGTGGAACAGCATCGCTATCAATATACCACAGGCGCCCCCTGTTTGCACTTTCTGGAACAGCTGGAGACATTTTAGTTCCAACAGGCTTGCTTGGCTGGATAAATGGGACTCGACTGCGAGTGTCCACTTGTTAGGCTTTTGGTTGTGTTTTAAATATATTTCCTGTTTTTTGTGTGTTTAACTGTTTTTAATTATTTTATGTGTAAATCACCTTGAGATGGCAGTTTAAAAGTAAAGGTAAAGGGACCCCTGACCATTAGGTCCAGTCGTGGCTGACTCTGGGGTTGCGGTGCTCATCTCGCTTTATTGGCAGAGGGAGCCGGCGTACAGCTTGCGGGTCTTGTGGCCAGCATGACTAAGCCGCTTCTGGCGAACCAGAGCAGCGCACAGAAACACCGTTTACCTTCCCGCCGGAGCAGTACCTATTTATCTACTTGCACTTTGAGGTGCTTTCGAACTGCTAGGTTGGCAGGAGCAGGGACCGAGCAACGGGAGCTCACCCCGTCGCGGGGATTCGAACCGCCGACCCTCTGATCGGCAAGCCCTAGGCTCTGTGGTTTAACCCACAGCGCCATCCGCGTCCCTGATTTGCTTGTTAACCATGGCTAAATGAGCTACATACATAACTTTAAAAAGCTGTTATTTTTTGTGTTCCCTTTCTTGGTCTTTCCACAAGCTCTAGGCTCTGTGGTTTAACCCACAGTTTAGGAGGCGATTAATAAATTAATTGAAATAAATAAATAAATAAATAAACAACAACAACAACATAGCTGTTCCAAGCACTCCAGGCACACCGTTTTGTTGTAATTCTTGCAACAATTTTCCAAGTCAGTTCAGTATCATTATTCCCCCCCCCCATAGTACAGATGGGGAGACAGATGCTGAGAAAAACGAAACAGTGGCTTGCCTAAGGCCACCCATGGAGTTCACAGCAGAGGCGAGGATTTAGCCAGTAGTTTACTGGTTCACAGGCTATTACACCAAGAGTTGGGATGTAATGTAGTAGCGTTAGACCGATTCACAGGTCGCCTGTGGCTTCTGTAGGGAACTGCTTCCCATTGAGGGGCCCCCTATAGCAAGGAGCACCACGTGAATATCCTAAGGGAGCCTGAGGGCCCTGCTCTGCCTCTCTCCACCTGGCCTGGGGCAGGGCCTGACAGGCTCCATAAAGGACTGCTGTTGCTCAGCAGAGAGGGCTCCCTTTCAAAATTGTTTTTATTTTTTATCTACGTCATTTTAAATTGTTATTGATATTAACGTTGTATTTTTAGTTTTAGATTTTATGACAATAGAAACAGTATCATGAGAATGAAGGAAGTTTTATGCAGAAATTTGTATTTGATAGATATGATTTTCTATAAATTTTTGGTTCTTTTTCTTGTTTTTCTTTTCTTTGTTGTCTTTTCCAAGTTTTTCTTTTATGTCTTGATGTTTTCTTTTTTTGTATTTAACTCCTCTATACTTACCTTCGTTGTACGTTTGTATTTTAAACCAATAAAGATTTACCATGGGGGGAAAATGGAAATTGTTTTCCATTTGGTTGTGTACCATTTGATGTGTTTTCTTTATTGTTTATGACTTTTGTTATGTTGGCAATTATGGGAATCTTGTCACGTTGTAAGCTGCCTTGGGCATTGTTTTAACTATGGAAAGGAGGCATACAAATAAAATGATGATGATGATGATGAATGCCCCCTGCCATTGAACATTGCCCCCCGCTTCTGCAACATTTGGGTACCTGCACTGTGCAAGCGTTAGATCAGTGTTTTCAAAATGCATTATCATTTTCAGAAGCACATTCACCATGAGGAATACCCTGTCTGAAACCCTGGGCAGAGCTGCTGCCCAGTCAATGCAGACCATATTGGCCTTGACTTACCCTCCACAGCCTGACCTCTGGAGAGTCGCTTCATGTACGGGGCCATTTCAGCTGGAGTGAGAGGAGTAAAGAGAGAGACACTGACAAGGGGCAAGGAACTTGCGCCGGGGACTTCATCTGAAGATGCACAGAAGAGAGAGGGAGAGGGTTTTGTTAGTGCTCTGTTAGGTGCACAGATCTCAGAGTCCAGAAGTAGCAGTAGTAGTAGTAGTAGTAGTAGTAGTAGTAATAATAATAATAATAATAATAATAATTTATTCATACCCCACCCATCTGGCTGGGTTGTCCCAGCCACTGTGGGAGGCTTCCAACACACATAAAAAAAAATAAAAAAAATAAAGCACTAATAGTAACAACCAGATCCTAAATAAAAAGTCAACATAACTTTAAAATAAGCAACTTATATCAAATAAAGCAATATATGTATTCAATAATCCATTAGAACCCAACAGTAAACATCAGCAAATAATAATCTAGCAGTTTACACTTATCAATTACAATATTTACTAATCTATAATCAATAAAACAACTGCAAATCTCAATGCATAAAATACCAGAAAATGTACAAAACCATGTAAAAGGATCAAACTGAGAAACAAGGACACACAACTTATAAAATTATTTTTAAAAACTACCCCTGAACTCCTGGGACCTGCCTATTGTTTACAACTGGATTCTTTTTATGATTGCATGTTTTGTAATGATGTTTTAAACGTTGTAAAGGTAAAAGTAAAGGGACCCCTGACCGTTAGGTCCAGTCGTGGCCGACTCTGGGGTTGCGGCGCTCATCTCGCTTTACTGGCCGAGGGAGCCGGCGTACAGCTTCCGGGTCATGTGGCCAGCATGACTAAGCCACTTCTGGCGAACCAGAGCAGTGCACGGAAACGCCGTTTACCTTCCCGCCGGAGCGGTACCTACTTATCTGCTTGCACTTTGAGGTGCTTTCGAACTGCTAGGTGGGCAGGAGCAGGGACGGAGCAACGGGAGCTCACCCTGTTGTGGGGATTCGAACCGCCGACCTTCTGATTGGCAAGCCCTAGGCTCAGTGGTTTAACCCACAGTGCCACCCTTTAAACGTTGTAAGCTACCTCAAATCCCAGCTTGGGAGAAGGGCGAGTTATAAATACATGAAATAAGTTTAAACAAACAAATGTGAGAGGTGAAACTCAAATGGAAAGCCCAAGACTCACCGTCCTTTTCCTCGTCAGCCCCTCGGTCCGCGGCGCCGTTCTTGCTGGGCAGGCTCAGGCCGGCCAGGAGAGACTTCAGCATCGCCAGGTCGCTGTTGTCCGACGAGAGGTCACTGCGGGGAAGGAGAGCAATGGCCGCGGGTGTGTTCACATCGCTTCTGGGCTACCCCATCTCCCTCCTCTGAGCCCCCAACCGCCCCACATCCTGGACAAACCCAGAGCGAGAGACTTACTGAAGGGGGTCCGAATGTTTCTGCAGGAAGGCGACAGCTGCCTGGGCGTTGGAAGTTATGTACTTGTGGATGAACTGCACAAACTTGGAGATGAAGGCGGCCAAGTGGCGCGAAGACTTCCGGTAGCTCTGAAGCAAAGCAAAGGCAACTGGGGATGAGATTTTCTTTTCTTTTCTTATTGACTTAAGAAAATTATACAGACAACAAAACGAAGAAGCCTAAATTAACATTGCCTTCTACCGATAAGAAATAATAACCATTACAATAATGAAAATACTAAAAATACATTTACTTCCCCTTTTTTAACTTCTATTCTGGTTACGATATATTACTATTCTATAAGAATCTATTATATCCTTTGCTGTCCCATATATTATTTTATTTCCCAAATTCAAGCTAACCCTCCCCTCCTCCCCACTGCTTCCCTTCACCTGTGTAAGATCTTCTCATCATAGTATTTTTTTCCTAGTTGCCTTAACAAAATAGAATAACATGAAAACTGTTAAATAATAATAATAATAATAATAATAATAATAATAATAATAATAATAATTTATTTGTACCCCGCCCATCTGGCTGGGTTTCCCCAGCCACTCTGGGCGGCTTCCATAGAAACAAAAAATACAGTAAAATATCACAGATTAAAAGCTTCCCTGAACAGGGCTGCTTTAAGATGTCTTCTAAATGTCAGGTAGTTGTTTATTGCTTTGACATCTGATGGGAGGGCGTTCCACAGGGCGGGCGCCACTACCGAGAAGGCCCTCTGCCTGGTTCCCTGTAGCTTTGCTTCTCTTTTGTCCTTACACGCTTAATAATTGCCTATTAAGAGTTCTGCTTTAACACCATATTTCTTCATGTATTCCCCTATGCATCGTAACTTGCCATTCTGTCATTTGTGGTACTTTGTCTGTTTTCCAATATTTTGCCATAAGTATGGGGACGAGATTTTGGAAGCAGCCTGGAGGCTCATCCTTCTCCCGTAACCCAGGGTGTTCTAAGGGCTGGTTCACACAGGCGGAGTCGATGGGAAGAAGAACCTTGACTTCTGCTATCAAGCCAGGGAACCCAGGGCCACTGCAAGGCGGCCTCTCAGGAAAAACATTAAGACAATGGGGAGACCGGTCTAGTCCCACCCTGGCCATTCCAACTTCTGGTTGCCCCAGGGAGTCTGGCCTCATCCACTTGCTGAAGGAACGAGAGCCACCCATTACCATTCAAGCAACACCACCAGCGAAGGAACATCAGCTTGGCCTTAGCTGGATATAAATGCTCTCCAAGATCTCACTTTGAAGAACTTGGTGAACGAGCTTGTTTTCTTCTGCTCCAGTTACAAGAAAGGAGAGTCCAACATCAGCAAGAAACATTCAACAGTGCAATGGGATCTCCCTCCCTGAAGGTTTGATTGTTTTTTTCAAAATCATTTTTATTTGATTTTGCAAATGTAAATTAGATACAATACCAAATACATATCCATCAAACAGGCACAGGCAAACTCTGCCCTCCAGATGTTTTGGGACTACAACTCCCATCATCCCTAGCTAACAGGTTTCCCTAGCCACTCTGGGCAGCTTTCAACAGAATATCAAAAATCCAATAAAATGTCAAACATTGAAAACTTCCCTAAACAGAGCTGCCTTCAGATGTCTTCTTAAAGTCAGATAGTTGTTTATTTCCTTGACATCTGATGGGAGGGCGTTCCACAGGGCGGGCGCCACCACCGAGAAGGCCATTATTATTATCATTATTATTATAGTGGACGCTCGGGTTGTGAACGTGATCCATGCGGGATGCACATTCTCAACCCATAGCGTTCGCAACCCGCGTCTGCGCACGTGCAGGTTGCAATTTGGTGCTTCTGCGCATGTGCAAAGCATGATTTAGTACTTCTGCACATGCGTGACTCCTGAAACCCGGAAGTAACACGTCCCGGTACTTCCAGGTTTCAGCAGTCCTCAACCCGAAAAAACACAACCTGAAGCGGATGCAACCTGAGGTATGACTGTATTAGGAAGGGCCTGGGTGGAATCTCAAGGGCCAGGTAGAAAGGCCTGGGGGGCCACATCTCACCGCTGGGCCCGAGGTTCCCCAAACCCCTGAAACAAAGAAATAACAGCAGAAAGCAAAGCTGACCTTGCAAGCCTAGAGCCTGCTCACCCCAGGAGCTTTGTGTCCACGTTGCATGGCTGCATCTCCCCCCACGCAAGGCCACAAGATTGCAGGGCCCCCAGCTTTTTGGCAACCCCCCTGCCCCCGCCAGAGTGTGGCTCCCCTCTCTGCCCCCAAAGCCTCTCCTACCAGAAGCAAGCGGATGAAGGAGAGGAGGCAGTCCCACAGCGCCTCCTGGTGTTCGCTCTGGAAGACCTGCGGCTGCAGGAGCTCCAGGATGCCCAAGACGTGGAGGAAGAAGGTGAGGTGGTTCTGTTGGCGGAACTCCTGGAAGTTGAGGTGGACCCGTCCGTGAAGCAAGGCCGCGATCATCGGCAGGTGCCTGGGGACAGAGGGAGGAGAGAGGCCGCCTTAGGACGTTTATGCAGCAGGCAGCAAGAACTTACTCTTTGATCCCTTTTCCTGAAGGAGTTTTGGATTTGGGCTTCCCATCCTTTAGCCTGTCTCAAGAGACAATGGAGTACAGTGGTACTTCGGGTTACATATGCTTCAGGTTACATACACCTCAGGTTACAGACTCCGCTAACCCAGAAATAATGCTTCAGGGTAAGAACTTTGCTTCAGGAAGAGAACGGAAATCGTGTGGCGGTGGTGCAGTGGCAGCAGGAAGCCCCATTAGCTAAAGTGGTGCTTCAGGTTAAGAACAGTTTCAGGTTAAGAATGGACCTCCAGAACGAATTAAGTACTTAACCCGAGGTACCACTGAACACCTTCTCAGGCGTTTGTAGCACCAAAGCTGAAGTGAAGGACACGAGGCAGGAGTTGATAATGCAGGTGAGCTGCAAGCAAGCTGCCGGCCAGCTCTGTGGAGCCTCCTTTTATTGACACAATATGCAAACTCAGGCAGGTACATTTTGGGCTGTGACCTTTACACATCTTCCAGTCCCGAGATCGTGGGGTGGTACTTTGGCACCTGTTTCCACCGCGTCATTTTCCCCTTGCACAATGTATGCCGAAGGAGACAAAGGTCTCAGACAGGACACCGCAGACTACTGAGACCGCAAAAGGTTAGACAGAGGGCAAGATGTTCAGACAGCTGTGGCCTTATCTGTGAGGGTGAGTATGCCCTGCACCCCAAGGTCACGCGTGCAGGCAGCTGAGGCTGCCCGCGGGCAGGGAGTGTGCTCCACACTTAGTGATCATTCCTACAAGAGTGAGCCCCCTTGGGGGAAAGCCTGGGCAATGTCCAAGGGGGTCCTGGGCTGCCCGGATAACAAGATCCCCCTCTTGGCCTCGCTGATGGGGTCCAAAGGAAAGCAGAGCAAGACGTTTGGCACCAGCTGGGCTGCAGGAGTTGCCGGAAGGAGGCTTACAAGGCGCCCCTCAACCGCCTTAGGGACTCACTCCAGATTTGTGCAGGGTTTACTCCTTAGCACTGTCTTCCCACAAGGAAGTGGAGGTTTAGGGTCAGAGTTTTTCCTCTCCTAGATGGGCTCCCTTCCCAGGCGGACCAGCCCCATCTGCCTCTCACTTCCCTCCTCAATGCTTGCAGAAACCGCCTTCTTGACCCACTCTTGGTCTCGCCTGCTCTCGTTTATATGGCTGGAGCGCACTCCCTACAAGGTGGGTGCTCTGCTGCTGAGCTGCCGCCTATAAACAAAGCAAGTTTCCAGTCCTCACCGTTCAGACTAAAGGGCTGATCTAAATAGGAATCTGCCTTAGACCTTGAGTCAAACCTTTAGCATGCCTAACTCTGTGATGTCCGCTGGATTGGCAGCAGCTCTCCAGGATTTCAGATGGTGATCTTAATTCCTCCCCTGCCTGAAGGTGCTGAGGACTGAATCGGGGACCTTCTCGCATGCAAAGAGGTGTTCTGCCACAGAGCTACACTGCTTCCCCCTAAGGGCTTTGCTGTCCATGAAGGATGATTGTGGTTTGGAGTGGAGAAAGCTCACATTTTGGCACCTGGGGGGGGGTGTATAATCAGGGCTGCGCCTCTAACTCACGGACCAGCAGAACTGATGTGCGGGGAAGAAGCCTCCCTGGGTGTCAGCGCATGACAGCGGGAGGGACATGGTGGCTTGTAGAGCTGACGCGTGGGGAAGAAGCCTCTCTGGGTGTCAGCGCATGCTGGCCAGAGGGACATCGTGGCTTGGAGAGCTGATGTGCAGGGAAGAAGCCTCCTTGGGTGTCCGTGCATGCCGGTTGGAGGGACATGGTGGCTTGCAGAGCTGGCATGCAGGGAAGAAGCCTTCCTGGGTGTCAGCGCATGCCAGCTGGAGGGACATGGTGGCTTGCAGAGCTGATGTGCGGGGAAGAAGCCTCCCTGGGTGTCAGTGTACACCAGCTGGAGGGACATGGTGTCTTGCAGAGCTGACATACGGGGAAGAAGCCTCTCTGGGTGTCAGCGCATGCCGGCTGGAGAGACATGGTGGCTTGCAGAGCTGATACGCGGGGAAGAAGCCTCCCTGGGTGTCAGCTCATGCCTGCCAGAAGGACACTGTGGCTTGCAGAGCTGATGCGTGGGGAAGAAGCCTCCCTGGGTGTCAGCACATGCCAGCTGGAGGGACATGGTGTCTTGCAGAGCAGATGAGCGGGGAAGAAGCCTCCCTGGGTGTCAGCACACGCTGGCTGGAGGGACATTGTGGCTTGTAGAGCTGATACACGGGGAAGAAGGCTCCCTGGGTGTCAGCGTACACCAGCTGGAGGGACATGGTTTCCTGCAGAGCTGACATGCAGGGAGGCCTCTTTGGCCTCATGGGACCTCTTTGGGCTCTGGGATGGGTCTCCTCTTTGAGCCACTAGGGCACTCCAGGCTGCTCCCCGTTATACGTGATTTTGCGTACGTGCGCAGAGGCCCGGAATGGAACCCCCGTGAAAATGGAGAGTCGCCTGTACTACTACTACAAAGGTCTGTTCCCGATGAGTTCCTGTACCTTTTTCTTCCCTAGAAAAAAAAAGCACTGGGTATAAAGATAATGTAAAAGTTCCTGAAGCAACGCAGGCTGAGCAGAACCTGAGGAGGAGGATGGGGTGGGCCACGGCCAGCTTCCGACACGCCATGTTGGCATCCCACAGGCGGCTCCCGCTCGTCTTGGAATCGCTGGAGTCGGCAAGGAGGGTGATGAAGCGGTGGACCAGGGCGTCGAGCTGCAGGGAGAGAGAGAGAAGAGTGAAGAAGAAGAAGAAGAAGAAGAAGAAGAAGAAGAGGAGTTTGGATTTGATATCCCGCTTTATCACTACCCGAAGGAGTCTCAAAGCGGCTAACATTCTCCTTTCCCTTCCTCCCCCACAACAAACACTCTGTGAGGTGAGTGGGGCTGAGAGACTTCAAAGAAGTGTGACTGGCCCAAGGTCACCCAGCAGCTGCATGTGGAGGAGTGGGGACGCGAACCCGGTTCCCCAGATTGCGAGACTACAGCTCTTAACCACTACACCACAGTGGCATCGGCCAGGCACTCAAACACTTCCTGAAATGGACTGAATGTGCTAAAACTACCTTTTCCAACCTCCCAACTTGCAAAGAGACTTCCAGTCTCCCCAAGAGGAGGTGGTCAATGGCAGGTTTCTGGATCGTTTCCTTAGGGTTGATGATGGAACACAAGGGAAGAAAGGTTTGAGACCGCAACCCATTTCCAAAGACTCTCTCGATTCACATTGGACTGGGTGAAAGTTACTGGGTGCTTTTTATTTTATTTTTTTTGGGAGGGGGACAATCAGAGCACAGGTCACATTTGGAAGGTCAAGCGTTTGACACCCTTTTCTGGGGGGGTGGGGTGGAGATGGTGGTCACCACCCAGCGGGCAGGCAAATGAATGATTTAGTGGAAATCACGACTAGGATTTCTCAAACTCGTTGCCGGAGGGAAGCTTTCCTGGGCTTGTGAACTGTGTAGCTGGCGGGTGCCTGTCCCGGAATGGCTCGAGGAAAATGGAGGGGCCAGGCTTTTTCTCAACACTTTTCCTCTCCCCCTGCCCTTACTTTGCAGGTGCTGCTGTCGGTGGCCCCTTCGGTGGAAAGCAGGGTCTCGGGGACTGGCACCAGGAGCTCAGGCAGCTGAAGATAGATTTGCAGGAGAAGATCCTGGCAATGTTTTCCCATTGAGCTGAAACAGAAAAAAAGAGACAGGAGATTACTGAGCCATCCAGGAAGGGTTTCCAAGTCTACCAAATGTATCTGCTTCATAGACCCAGCTTCACCTTCACTGGGCAATGCCAACCCAACAGCTTCACCGGAATAAGCTATTTCAAAATGCAAGCTGCTAGTTCTCAGGGATACCAGATAAATCCCTGCAAACACGTGGAGAGTAAAGAAACGGAAACAAACAGTGCATGTTTCTCCCAGAGGGACTTTTTGAGGTATCCAAGGATTTATGAGCATTTTCCTCCAATCTTGAGCCCCCTAAGGTCCCGGGGGAGGGGTATAACAACTAAAGCACAACATAAAACAACTTAAGATCAGAGAAATAAGGAGGGTCCTTAAAAATATATACATCAAAAAAATGCGTCTTCAGCATTTGCCAAAAGCTGTCCCATACAATTAGATCTTATGCAGGGGATTCCGTTCCAAGGGTTCCATGTAGACACAGAAATGTGTATGCTCGAGCATGCGTAGCTTCCCAGAGCCAGGAAACCCAGCACGAAAATAGCTTTTGAGCTCTCTGCATGGCTTAGTGGGCAAGGCCCGCTCAGCGCACCGGTCTGGGATACTCTTGTGAGATCTTGCAGGGATGTCCAAGTTCCTTTCAGATCTTGCAGAACCATCTCCAGGCTTCCAGAGCCAGCGTGGCAAGAGGTCCTTGCCTGGCAAGCAATGCAGAGAGCTCAAAAGCTCTTTTTGTGCTGGGAAAACCTCTCGTGTGTTTAATTTGTCCATTTTCACCCGCTTTAAATGTGTGCAAGTTGCACCCCTTCGTGGATCACTGCCTTGTCGTGGCGAAGGGGCTTGAATAACTCCAAGAAGCTGTGAGCTATGCCGTGCAGGGACACCCAAGATGGACAGGTCATAGCCGAGAGTATAGACTAAATGTGATCCACCTGGAGAAGGAACAAGTAATCCACTCCAGTATTTTGCCAAGAAAACTCCATGGACATAAAAAAGGAGAAGCTTTGAGAAGAAAGTGAGAGTTTCCAAGCCATGCTCTGGTTCATGGGGTCGTGGAGAGTTGAACACGACTAAGATGACTAAACAACAAACAACAACAACAAAGATGCACCCGTCTTGCATGGCGAAGTGTGTCTTTTCCCGAGCGAGGCCTCACCTGTTCCCCCACTGCTGGATACAGGCTGTCAAGTACTCGGCGACTTTCTTGATGCTTTCGACATCTCCGTGGCAGCAGCTGAGCAGGAGCGGCAGGCGGGACTGGGTGACGGAAAAGGAGGCCTCTCCAGAGCGCTGGCTCCTGGTTTCCGATTCAGCCAGGATCAGCTCCACCAAGCTGATCAGTTCAGGGGCCTCAAGACGCAGAACAAACTCCTCCCGCCGTTTCTGCGATGCAATTTGGAGACGGATGTGAACAAAGGCAATCCAGGACTTTGCATTCCCAACACAAATAGGTATCTCAGAAGAGCAACAGCCATCTGTTTGAGATTGCTCCTGATTCGGGTTTCCTGCAACTAGCGGGCTGGGGAGGTGGTCTAAAGTAAAAAGGTAAAGGACCCCTGGACGGTTATGTCCAGTCAAAGGCGGCTATGGGGTTGCAGCGCTCATCTCGCTTTCAGGTCAAGGGAGCCGGCGTTTGTCCACAGACAGTTTTCCGGGTCATGTGGCCAGCAGGACTAAACCGCTTCTGGTGCAACGGGACATCGTGACGGAAGCCAGGGTGCATGGAAATGCCGTTCACCTTCCCACCGGAGCGGTACCTATTTATCTACTTGCACTGATGTGCTTTCAAATTGCTAGGTTGGCAGAAGCTGGGACACAGCAACAGGAGCTCACCCTGTCACGGGAATTTGAACCGCCGACCTTCTGATTGGCAGGCCCAAGTGGCTCAGTGGTTTAGACCACAGCGCCACCCGCATTCCTGTGGAGGTGGTCTACAATGGGGGTAGCCAATGTGGTGCCCTCCAGCAGTTGTCATAGACTCCAGCAGCATCAACCCAGCCATTAGACAGGCTGGTTGGGAGTTGCACTCCAACATCTAAGATCTGTAAGAGCTGTTTGACGGTGGAACAACAGTGGAATCATATATAATTGAAAAGTCAGAAAGCTGTCCAAGGGTCCTCTAGTCCAGGGGTCAGCAAACTTTTTCAGCAGGGGGCCAGTCCACTGCCCCTCAGACTTTGTGGGGGCCGGACTATATTTTGAAGGAAAAAAAAGAACGAATTCTTATGCCCCACAAATAACCCAGAGATGCATTTTAAATAAAAGCACACATTCTACTCATGTAAAAACACGCTGATTCCCGGACCGTCCGTGGGCAGGATTGAGAAAGCGATTGGGCCAGTCCAGCCCCCGGGTCTTAGTTTGCCTACCCATGCTCTAGTCCAACCCCCTGCAATGCAGGAATCTCAACTAAAGCATCCATGACAGATGGCCATCCAAACTCTGCATAGAAACTTCCAAGGAAGGAGAGTCCACAACCTTCTGAGAGTCCTTTCCACTGTCAAACAGCACCTACTGTCCTGGTGTTTAGTTGGAATCTCGTTTGTTGGAACTGGAAGCCAATGGTTCGAGTCCTACCCTCCGGAGCAGGAAGAAAACAGGTTTGCTGCTGCTGAACTAAGCCACCTTCAGGAGCTCATCTGTGGGCTCACATCTGTGGTCAGGCAAGGACCCTGGGTTTTAGTCGCAGGGCTCTTTGGATCCATTTGTGCAGGATCATTGAGAATGGCCTTTTGGGCCAGCAAGCCTTCCTTCCTTCTTATGCCCCAACCGCCCAACAACAAGTTGACTTGAAAAGTGCACCCCCTTCACGCCAGGGACGGGGAACGTGGCATCCTCCGGATCCCATTGGACTTCAGCTCTAATGATCCCTGACCACCAACCACGCTGCCCGGGGCAGATTGGAGCTGGAGTCCAACCATGCCTGGAGGAAGGCCACGGGAAGGCCACCTTCTCCTTGCTGAGCTGCTCAGTAGAGAAAGCAGCTCATTACCTGAGGTATCCTCTGATCCCGTCCTTGCCAAATGCGAGGGATGTGAATGCAGGCCCAGAGGAAATCCAAGGATGCAGTTGGGTCAAATCTAAGCGAAGACATAAACGCAGGTGTGATAAATCAAAAGGAGGGGGAAATGGCACACAACCAACTTGGGAAACCAGGGAGCAGAACCTGGGATCCACTGCCATCACTCTGCTGTGTCTGTCTCCATCTGACAACCATCCACTGCTCTCCCCAACACCTGATACACAGTCTTACACACACACACACACACACACACACACACACAGGCAGATTAAAACTGGGTTGGGGGGGGAAGGTTCTTCCATCTGAAATCTGTTTCCTCCCAATTGCATGCCCCTCCTCTTTCCCTAGGGCATAAGGAATCATGGCTGCAAGGGGGCTGCAGGAACGACCAGCCCATTTCAATGACCTGGTGGCAAAGAGGTTGTGTGCATGGCATGAAACAAGACCTGCAGGTCACACGGCTTTGGTGAAGTTAACTCTTTATTCAAAGAAACAAGACAACTCCAGGAGGTTCTAGACCTAGTGAGCACCTCAACTCTTCCTGGTAGAACTTGCTACTAAGAGGCAGCTGCAAGGACTGAAGGTTCCTGCCTTCCCACCGTTGACCAAGCCTCCTCTTCCCCAGGGTCCTTCCCAAGCAATATATGAGACTCCTTCATCTTGTCTGCCTTTGCTCTACCCTCTTCATACCTCTGCAGGTTCTGGGAGACCAAGGGAAGCTTCTGCCTCTGATTCTGGACTGCTCTCTGACACAGCCTCTTTCTGCTCACTAAGCCCTGTCATCTCTTCAGCCTCCGAGACCTCGTCCTCCCAGTCTGCTCCCTCCTCCTCGGTGTCCCACCACCACTCCCCTGGCTCTGAGCCTTCTTCCCCTGTGGGTTCCCCAGTTGGTGCCTTCCACCATTCCTCTGCATCTAGCCAGTCCATGATGGCTGGGAACGAGACCTCTCCCAGCAAAAGCAGGGCAAGAATCTAGCTAAAGCAAAAATCTCCTACACTGCACTGACTCCTGCTTTTGTGAGGGAGGGGGGATATTCACCTCCTCGCTGTGTCCACATCACAGCAGCAGAGTCCCCTGCAAGCATCTCTGGCATTGCACCTGAGGCCATGCGAGTCAGTGGTTCTTTGCACACCTGACAAACACTTTTATCTATACAGTGGTACCTCTGGTTGCGAACGGGATCCATTCCGGAGGCCCATTCGCAACATGAAAAGAGCGCAACCTGAAGTGCCATATCTGTGCAGGTGCGCGGTGCGTTTTGGTGCTTGTGCGCATGCGCAATTTAGCGCTTCTGCGGATGCGCAAGCAGCGAAACTTGAAAGTAACCCTTTCCGGTACTTCCGGGTCACCACAGGACGTAACCTGAAAGAACGTAACCTGAAGCAAACGTAACGTGAGGTATGACTGTACAGTGGTACCTCGGGTTACATACGCTTCAGGTTACAGACTCCGCTAACCCAGAAATAGTGCTTCAGGTTAAGAACTTTGCTTCAGGATGAGAACAGAAATCGTGCTCCGGCAGCGCAGCGGCAGCAGGAGGCCCCATTAGCTAAAGTGGTGCTTCAGGTTAAGAACAGTTTCAGGTTAAGAACAGACCTCCGGAACGAATTAAGTACTTAACACGAGGTACCACTGTATTGTCGCTTTATGCTTCGATGCTGTACGTCGCCATACCGTTTTATGATGCAGCGATACAGATACACTTTTTACGAATTAGCGAAGCCACCCAAAGAGGCTCTGGGTTGACCCACCTGTGCTCTCGGCTTTTGCCAAGCAGGATCTTGATGCAGCGGTGCAGCGTGGTCCAGCTGGACTGGTGAGTCAGGAGAGCCAAAAGGTATGGGCGGAAAGAGGGTGGCTCTGATTCGGAAGAGCCATTATCCTGAAAGAGAAAGGGGAAAGGTAACTATGGAGGGATATGGGATTGAAGCTGGGATGGTCTGCTGCTTGGCTACTGAGCTACAAGGGAGTACTTGGGGCAAAGAGACGAAGACGAGGCAAAGCCACAGAGGGCGATGAAGGCAAAGGCAAGAAGCTTGCCCAGCTGTCAGGCTTCGGGGAATCGGATCCCTTCCCCGGTGGCAGTAAAGAAGCAGATCAAACGAAAGGAGCATTCTTACCAGTTAGTTTCTTTAATAATCACAGCGAGAGACAAAGGAATGCATATCTCTCTAGAAATGGTGTTGCTCCCAGTAAAGGTTTACCCCCCCGTCCCCATAAATCTACATCATTCCTACGTCAGGGAATCTGAGCTCTGCGCTTTCTGTTCTATCACTCTCAGAGCCCGCCTAGTCTTAGGCGAAGGGGGATCAGGAATGTTTCCCAAAGGAACTGAATCTGCCGTCTGTCTCTCTCTCCTGGTGTTTCCTCTTCTAGCTGTTCCTCACCCGGTATTTCCCAGTGTGGCGTTTGCCCGCCTAGGTGTGTGACATCATTCTGGGTTCATAAGTAAAGGGTTAGCTAACTGTAAAATGACTAACCAATGGGAACCCAAGGAGCGGAGTTAAGTGTGTATAAGGTTTAAGCACAGAGGGGTTTTTTAGAGTTAGAGTTAGGGTGGTTGAGAAGACAGTCTGGAGTTAGAAGAGACAGAGAGGATAAGTCTGTGGGTTGGGCTAGTCTGATGTGAGAGAATGAGAGAATTTCTTAAGAGGAGTCAGTCAAACAGTTGAGATAATCAGTCAGAAAGTATTAGGAAGGTATAGGCCGGTAAAGAAACTAAAGTTAAGATACTGACAGGAATATTATCTGAGAAACCATAAACTTGTTAATGTTTATAAAATAAACTTGTTTATTTGGTTCACTTTTAACAACTGTCTGGACTCAGTGTTTTACCTGAGAGTAACTGGTTGGTGGCAGCGGGGAAGTGAGCACAGTGGTGGCACAGGGATCAGTAGACCATTAAATGTCCGGGGACCCTGTGTGATTGCCACACCCAGCTTTTCCCGTCTGGATCATGCCCCTCTGCAAACCGCTTTTCTAAATCTATACTCCCCTCCTGCCCTTGGGAAGCTTCAGGAGAAGGGGCAGCGGCCCCCACCATTCCTCCTCAGTCCAGCCCCTGACAGCAGCTCCGGACACGGGAAGGAAGCCCCCACTAGGATCTCTTCAGCAATTTCAGCTCTTGGAAGCTGGAGATGCCACCTGACGTCACAGGTACACCAGGCTTGATGGCGCCTCACCTTATTCCAGGAGAAGAGCAGCCTTTGCTGGAGATCTGGGCAGTTGCTGATCACTTCGGGGTCCAGGATCTCCAGCCAGTCGATGAACAGGCCAGAGGAAGGCCCCAGCTGGCAGGTTTCGGCACTGGCGGGCGAAAATGAGGAAAGAGACATTGAAAAATACCGACAGGAAAGGCAGCCGGCAGCTGGTTGAGCCTGTCAAGGTCTTAAGGAGGGCAGAGGGCAAACCTGCCCAGCCAGTATCACCTGCAGCTCTCGGTTTCTTTCTTCACAGGGGTCTCTTCTTTGTCCTGGAGCAGCAGCGAGCTCACCACAGAAATGGGCCCCGTGGCAGGGAAGCAGGATGGCATCTCCATGGTAACCGAGAAGAGGGAAGCCAGCAGTTCCTCCAAGTATGGCGAGTGTGTTTCTGTCAGGCCTCGAAGGACTGGCAAAATGGAGGGAAAGGACAGAAGCCAGTTAAGAAACTGAGCGGAAGCCAAGAAAAATAAACAATTTATTTATGTATGCTACAACAGCGGCAAGAGTCTTGATAGCACAAGGATGGAAGAATGAGGAAATCCCAATGAAAGAACAGTGGCAAGAAAAATTGATGAGTTATGCAGAACTGGCTAAATTGACATACAAACTGCGGGACAAGGACAACTGTGACTTTAAGGAAGAATGGGAACTTTTTACAAAATGAACTGGACTCCTTGGGAGGTTTTGAATAAACATACACAAATTTATTGGTTGATAACATGATAAGATAGACAATGCAAGGATATGTATAATTTTATAACATGCAGAGAATAATATGTGCAGAGAAATCAGAGAGGAGCTGGTGGGTGGGGGAGGGAGGGAGGGGTGGAAGGGGGAGCAGGAAAAAGGGGGGAAATAATGTATGTGATTATATGATTTGATAATTTGTTATGTTGAAATTGCTTAATAAAAATATTTTTTTAAAAAAAGAAACTGAGCGGAAGCATGGGCAGAGAAAAAGGTGGTCGTGTCTCCCAGGACTTGGATTAGAACCTTTGCACTAAATGCCCTTCAGAGCAGAGACTGGGAACCCTGAGGACCTCTCCAGACTCTGCCGGACTACAGCTCCCATCATCCCTTGCTGACTGGGGGCTGATGGGAGTCGGAGTCCAGCAGCATCTAGAGCAGCGGTTCTCAACCTGTGGGTCCCCAGATGTTGTTGGACTACAACTCCCATCATCCCTGAGCTCTGGCCTTGCTAGCTACAGGTGATGGGAGCTGTAGTTCAACAACATCTGGGTACCCACAGGCTGAGAAATGCTGATCTAGAGCGTGACCTGTCCCTGAAGCTGTGCCATGGATGGAGGCAAACGAAAACAGAAAAACAAGGAATAGGAACCGCAGGAGGTGCACAGGAGAATCTTAGCTAGAACTAGAGAATCTTAGCTAGAACTATAAAAGGAAGTCACATAGAGGAGGGAGAAAGGTTGTTTTCTGCTGCTCCAGAGAAGCGGACACGGAGCAATGGAGCCAAACTACAAGAAAGAAGATTCCACCTAAACATTAGGAAGAACTTCCTGACAGTAAGAGCTGTTCGACAGTGGAATTTGCTGCCAAGGAGTGTGGTGGAGTCTCCTTCTTTGGAGGTCTTTAAGCAGAGGCTTGACAACCATATGTCAGGAGTGCTCTGATGGTGTTTCCTGCTTGGCAGGGGGTTGGACTCGATGGCCCTTGTGGTCTCTTCCAACCCTATGATTCTATGATTCTATTCTATGATTCTATGATTCTAGCTAGGGAAGGCAGGAAACGGACTGAGCGAGGAAAGGAAGTAGCTTCACACTCCTTGACTCTCAGCACTTCATGCATTGGGTGCCAAGCAATGGCAGCCTTTGGGCTCTCCGATTTCAGCGGCGCTCTGTGCGACACTAAAATCCCCGCTGCCTCTGGCGCTCTGTTCTACAGCATTGCTGTGGCGTTCCTGCAGCTGGTTCTGAATGTGATGTATTTTAACTATCATTTTCAACCAGTTTTTTTAAAAAAAGTATTTTCAATACAATTGCACCTCACACTTAACTTGTGTGATTTCTATCTTGCAAGGCTGGCTGGTTGAAATCGTACAAACTAAATGCATGCAAGGTTTTCCTGGTGCAAAAAAGAGCTTTTAAGCGCTTGAATTTGCTTTCTGGGCAAGGTCCTCCAGGGTCACCTGCTCTGCAAGCCTGGAGACAGTCGTGCGAGATCTTGCGAGAGATCTCACAGAAACTCAAGACGGCCCTGTGAGATCTCATGAGAACATCCCAGAGCTGTAAGGATGCCCATGCAGTGGCGGTTCCAAGAGGGCAGCTCAAGTATGCACAGTTTCACCCTGGAATGATACCGAATTTTTCGCTCTATAGGACGCACCCGACCATAGAAGGCACCTTGTTTTAGAGGGGGAGAACATGAGGGAAAAAAAATCTCCCCCTCTCTGCTCAGCGCCCCTTCAACGAAGGGGCAGGAGAAACCGAGCCCCTTCCATTTCTCCTTCGCTGAAGGGACGCTGCTCAGCTCTCCCTCTCTGCTGAAGCCAGGAGAGTCTTGCTCTCCTGGCTTCAGCAAAAGGAACCCAAAGATTTCGGAGCGCAGCGCGAGTTCCTGCTGCGCTCTGAAGGCTTCAGGGATAGCCACCTGAAGCCTTTGGAGTGCAGCGGGAACTCGCACTGCCCTCCAAAGGCTTCGGGTTCCTTTCACTGAGCCAGGAGAGCAAGACTCCGCTGCACTGCGGAGGCTTCAGGCGGCTATCCCTGAAGCCTGGAGAGCGAGAGGGGTCGGTGCGCACTGACCCCTCTCACTCTCCAGGCTTCAGCGAAAGCAACGCGAAGCCTCCGGAGCACAGAGGGAGCGCTCCCTCTGCACTTTGGAGGCTTCACGTTGCTATCGCTGAAGCCAAGGAGCCTGCATTCGCTCCATAGGAAGCACACACAGTTCCCCTTAATTTTTGGAGGGGAAAAGGTGCGTCCTATAGAGCGAAAAATATGGTAATTCATATGTGGTGGGGTTGCGAGGAAATAAAGAAGTTTTGGGGAATAATACACAAGGAACTTAAGAAAATGCTAAAAAGAAAACCTTGATAAAAAATCCTGAAGCTTATCTGTTAGGGTTGGTGGGCAAAGACATACCACATAAGGAAAAAAAAATCTTTTTATATGCAACAACAGCCGCTAGGGTAGTGATTGCTACTAAATGGAAATCTCAGGACACACCAACAAAGGAAGAGTGGATTTGTAAATTAAGTGAGTATATAGAATTCGCAAAATTAACTTCAATTATAAGATATCAATCAAATCAAAAGTTAAGAATGGAGTGGAAGTATTTCAAAGATTACAGTGGTACCTCGGGTTAAGTACTTAATTTGTTCCGGAGGTCCATTCTTAACCTGAAACTGTTCTTAACCTGAAGCACCACTTTAGCTAATGTGGCCTCCTGCTGCTGCCGCACCGCCGGAGCACGATTTCTGTTCTCATCCTGAAGCAAAGGATTTTTATTATTATAGAATGCAAGGGAAAAAAGGTAGAAAGAAATATAAAGAAGTCGAATTGCTGTGGAGGGAAGTAGGGTGGTGGGTTTTAAAATTAAGTGTATAATTATGCAGCTGTTGTAATTTAGCTATTATTTTTTATGTGAGGGAATCATTGGGAATTTTGGTTATTATATATATACATATATATATATATATATATATATATATATATGTTAAGTTTCAATAAAGATCTTTGAAAATTAAAAAAAAAAGTATGCACAGTTTCGCATATAGGCCAAACCCTCAAATCTGAACCTTTGCATAAGATACTAATCGTATTATAATAGTGCATTTGGTAGTGCAGTTTCTAAATGTTGGAAGCTGCCTTGAATCCCAACCGAGAAGAGAGGAAGGTCCTAATTGCACCAAATGATGCATAAATGCTGGAGGAAAGAGTCAGCCCTAGTCTGGCCCAGAACACCCATTTCCCAGCTGCCCGTGGAGAAGAAGAGGAGCAGGAGAGCAGTTGGTGCTGCTTCACCCGTGATCAGAGGAAGGAGGAAGGGAGACGGGTCTTACCTTTGCTGACCAGCTCAGGCTCCACGTTATACTTCTCCCCAGACTTCAAGGTGGTGATGATGGCGCAGACAGTCGGGCCGATGACGTCGGCGTCCCGGCGGAAAGCCAGAGCCTCAGCGAGGTGCAGGAATCCACCGCGGACTGCCAGGGAGAAGAGAGGAAATAAAGGATGGCTCAGGAGCCAGGCTCAGTGGTTGCGCAGGCCCTTTGACTACAGACAGGCCCGAGTTCGATTCCTACCACCTTCTGTTACAAGGTCACGGCTGGTGGGAAAGGCCTCTGCCTGATAAACTTGGAGAGCTGATGCAAGTTGGAGGAACCAGTTCTGAGTTATGTGTGGGGCCTCCCATGCCCATGAAATGGAAGCTGTGGTTAGCGCAGGCTGCTGCAGAACGATTGCTAGCAGCAGTGAGACCAGGTTGGATAAAAATCAATGATTTAAAAAAATAAATAAAATTTTAAAAATCAGATTTTTAAAATTTAAACTGGATTTTTTAAAATTTTAAATCAGATTTTTTTAAAAAAAATTTAAATTGGATTTTTAAAATAAAATACTTTTGGAGGAAAAATATTTCTAAAGATAGTTTGCTATTTAAGTTACATTATAGTCCCAAGTTTATAAGGATTTGTTTCAAGTTTTTCATGTGTGCTAAAACTCAGTCTAAGGTTTTTGGTTTTTTAAAAAAATTGTTTAACCACATCAGTTAACAAACATGGATACATATGCTATAATGTTATTGTTTTAGTTAAATAAATTGTTTAAATTGTTAGTGAGGAAATGATCATTTTTCTCCTTCCAATAAAGTACAGCGGAAAAGTTGTCCAAATATAAACAGTAAACCTATTAAACCTCACAATTTCATAATTATCTGTCAATGTATTTCTAATCGTATAACCAAATCAGTAATTTTTGATATAACTGTAAAAACTACTCTGAAATTTTATTATTCCAAACAGGAAATCTTCATCTGGGTGTAAATATTAGGATTATACCAGCAAGAATGAGTCTTTCTGTAAAAAAAGAGAAATTTAAATCAAGTTTAAATCAAATCTTACTGGCTAGCGATTTAAATTGTGATTTAAATCGATTTGATCTAAATCAAATCCACCCTGCTGTGGAGTATGATAATGTATTTTCCTTCCCAGGATGAAGCTAGTAGTCTGTTTGTATAGATGCCCTTTCTGCCTCAAATCAAATCCACCCTGAGTGAGACCCTGTCAGTTTTACAGGGTGGCATAAGCTCCAAGGAAGGTCTCTGCCCCATGCAGCCTGCAGTGGCAAGTCCTCCCCCAGGCGTCCCAAACCGCCCCTCTTACCGTCATTGATCCGGTGTCTGGAGGAATACTGGACAGCGAAGGATTTGAGCTGGGTCCGCAGAGGCCCTTCCTCCACAGCTGGATTCTCCAGCCACTGCAACATCTGCATGAGGACTTTGAAAAACAGCGAGGAGAAGGTGGTGTCCTGGGGGACGGAACGCTGGAGAAGGGAACAGGTGGGATTACAGGCAGAACACAAAGCAAAGGGGCAAGGCAAGAGAACGGCAGACCAGAGGAGCTTACATTTCCTCCTGCTAAGTCGCCAGGGTGGTCTTGAACCCAGGGCTACCAGAAGGCTAACTGGAGCCTTCACCTTTGGTACCACAAATGCTTGGTAGGGTGGCATGTGGGAAATTAATAGATTAATTAATATGAAATAACAACCACCTGGTTGTTTGTATGTGCCAGACTCCAGCTACCCACACAGATCATAGATTAATAGAATCATAGCTAGGGCTGGGCGATATATAGATAAAATATCCAAAATCGGTCTGAAGTCCAATAATGTGATATCGGTTTCATAATTTTTGACCAGGCAATGTATCGTGAACCATGATGTATGTTAGGGCGAGCGATGTTTGGCTTTTAGCGTTGATATACCACCGGCTGAACGCTGTGATATACGAATATATCATGATGTCTGAAACAAGGATGGAACTATGTAGAGGTGAACGGGGTCATGTCCTGACAACGGCTACTACGCAGGGGTCTAAAATGGAGACTTTTAAAACTTACCTTTAACATATTATTACAACTGTTATTTTGTAGTGGAGCAACAGGGGCAGAAGGAATAATGAAAGAAGCAACGACTGGCTTGACGATTTTTAACAGCACACGAACACACATCGTGATTTGCGGTATGTGTTGAACACGGCGGTATGTGTTGAATATTATGAAACCGTTTCCATGATGAAAGTGATTTTTGACAGTGCATTGACAGTGACATTGACAGTGCATTGCCCCAGCCCTAATGTGTGTGTGTGTGCTATGTAAAAATCACGATGCAGGAAAAACCATGAAGCCAGCCAATGCTGCTATATAGAGCCATCCTTATTTCTGACATCATGTTATTTCGGTATATTGTGATATTTAGCTGGCGATATATCGCGACGCTGAAAGCCATATATTATTCCCCAGCCCTAATTGCAGAATTCAGACCACAGGGGTCATCTGCCCCAATCTTGCAAGGCAGGAATCATTTGCCCAACGTGGGACTCGAACACACAACCCTGAGATTAAGAGCCTCATGCTCTGCCAACTGAGCTACCCTCAATAAACACACGAGACGTAACCGGCTATGTTCTTAGATAAATAAGGTATGCATTCCGGAATATTGGCCTTGTTTCGTCGTCCTGGGCTTCAATAGTAGTTAAAGCACTAAGTAATGCAAATAAATACAATTATCATGCTCTCACATATTTTACAGCAAAAATAATATCAAACAATAAATAACTGTACATACGATATGTATTTTGTGGAAGTGTAACAACCTTTCATGTGGATTGTTTGCACTTTATGAACAGACAGGTGGAATAGACGCCTTTACACGGATGGAGCTTATGCATGAACTGACTAGAAAATGATCTGATCCACTGGGTCTTCTGTTTTGTTCGTTTGTTGAACTTTATGAGTTACTTCTGTTGAAATTTGATACAATGAATTGCATACCTTATTTATCTAAGAACACAGCCGGTTACATCTCGTGTGTTTATTGAGGATGCTTTACGTGACCATAGGTTTGTTAGTTGTTGTTTTGTAACTGAGCTACCCTGGCAGCCTCGGATGACAACCTGGGCCCCTCCACCCACAGACGTCCTCACCTGACACTGGAACAGCAGGCGCATGAGCGGACAAGACGCAACGTGGTTCCGGTGCATCGCCATCACCAGCGCCCCGCCATGGGGAGAGTTCAGCAGGGCCGCCACCGCCTGCAGGAGTTTCACCGCGGTCCCTGGCGTGGTGTCGTTCCCCTGGCGGAGCCGGGCCAGCTCCTGCCCCAGCGCCTGCTGTAGAGCCAAGGAAAGGGGGCGCGGGTTCGAGTTCTGCCAGCGGGGATCTGGAGTCAACGGAAAGAGCTGCCCAAGGCGCGAAAAAGGAGGCGTCAGAAAAGTGAGGGAGCTGCATTTGCTTACAGACTAGGAAAAACACGGGTTTCCAGGTTTCTACATTTTTGCTTCCTTTTCTCCCAGCCGCAATACCTGGGTTTCTGCAGATCTCGGTGCAGTGGGAAAGGTCAAAGAGGGGGAGAAAAGGAAGCATGGACTTTCGGGGCAAGGGACCCACTGGGAAGGGGCTGGTGGTGAGAAGGAAATGGGGAGGGCCCAAAAGGTTTTATCAAACCCAAAGCCCCATCTGCCCATGGCATTTGCTGCCCCAAAGTCTGCCCTCCATAAAGGTAAAGAGACCCCTGACCATTAAGTCCAGTTGTGACCGACTCTGGGGTTGCAGCGCTCATCTCGCTTTATTGGCCGAGGGAGCCGGCGTACAGCTTCCGGGTCATGTGGCCAGCATGACTAAGCCGCTTCTGGCGAAGCAGAACAGTGCACGGAAACGCCGTTTACCTTCCTGCCGGAGTGGTACCTATTTATCTACTTGCACTTTGACGTGCTTTCGAACTGCTAGGTGGGCAGGAGCAGGGACCGAGCAACGGGAGCTCACCCCATCGCAGGGATTCGAACCGCCAACCTTCTGATCGGCAAGTCCTAGGCTCTCTGGTTTAACCCACAGAGCCACCCACATCCCTCTGCCCTCCATACCCATCTGCAATTAAGCAGGCAATGACAATACAGAGGGCCTTCTCAGTAGTGGCCTTGCATCTGTAGAACTCCCCTTCCATGGAAGCCTGCCTGGCACCATCTTTGTTCTCCGTTTTGTGCCAGATAAAAATGTTCCAATTTTTTAAAAAAAATCTGCCTGGGCCGTTGCGAAGGTCTGGTCCCTACCCCGTTTTTTTAATACCAGATTTTCAGCAGTTGCCATTTGTTATTGCGGTCTTACGGAATCTATCACCTGTTGTCTTCCACTGCCTTATGGCATCTGTCGCTCTGAGAGGCAAGGCTGAAGAACAGCTAATAAAGGTTTCAACGAAGGAACAAAAATGGAGTGATGGGGAATCATGGGATGTATGTATGTGCGTGAGAACCGGCATGGTGACAGGAATATGTTTGCTCAGAAACTGGGTTTAGATATTTGTGGCCTCTTTCAGAGTATGGGAAGCCTTAGACCTGTCTCTTAAATGCACACATGCATTTTAAGGTTTTAACATTTTGTGCTGTTTTGGAAGTCATTGCGGCTCACTTTTTGTGAAAGAAAAGGGACTAATAACTGCAATAAATAAGCAAAACAATAATTCTGTGGCGGAGACTGTCTGCAGTTTCGCCAGAGAGACATGGACAGCGTGGAAGAGCATGCAAAGAAACAAAGTGGGGTTGGGGGTGTTAGAATTCCTGCTCCATGATTGCAGTCATGGGATTGTTGTCTATCACATGACGGTATATATTTTGACTCCACAGAGTGGGAAGTGACGGAGACAGGATGTTTGTGTTGCTGTGTTCTGTGAAGTGGGACTACTGTCCTTTGTTCTTTTGCTCTTTGCTGTCTGATGCTAGAGAGAGAGGGAGCCATGTTGCAGTGCTCCGTGTGTGTTTATATGTAAATAAAGTAGATTAGCCCAAATGCTGAGTTGCTGAGGTCTGTTACGCATGATGCACAAACTCTGCGGATCCCTAAGTGTGCCGATGTCTGTAGGCATCGGTCGCTGTGATGTTCGGGCAGAAGAAAGCTCCCGAACGAAAGACCAGGAGGGAGAGAACATGCCAGTTGGACTTGTGTCTCTGCCAGGGTCCTACTTGAGTGTAGGACAAGCTCCTGACAGGGGGTTTGGGGGGGTAAGGATCAGGGTCCCTACCTGAAGGAGGATGCCTGCCAAGTCATCGTCTGGACCGAGAACTCGGATCTGGGCCAAAGCACGGATCCTGCCCTGCCCTTGTGGAGTCTCGAGGCTGCTTTTGGGTCGCGGAGAACCATCGCTGTCTGAAGAGAAAATAATGGGGAAATCTTGAGAGTGGGGCTTTTTCAAGAACTTGTCAGGGACCATGCGGATGAGGGCGGCACTGAGCAGGAATGGTGGGAGCACCCCCCCTCCCCCTGATCAGGATCCTGAATCTTCCCAGGAGCAGTGGGACAGTATAGATTTGGAACAATGGTTTGCAGAGGGACATAGTTCAGAAAACAGTTGGGAAGAACCAGGGGGTGAACAGTTAGGCGAAGGAGAACTGGGAGAGGGAGAGAGTTAACAGACTCAGTGTTGCTGGAAAGCCTACATCTGATCAAGGTCAAGGAGGGCAGATAGGATGGCAGCACAGAAAGCACACTGGTTGTGAGATCAGGTTGCAATAATAGCAACAATAATAATTTTTTATTTATACCCTGCCCTTCCCGGTTGTAGTTGCCTTCTGTAATCATAGACCACACCCTCTTGGAGTGTTTTGTTACCGATTCAGTTAAGTTCTATATTTCTTTATTGGCAATTGCAAAAACCGGCTGTTTTAAAACAAATTTTTGTTTCATTTCTGTAAGCCACCTGCTGCTACTAAAATTCAATTTTTAAAAATGTGGGGGGGGGGGGAGAGGAAATAAACTGCTGGAATTTCGCCACACAGAGAAGACATTTTTGCCGTCCCCCGCCGTCGCTGCCAAACCACATTTGGTCTCTTTTTTTGTATTGCTTCTTGAGTGTAACAGCTTTATCGCTGTGGCTTCAAAGCTGCATTTTGGGATTTCTATTTATTCTGTTCTGAGCACTTTATGCAAGCAGCTTTGAGGTTACTTTGTGACAGAAAGTGGCATGTAAGAGCATGTGTAACGAATGAATGAATGAATGAACGAATACCTCGGCGAGATGGGATAGAAGCGGTGAGCAGCGAATGGAATGTCTGTCCGCCAGTAGCTCCTCTCTCATGCTGGACCTCCACCAGGTGAGCCATGTAATCTGAAAGAAAACAAATCGGCAAAAAAAAAGGGTCAGTGGATAGTGTTGTTATACAGTTCAATCATTAGGGGGCACTGGAGTTAATTGTATATGGGTGGAGTTAGGGAATTGCTTGTGCGGATAAGATCAGCTGCTGGGAATCGCAAGTGGGGAGATGGCTGCTGAGCTCAGGTTCTGCTTGTGAGCTTTCCCATATACTTCTGGCTGGCTGCGTTCAGCACCCTTAACAAACTACAGCTCCCAGAATTCCTTAGGGGAAGCCATGACTGTTCCAAGTGCGATCATAGCACTTTAAATGTATAGTGTGGATGTGGTCTGAATGGAACAGAAAGTGTCCCATGGAAAACTAAAACAAAGGGGAAATGTCCTTCCCTGCTTAATGTGGCAAGGAAGAGCTGGTGGGTGTGGTGCTTTTTAGATGACGCTGGGAACTCCAACTCCCATCAGCCCTTGCTAACAAAACAGGGGATGATGGTAGTTGAAGCCGAAAACATCGGGAAGGTAGAAGGTTGGGAAGATTATGATACGCACAAACAAACCTGCCCGTATAATATGACCCATGCCCAGAAGGTTGATGCTGAATAATAAGAACAATAATAAAATCAATATACAGTCATACCTTGGGTTACAGATGCTTCGGGTTGTGCGATTTTGCGTTGTGCGCTGCGCCAAACCCGGAAGTACCGGAACTGGTTACTTCTGGGTTTCGGCGCTTGCGCATGTGCAGAAGTGCTAAATCGCGCTTTGGGCATGCGCAGAAGTGCCAAATCATGATCCACGCGTGCACACACGCGGCGCTGCAAGCTGCGAATGCGGCGGGTTGCGAACGTGCTTCCCGCACGGATCACATTCGCAACCTGAGAGTCCACTGTACAAAAATTCAACATAAGAGTTTTTTTCTTTCTTATACACATCTTTGTTTTTTCCTTCCCCTCACTTTCCCTCCTGTATCACTTAATTTTTTTATCACTGATTTCCCCCCCCCCCCAATAAAATATAAGAAGAAAATGAAAAAAGATGGAGCTTGAGGGGATCCTCCCCCCCGCCCACTGCCGCCGCCCTGAGTTCCCTTACTTTTGTCCATGATATTCTGCTCCAGAGTCTGAGGGTCGTGGGAGACGGCCTGGTCCAGGTACTGCAGAAGCTTGCTCATGCTGGAGACGGGGATGCCAAAGGACTGGACAAACAGCAGCAGCTGCTGAGGCTCCAAATCTTGCAGAGCTGGGACAAAACACCCCCCAAGTCAGAACCGGCTCGCTCCAAGTTCCTTGCGAACCCACAAAAATCACATTACACAGAGCCTTATGTGCACGGCCAGTTGTGTCACAGGTAACTCAACAGGCGTCTCTCTCTCTCTAAAATAAGTGGCCACAAATATTACAAAACTCTTGTCATCAAATAGCTTTTTTAAACACATAATTCCTTCTCGGCTTCCCACCCCTCCTTCCCTTATGTTGTTTTGGTTACTCCTTTTTAATAGCTGTTTTAGAACACATACACTTTTATTATCTAAGCCCCGATATCGGTAAGTCTTTCAGTAATTCGTTGCTTATACAGTGGTACCTCGGTTTTCAAACGCCTCCATAGTCGAACATTTCGGAACTTGAAGGCCAAAAACCCAGAAGTAAATGCCTCCATTTTGAGTTTTCCATCTTGAGGCTTCTGTTTTGAGGCTTCAGCTTTCAGTTTCCGAACATTTCGGAACTCAATCAGACTTCCAGAATGGATTGCATTTGAAAACTGAGGTACCACTGTCTTTCAAGCCCTTCCTGTGACTTCATGTATGGAGGACAGCTCAACAGATAGGCCACCAATGGCGTCTCTTCCCACATCCCCAGGCCGGCCGACCTACCTACCTGCATCCACCAACCGAGGCACCTCTGAACGGATCATGCGCAGCTTCAGCCAGTCTGGGAGGAGAAGCGCCTCTTCTGATGTGTCCACCAGGAAAGCGGTGGGGAGGGGCTTCTTCTCGGGGAACCAGATGTCCAGCAGGGTGCAAAAGTCCCCGCCCCCGGCTTTAAATAAATGTTCGGAGAGTCATCTTGCTTGCCTCGCACATATTTGCTAAACCCCAAACCAGCCTTCGTCAACCTGGTGCCCTCCTGATGTTGTGGACCACAACTCCCCTCCCCCAGTCCCGGGCTTGTTGGGGGCTTTGGGGAGGTGACAGAACAAAATACTTTTTTGGGGGTAAAGCTGGTAAATGATCTTTTTACCACAACTTAGGAAACAGAATAGAGAGGGTCACAGAAGCCGCCCCACAAAAGCCCACTCCCTATTAACACCAGAGATATGCGTGCATCAAAATCCTGCTCAACTTCACCCAAACGTCTCCTCCCCACAAAAAAATATCTTGCCCTCTATATCCATTATGCAAATCAGGCCAGTGGGCAGAATTGACTCAACTTCTGCTGGTTGTATTGAACAGGCGACAAGCCACACGGGGCGCTCAGGTCCCATGCTTGTGAAACAGGGACCACTTATATACGCCATCTCCAACTCCTCAAAAGATTCCATCAATGGTGTCTCCGAAAAAGTTTACACATCACTGGGGAAGACAGGCGAACTAATGCCAGTGTACTGGAAGAAGCAAAGATCACCAGTGTCAAAGCGATGATTCTTCAACATCAACTTTGTTGGACTGGTCATGTTGTGCGGATGCTTGATGATCGTCTTCCAAAGCAACTACTCTATTCTGAACTTAAAAATGGAAAGCGTAATACTGGTGGGCAACAAAAGAGGTTTAAAGACTGTCTCAAGGCAAATCTTAAAAAATGTAGTATAAACACTGACAACTGGGAAACACTGGCCTGCGAGTGCTCCAGTTGGAGAACAGCTTTTACTAAAGGTGTCGTGGGCTTTGAAGACACTCAAACTCAGGACGAAAGGGAGAAATGTTGCTAAGAGGAAGGCACGCTTGGCAAACCCTCACTGTGATCAACTCCTGCCCGGAAACCTTTGTCTCCACTGTGGAAGGACATGTGGATTCAGAATTGGCCTTACGGATTCACTGTTAAGACCGTCTTTATGAAGGACAATCTTACTTGGCTATGAGAGATCGCTAAAGAAGATCCACTGGAAACTGCTATGTAGCCACTGCTTAAGGCATCAGAGATTTCCTCGGGCATTGGTCTCGCCTGCCTCTGCACCTATAAGGTCTAGGGACCTTTTATTGATTTATGTAGGGGGAGAAAAACCAGGAGCACCGAACTGAAATCTGCAATTGGCGCTTCATTCCACGGATTCACTTCTTTCACAGGAGAAAGACAGAGCCTCTCAGAGAAGCTTTGCAGGGATTCAAGGAGAGATTCCCCATTCCATTTGGCTCAATCAGGCATAGATCCATTAATTCCTGCCCGGGGCAAAGGAGGCTGGGCAGAGAGGCAGATCCAGCATCCACTGGAAAATACATGACCTCCATCATTCACCTTGAGGTGGTCCAAGAGTCAGCAGAATCACCATGGCATGGACGACCAGGATGTGCATCGTTGCTGTTTCTCCGGTGCTCCAGCGGAGGAAGACCTGATCTTGGGACTCCGACTAGAGAGAGGCAGAGGCAGAGAGAGAAGATTGGGTAATGAAATGCAACCGCTCTTGGAGAAAAAGGGCGGCTGCTCACTTGCAGAATGCTCACCCCTAAGAATCTCGCCTGGCCCCTTCCTTGGGGAGAACGTTTCTAAATCAATCCTTTTATTAAAAAAAAAACATACCTCCAAAAAGCTTTTATTGCTGGCTCTTACATTAAAAAAAGAAAACTGATCCAGTTTCTAATACATGCAATTTATTTCATTACTTTTTAAAAAATCATAAACTGCCTTGCAAGGGCTTGTCCAAAAGAGAGAGTAAACCAAAATAAATATAGAGGGTGAATTTATTTGATAGATTTATATCAAGCCTTTTCTCCAAAATGGAGTTCAGAGAGATTTAAGGCAATGATAATGAAAATTCAGTGATCATTAAAATACATTTAAAATACAAAAAAAAATCCCACCGAAAAAAAATCAGTGAATCCAACACGGTAGTGATAAAACATCGTGAAATTGGATCATGCACAAATAAAAAGGTATTCAGTTCTTTTTTTCATTTGACATACTTGTATCTTGCTTTTCTAACAACAAATATTGAGCTCACAATAATCACAACAGCATTAAAAAAAATCACAAACATTGCAATCATTATAATATCAAACCCTGTTGCATATAAATAAAGTAAACAACAACAATAAATTTCTCAAAACAATGACACAATTCAATAAAGGCATCATAACTTGTAGTTACTTCCTAATCGCAGGGAACCCTACTGCAAAACAACAACAAAGTAGATTAGCTGTGTGTCCTGTTGGTTTTCAAATGAACTGTTTTGCAATGCTGCAATGGATGGAAGCCTCATTCACTGAACGTGAATTGTAGACACTTACACGGAATGATACATTCTTTTCTGTGGAGGCAGACCAAATCATTTGGGAGGGAATGCCAAAGACATGGGGCTGCCACCAAGAAAGCCCTGACTCGTGTCGCTGTCCTTCTCCCAGCCTCTGTCCCGGGCAGGACGATGAGCAGGACTTCCCCCCATGACCGTAACGCACGGGGTCACTGAGTAAAAGGGCAGGCACTCCTCCAGGGACTCGGCGGGGAAGGAGAGGGCCACTCACCCAGCTGTAGACCTCCTCGCCCTCTTTGCTCTGGCGCATGCGCTTGATGTAGCGGGAGAAGACGGAGAGCAGGGCCACCAGCACGGCGTCGGACTCTGAGCTGTAGGAGAGCTTCGAGAAGAGGTGGGTCATGATGGTGGACCGTTCCACAATCAGCCTGGCCACGTCCTGAGAAAGTCAAGGGCAAACAAGGCATGAGAGCTGCACTGTCTCCCGGTGTAGTACAGGATCAGGTTTAAGGTGCTGGTTTTAACCTTTAATCTTAATTAACCTTTAATCTGGCTGGCTCGCCAGATGCAGCTTGTCACGCTGGCCACGTGACCCGGAAGTGTCTGCGGACAGCGCTGGCTCCCGGCCTCTAGAGTGAGATGAACGCACAACCCTAGAGTCTGGCAAGACTGGCCCGTACGGGCAGGGGTACCTTTACCTTTTACCTTTAACCTTTAAAGCCCTATACAGCCTAGGACCCTCGTACCTACGGGACCGCCTCTCCTGGTATGCCCCATGGAGGACCTTACGGTCTTCAAACAAAAACATCTTGGAGATCCTGGGCCACAGAGAGGTTAGGCTGGCCTCAACCAGAGCCAGGGCTTTTTTGGCTGTGGCTCCGATCTGGTGGAACGCTCTGTCACAAGAGACTAGGGCCCTGCGGGACTTGACATCTTTCCGCAGGGCCTGCAAGACAGAGCTGTTCCACCAGGCCTTTGGCCAGGGCACAGCCTGACCCCCTCCTTTGGCAATCCTCACAGAATTCTAGCCGAATGGTTGCCATTAATCTGATTTGAACTGATTTTATAATGAACTGATTTTAGAATGTTGTATTATTTTACTGTTGTTAGCCGCTCTGAGCCCAGCTTTGGCTGGGGAGGGCGGGATATAAATAAAATTTTATTATTATTATTAACGAGAGGTTGTGAGATCAGGCCAAAGGCCCAACTAGTCCAACAGGGGGAGTTCCAAGATGGCGACGGCTTAGCAAGCAGGCTTAAGAGCTCCGCAGATAACAGGACTGTAATTAGCGTTGATTGCTAATTTTCCTTTTTTTACTTCTCTACTTTTAAACTTACCAACCTACTGAGATTCTATCAGCACCTTCTTGTCTATGCTATGAGAAATATCTTGGGCAAGTTCTGTGAAGCATCCTGGGCAGGCCACCAGCTGCTAGCTATTAACCGCCAGCTCCCTTCTATACTTTGTTCCTGGAACTCCTGGCAGTAACGACACAGAGAAGCTCTTAAATTGAACAAACGGAGCACTTTCTATTTTTTCTCTCCTCTTCGGTTGGGGAAACCTCTCCTTGTTTACTCCCCACGGTGACGCTATGCCTGCTAGTAAACGCTACAGGGACCCAGAGGATGTAGCTCTCTCACTGGTTCCCAAACAATCTAAAATAGGTGACTTTTTAAAAACAAATCTGCTTTTATGGTTCCAACAAAAAAACAGTTTTCTCCCCTTGAAGATTATTGTGAGTGTGGGGAGAGTATTCAAGGTGAGAGCGTGGAACTGGATCCAGCAATGGGGCAAGTTGATCCTGTGCCACTAAGAGAGGAAGGAATAGCAAGCAGGGAGAGCACCCAATTAACTCTAATTGCAAGAACGGTTGAGTATATCTTTCAACAAACTAGAGGTAAAAGGTAAAGGTATAGGGACCCCTGACCATTCGGTCCAGTCACAGACGACTCTGAGGTTGCACGCTCATCTCGCTTTATTGGCCGAGGGAGCCGGCGTACAGCTTCCAGGTCATGTGGCCAGCATGACTAAGCCGCTTCTGGCGAACCAGAGTAGCGCACTGAAACACCGTTTACCTTCCCGCCAGAGCAGTACCTATTTATCTATTGCACTTTGACGTGCTTTCGAACTGCTAGGTTGGCAGGAGCAGGGACCAAGCAAAGGGAGCTCACCCTGTTGCGGGGATTCGAACCGCCGACCTTCTGATCGGCGAGCCCTAGGCTCTGTGGTTTAACCCACAGCGCCACCTGCGTCCCTCCAAATTACAGGTATTGCCTCTCAAATAACCCAGTTATCCAAAGAGGTCCACAGTTTATCACTTAATAACAAGCAGGCATTAACAGAACACACCTAGTCCAACGTCCTGTTCTTACAGTGGCCAACCAGACAACCGCGGGAAACCTGCAAGCAAAACCCAAGCACAGGAGCTCTCCCACCCTTCTGCAGCTTCCAGCAGCTGGTTTTCAGAAGCCCATTGCAGTGGAACCTTGGTTCTCGAACTTAATCCGTCCTGGAAGTCCGTTCAACTCCCAAAAACGTTCGGAAACCAAGGCGCGGCTTCCGATTGGCTGCAGGAGCTACCTGCACTCAATTGGAAGCAGCAGCGGATGTTCGGGTTCCAAAGAACGTTCCAAACCAGAACATTCACATCTGGATTTGCAGCGTACGGGAGCCAAAACATTAGAGCTGCAAGGCGTTTGACAACCAAGGTAAGACTGTACTTAGAAGAGGCGCATCTGTGGCCCTCCAGATGTGTTTGAACTCCAGATCCCATCAGCCCTCCCAGTGTGGCCAGTGGTGAGGGGTGATGGGAGCTGAAGTCCAGAAATGTCCCCAAAGAACCCGCTATGAAGAACACATGGCCGAGGAGAAAGTTAAGAGGGAACCACCACAGATCCGTGTGTTTGGCCCTTAAAACGGAAGGCCTCTCTCTCACCAGCGCGAGGTCGTTGTGCTGTCCCTGTTCCTCCACTGGAGCATGCTGGGAAAGGTAAACCAAGTAAGCACTGATCGTCTGAGGATCCGTCTCCATGTGGATGGCCTGGAAATGGCAGAAAGAATTGTGTTACTCAGCCTCAACACTAACTAACGGAAAATTGGAAACCCTTTTTATTTTAATTCTCTCTCTTTCCTTTCTTTTTTCATTTTTTTTATTAAAGATTTTATTGTTTTACAGAAGTATGTGTAATGTCTCTTGTATTTTTTCCATGTAACATTTTTACAAATCAGTTTCATTTGTTGAGACATTGGGGCGGGGAAGGGATGGGGGGGTCGGGTGGCGATGTTTCTATTTTGCTTATATATGTAGGGTTTGGTGTCAGCGTTGCTCGCGCTGTTCATTTGTGTTTCTTTGGTGGTGAGAGAGGTTGGGGTTGGCCATGGGTGTGGATGTTCATTTGTGGTTGGCTGTGGTGGTCTTTGTTTTCGTGTGTGAGTGGGGTGGGTGGGTGTTTTGGATCTGGTTAGCCATATTGATTTGTATGCTGTTGGTGGATTATTGTTATTGTCTTGTTGGGCTGTGTTTCTTTTTTCTTTCTTTTGCTTCTGGTTTGTGTTTGTGTGTGTGTCCTCTACTCTGGGTCAATGAGGAACCTGTGTAAGAGGCAGGGAAGGGAAGAACTTCCAGGGTGGGAGACTAGGAGGATAAACTGGAAGCTCCCAGGTGAGAGCTGGGGGGCGTGTCCAGCCCCTTCTGGGTGAAATAAGGATTAAGATAGCTCCATCCAAGACATGAGGGATAATAGCAACAACTGGGGGAAAGAAAGACATAACATCTTTCAAAGACAGGAAGAAACACCATGGACAGAATAACAAACACACACAGGAAGAACAAGGATCTAGTTATGAGTTCCTCACTTGTAGTTTTATAAATCATTTAATGGGTCGACACAAATAGAAGTGATTAATATTGCAGTTGTTGTATGAGGGATTGTGATTATGACCCGAATGTAATTGAAATTAATAAGGTTTTGGAATGCAGAAATAAAGGAAATAATCAAACCATCAAATTTAGCATGCCACCTTATCTAAATTATATAATTCAGTATTTGAACAATTGGTATTAATAATTGTATTATAAATTGGTATTGTTATAATGAGGCTATTATGGGACTGTAATTGAAAAACTAATAAAACTAAAATAATAAAAATAAAAATAAAATTCTTTAAAAAGGAATTAAGGATTCAAATCTACCTTTGAGAGAGGGCTTTGCATTTTTTCTTTCTTTCTTTCTTCATTTTTATTTAGATTAGTTTCAGTAAAATTTATGGGGAGGGGGGAACAGGGCCCAGCACTGCTTTTCTAGCTATGTAGCATGTGGACTGGGGCTCATCAGAGGGCGGGTCACAAGATGCCCTGGTGTCAAACCCATCAGTTCTTAGATAGATAGATAATTATTACGGTCAAAGACCAGCTCGCCATCAGTTCCTTACAAGGTGAAGGCTAGCACTTTGAACTAAACCGAGAAACAAGTCGGATTAGCAACCGAGTCCTGAGACATAGCCATCTTCCGTGTCACCCCGAGCGGGAGATCTTACCTGCTGCAAAGCAACCGCAGTGGCGGCCCTAACGCTGTCAAACAAGGGCAGTTTGGGCAAGTCACGTAGGAGCCACTGGTAGCCCGGCAGGAGCTCTGAGTCCCCAGAGTCTTCCTCCATAGGGTGGTCCTTCTCCTCTCTGTCACGGAGTCCTCCTTCTGAAAGCACCAAAGACAGGCCCTGCAGGAAGGAGGACAGAGGCAGATTGATACAATACAGAGACCACTAAGAATTGCAGAGTTAGAAGGGACCTCGAGGGTCATCCAGTCCAACCCCCTGCAATGCAGAAATCTCAACTAAAGCATCCATGACAGTGTCAGGAGCTCAGCCCTACACTCGAGTAGGACCCAAATGGCATGTTCCCTCCCTCCTGATTAATCGTTCGGGAGCTTCAAAAGCTTTCTTCTGCCCAAACATCACAGCAACCGATGCCAACCGACACCGACACACTTAGGGATCCGTAGAGTCTTTGCAGCTTGCGTGACAGACCTCAGCAACTCAGCATTTTGGCATTATTTACATATCAGCATTATTTACATATAAACACACATGGAGCACTGCAACATGGCTCCCTCTCTCTCTAGCATCAGACGGTAAAGAGAAAAAACAAAGGACAACAGTCCCACTTCACCAAACACAGTAACACAAACATCCTACCCCCGTCACTTCCCACTCTGTGGAGTCAAAACATATTCCGTCATGTGAAAGACAACAATTCCATGACTGCAATCATGGAGCAGGAATTTTAACAGACAGATGGCTGTACAACCTCTACTTAAAAAACCTACGAGGAAGGAGAGTCCGCAACCTCCCGAGCAAGACCGCTCCACTGTCGAACAGCTCTTACTGTCAGAAAGTTATTCCTGATGTTGAGTCAGAATCTCCTTTCTTGTAAGTTGAAGCCATTGGTTCGGGTCTCCCCTCCAGTGCAGGAGAAAACAAGCTTGTTCCCTCTTCCATATGACAGTCCTTGAGGTATTTGAAGATGGCTATGCTGTCTCCTCTCAGCATCCCCTTTCCCCAGGCTAAACATACCCAATTCCCTCAACCACTCCTCATATGGCTCGGTGGCAAAACTATCTTTCAAAGAAGCCAACGAAGGGAGTAAAACACCCCCCAAACCCTAAACAGTCTAGTGAGGGCTGCGTTTGCTCAGTAGCCTCGGAATGTCAGCTAGAAAATAATAATAATAATAATAATAATAATAATAATAATAATAACTGGAATGGAGAGTTGGCTGAAGACCCTGCTTAACTCTCAATCATCTTAGGATTTATGGATATATCGCCATGTTTTGCTGCACTCGTTGTGCTTACTGCCATTTGAATCTTATCCTTTTATTTGAAACCCACATCTGAATGGGTACACAGGGCAACAGATGGCCAAGATACCAGTGGAATAAGCTGAAGAATCATCTTCCTGTGAAGTGGTCCCGTCGTCAAGAGGCTCAAGAGAGGCCCGGCGACACCGTCCTCGCCATCTTCCTTACCTTCATGGCCAGCACCCGCGAGGCCACCTGGGAGGAGCTGAGGCGCCTCAGGAAATAGTCGAGGACTTCGCACGTGGTCTGCTCGTCAGCCTTGGGTCCCAGCAGCAGGTCCTGGAGGCGTCCAAGCAGCTGCCTCTGCTTCTGCTGCCTCTGTGGAGAAAGAGGTCACTGTTTCTTCCCAGCAGTTCCCCAGCTACTGAACCGCTGAGAGCTGATGTGGGGTAGCAGCTACCGTGGGAAGGCCAGGGCAAAGGAGGCTGGGGTTCAAAGAACCGCTCAGGCCGCATCCACATCGTGCATCTGAAGAGCTCTGACGCCGTTTAAACAGTAGTAGTAGTAGTAGTAATAATAATAATAATAATAATAATTTATTATTTATACCCCGCCCAGCTGGTTGGGTTTCCCCAGCCACTCTGGGCGGCTTCCAACAGAATATTAAAATACAAAAATCTATTAAACATTAAAAGCTTCCCTAAACAGGGCTGCCTTCTGATGTCTTCTACAAGTCTGGTAGTTGTTTTTCTCTTTGACATCTGGTGGGAGGGCATTCCACAGGGCAGGTACCACCACCGAGAAGGCCCTCTGCCTGGTTCCCTGTATCTTGGCTTCTCGCAGTGAGGGAACCACCAGAAGGCCCTCAGCACTGGACCTCAGTGTCCGGGCATAACAATGGGGGTGGAGACGCTACTTCAGGTATACTGGGCCAAGGCCGTTTAGGGCTTTAAAGGTCAGCACCAACACTTTGAATTGTGCTCGGAAACGTACTGGGAGCCAGTGTAGGTCTTTCAAGACCGGTGTTATGTGGTCTCTGGCTTCCCCCAGAGAATTATGGGGGTTGCAGATTGCTAAGGGTGCTGAGGGTGTTTAGGAGATCTCCTGAACCCCTGACAGGGCAACCATCCCCAGAGTGGTTGAGCGATCAATTCTGTTTCACAGGGAACTCTGGGGAAATAGTAGCTCTGAGAGGAACATTGCGCTCTCTTAACAACCCTCAGCAACCTTAACAAATGGTGGCTGTCTACCAATGCTATCCAGTACACTAGCTGAGACCCTACCTGCCCGTAGACTGTCTTTCCAGAGTTGTGCATGCTCTGGTTATCTCCCGCTTGGACTACTGCCATGCGTTCTACGTGGGGCTAGCTTTGAAGGTGACTCTGAAAGTACAACTAGTCCAGAATGCGGCTGCCAGACTGGTGACTGGGTGCAGCCACCAGGACTGCGTAACATGGGTCCTAAAAGATCTGCACTGGCTCCCAGTACGTTTCTGAGCGCAATTCAAAGTGTTGGTGCTGACCTTTAAAGCTCTACGTGGCCTCGGCCCTGTAGACCTCAAGGAGCGTCTCCACCCCCATCATTCAGCCTAAGATCCAGCTCCAAGGGCATTTTGGCAGTTCCCTCACTTGAGGGTCGATTTCCCACTGGAAATATGGTTGTGTCTATGTGGAGATGGCAGTACTGAATCAGTAGCTCATGTGCTTCCACCTCGCATAAAGATTCAAGGACTGAGCTTCTTACCTCTCTACTACTATCCATAAAAGGTCACTCAACCATTGCTATGGGACGTGGGTGGCGCTGTGGGTTAAACCACATAGCCTAGGACTTGCCGATCAGAAGGTCGGTGGTTCGAATCCCCGTGACGGGGTGAGCTCCCGTTGCTCAGTCCCAGCTCCGGCCAACCTAGCAGTTCAAAAGCACGTCAAAGTGCAAGTAGATAAATAGGTATCACTCCAGCGGGAAGGTAAACAGCGTTTCCTTGTGCTGCTCTGGTTCGCCAGAAGCGGCTTAGTCATGCTGGCCACATGACCCGGAAGCTGTACGCCGGCTCCCTCAGCCAATAAAGCGAGATGAGCGCTGCAACCCCAGAGTCGGTCACGACTGGACCTAATGGTCAGGAGTCCCTTTACCTTTAACCACTGCTGTGTCCTTTCTCTTGGCAGATCAAGATAATCAGGTGACAGCAAAAACTGCAATTTTTTAGCTAGCGCAATCAGAATAAGCTCTGTTGTTTGATTATTAATTTAAACCTCCAGAATGCATTTTGTGTAGTTAGGTTTTCACCTCTGTCTTCGGTAAATTTCATTTTGTTTTATTGCTATGGCTAGTGGCCGATGCAAATAGAGAGCACCTACCTCTCGTTTCTTAGCACGCTGCTCTTTGCTTTCTCCTTCCTCTTCCTCCTCGCCAGAGGCGGATTCGTCAGCGGCATCGTGCAGAAGGAACTCACAAAGGCACTGCACCGGGAGAACATCCAAGGAGCCCTCGCTGGACTGAACCAGGTCTGCCAGCCATGGCATCGATTGCGAAGAAGCCTAAGGAAGAAGAGGGTGAGGTTTACCTGTGGGACCGCCTCAGCCCACCAAAGCCCTGAGACCTCCGGGTATAGGGCAGTAGAAAAATCCAATAAATAAAGTAAATAAAAAATAAGCCCACTCGGCTGCTTCAGTCTGCAGAACGGGCACTGCTACTGGTGCCACACAAAACCCACTCCACATCTCTAAGAAATCCATCTTTTGAGTGAGGAGGCTATTACACTTTGGAACTACTGATAACAGGCAGCACTCTTTATGGCGCTTGAAGAAAACATTTCTTGCTTAGGCAAGCCTACCCAGATACAGAGAATGTTCACATGCCTTTAAATCTGTTTTTAGTTTACGTGGTCTTAATTTTTCAAATGTTTTAATTGCTTTTAAGTTTTCACTGAGAATTTTATCGTTTTCTTCTCTGTGTAAATTGCTTTGAGATTTATTTATTTTTTAAATAATCCTGCAGTGTGTACATTTTATGAAATGAATGAGTGGGTCTTTGAAGCTTGCTGGAAAGCCGGAACTGTTGGGATCGACCAAATAACTGGGGTGGTGGAGGAATTCTGCAAACAGTGGGCCACCACCAAGCAGAGGCAACCGTGTGCCGTCCCCAACGCTCTACAAAAGCCGCCCCATTTCCAGCCTCACCCTTCCATCTCCTCCCAACCCTTTCAGTCTTGCTCCGATTGAACAATCCTTGCTCCAACATTCTCAGCGCATCCAGACGTTGAGTCGAACCATTTGGTGCGCCCCAAAGGCTCCCCGTTTCCTGATGGATAGCATTCAGAATGATGAAACCAAGCGGCAGCCCTCTGCTGCCTTCAATTCCCCTGCCTTCAATTCCCCCCCAGCATGGCACTTCCCAGCCCTGGGGGTGACCCACCTGCCTCTGGATGATGTTGAGCAGGAAGTCGGGGTGTCTGCTGCGGCAGAGGAGGTGTCCCAAGCGGAGAGACTGGTTGAAGCTTTTCACCTGGTCCAGGACAGGCTGAGGTGGCCGGCGAGGGGGACCCCTGAGAAGGGAACACAAGAGGGTCTCTTGGCTTTTCTCCCAACACTCCCCACCTCTCCACTGCTTCCCTGGAGGCTGCTAAAGACCTGTCTGCCTTGAGGGAAGGCAGAAGCAAGACAGCGCAGGCAAAGGACAGCACACAGGCCAGAGCGGCTAGGGCAAAGCTGTCAGACGGGCAGGGCACAAAGAAAAAAATTATTAGTACAGTCACTAGCCTGGATGAATCCCAAGCCAAAATTAAGATTGCCGGAAGAAATATCAACAAGCTCAGATATGCAGATGACACAACCTTGATGGCAGAAAGTGAGGAGGAATTAAAGAACCTTTTAATGAGGGTGAAAGAGGAGAGCACAAAATATGGTCTGAAGCTCAACATCAAAAAAACTTAAGATCATGGCCACTGGTACCATCACCTCCTGGCAAATAGAGGGGGAAGAAATGGAGCAGTGAGAGATTTTACTTTCTTGGGCTCCATGATCACTGCAGATGGTGACAGCAGCCACGAAATTAAAAGACGCCTGCTCCTTGGGAGAAAAGCAATGACAAACCTAGACAGCATCTTAAAAAGCAGAGACATCACCTTGCCAACAAAGGTCCATATAGTTAAAGCTATGGTTTTCCCAGTAGTGATGCATGGAAGTGAGAGCTGGACCATAAAGAAGGCTGATCGCCAAAGAATTGATGCTTTTGAATTACGGTAAAGGAGGAGACTCTTGAGAGTCCCATGGACTGCAAGAAGATCCAACCTCTCCATTCTGAAGGAAATCAGCCCTGAGTGCTCACTGGAAGGACAGATCCTGAAGCTGAGGCTCCAATACTTTGGCCACCTCATGAGAAGAGAAGACTCCCTGGAAAAGAACCTCATGCTGGGAAAGATGGGGGGCCCAAGGAGAAGGGGACGACAGAGGACGAGATGGTTGGACGGTGTTCTCGAAGCTACAAGCATGAGTTTGACCAAACTGCGGGAGGCAGTGGAAGACAGAAGTGCCTGGCATGCTCTGGTCCAGGGGGTCACGAAGAGTCAGACACAACTAAACAACAACAACCTCATGTTACGTTTGCTTCAGGTTGAATGTTTTCAGGCTGCATCCCGCGGCGACCCAGAAGTACCGGAAAGGGTTACTTCCGGGTTCCGCTACTCTTTGCCGCTCGCACATGCACAGACGTGCAAAATGACGTCACATGCATGCGCAGAAGTGGCAAATTGTGACCTGCGCACGCGCAGACGCGGGTTGCATTTTGCTCATGTTGCGAACGGGCCTCCAGAACGGATCCCACTGTATTAGTGTTGGCTGCCAGCTGCCCTGAGGGGACTCTGTCACTCTCTACATTTCCCACTTATTTGATGTATTCATATCCCACCTTCCTTCAGAAGCTGGGATCCAAGGCGGCTAACAGCATTATAAAATGCACAGAACAGAAATTACTTAAAATCAGGAGTTGAAACATCTTAAAAAGCAATTTAAAACCCTGCCAGCAGCCCAGGGTTCAGCATCGACAGTACCTTTGTTTCCAAAGGCTGGTCTGAACAGGAAGGTTTAGCCTGCCAGCAGAAGCATGACAAGGAGGGAGCCAGACGAACCTCTCTGGGGAGGGAATCCCACAATTTGGGATCAGAAGAAAAGGCTCTCTCTCTCTCATGTCATATCGACAACCGTGCCTCTGATGCTGATGAGACCAGGAGAAGGTGCTTACTCAAGAATCTTAGCACCCGGGCAGCTTTGTATAGAGAGATATGGTAGCCTACACCCAAGGCGTATAATGTTTTATGTACTATACTGTATAATTTTATTTGTTTCAATGTTTTCATAATTATTATGACAATTTTATTATTTATACTCCGCCCATCTGGCTCGGTTGCCCTGGCCACTCAGAGCAGCTGCTTCCAACACATATAAAAAGATAATAAATCACCAAACATGAAAAACTTCCCCATACAAGGCTGCTTTCAGAGGTCTTCCAAGAGGAGTGTACTTCTTTATCTCCTTGACATCTGATGGGAGGGCGTTCCACAGGGAGGGCTCCTGAATCCCCACCACCACCCACACCTTCATTTATGGTACATCCCTGCACCATATTATAACATTTGATGATCTCCTTCCACCGGTCAACAATAGAAAGTGTCCTTTCATACTGCATTGCGGTGTGGTACGCTGGTTTGACATCAACTGATAGGAAGTGCCTACAGAGGGTGGTGAATACAGCACAAAATATTATGGGCTGTCCCGTGAATCTGCTGGATGAAATAGCGGAAGAAAGTTGCCTCAGGAGAGTGAGGAAAATCCTCAGGGATGATTCACACCCTGGCCGGCACTTTCTTGATCTCCTGCCCTCGGGCAGAAGATATAGAAGCATGAATAGTCGCACCGACAGGGTAAAGAACAGCTTCTATCCGTGGGCTGCTAGGCTGCTGAATGAAAAGATAACAACGGGGCAACTGACTTTTGGTTTGGGTGGGTGTGCGTCAGTAAACGAGGGGAATTAAGACTAAGAGAGCTGAGTGGGGGGTGCTCGTGTAATCTCACTGTATACAAGTTGTACAAGTGACAATAAAATATTTCAATCCCATGATCTCCCCCCACTTTGAAAGATCTGAACTTGTGTCACATTCCCCTTTGGAATACAATTCGCATCAACCCCAACCGGCACAGTTTGAATCGTACGGAGGGCGCCGGGTTGGGGAAGGCTGCCCTGGGGCAACAGAGGCTGCTTACTGGGGATCCAGGCTGGTGAGCTGAGACAGCAGGAGGCTGCTGCTCTCTGTGATGGTCTGCTTGGTTGACGCCGCCGCCAGGTGGCCCTCGAAAGCGAGGATTTCTTGCTTCTCCCGCTGCGAGATCTGAAGTTCGCGGCTGATCATTTCCGTGCGGGTCTCTTCGTCCGTCAGCGTGCAAGGAGGGTAGGAGTAATTGCTGAGAGGGGGAATATAAGACCACAGGAGAAGATCAAAAATGTTCCCTGGAATCACATTCCAGAGGGCAGGCACCACCACCCAAAAGGCCCTGGTGTTAAGAGGACAGAAAACCAACCGCAGGAGCACAGAGCAGCGTAAAGAGTGCCTCTTTCGAGGGTAAAAGCTGCTCACTCAGAGCTATCAGAAACTCTTGCCCTGCCTTCCCATTTTGAGTTTCCATCTGTGGTCAGAACAGGAGGACACCTCCTGTGCTAATCTTCAGCCTTCAGCTGGTTCCCCCACTCTTTTAATGTTAACACAGCATCCACCTGCAGCCAGAAATTGTACAATTTGTTTGGCCCACTTGGGAATCTGCCCTATGTACAGACTAAGCTTCAGCTCCCCAAAATAGGCAGGATTAGCATACTTACTTTGTCATGGCCATTTCCATGAGCATCTTTAGCGTGGGGTACTCGTCCCAGGCAGCGAGACCTAAGACACAAGCGGGGGGGGGGGGGGGAGAGAGAGAGAGAGAATTGAGATGGCACCATGCAGAACAGCCAGAGGTTTGAACACAGCTCTCTGCAATACTCTGCCCAATGACACACCTCTCCCCAGTAGATCACGTGTTATTTTTGTCTGTCAGTTCCTTCCTTGAACTGATGCCTTCTAGAAGCTGTTGGAATACAATTCCCATCACTCTCAGCTAATACACACACACACACACACACACACACACATATATATATATACACACACACACACACACACACACACACACACAGTGGTACCGTGGGTTAAGAACTTAATTCGTTCTGGAGCTCCGTGCTTAACTTGAAACTGTTCTTAACCTGAAGCATCACTTTAGCTAATGGGGCCTCCCGCTGCTGCCGCGCCGCTGCTGCACGATTTCTGTTCTCACCCTGAAGCAAAGTTCTTACCCCGAGGTACTATTTCTGGGTTAGCGGAGTCTGTAACCTGAAGCGTCTGTAACTTGAAGCCTCTGTAACCCGAGGTAGCACTGTATATAATTAAACGGCCATGGCTTCCCCAGCAAAGAATTATGGGAGTTGTAGTTTGTTAAGGATGCTGAGAGTTTTCCCACTATCCCCTTCGCAGAGCTACAATTCCTTGAGTTTCCTAGGGAAAGGGAATGACTTTCTGCCATTCAGAGCACTGTAGTTTGGTAAGGGGATATAGGGTTGCTGGACCAGATGAGCCCTGGGCCCGATCCAGCAGGCTCTTCTTTTTGTCCTCATTACACTCACCAATGTTTTCGGGGTTGAATGCGGCAACAACGAGCAAAAGAGGCCAAGCTTTCCAGTAGAGAGTAGAGATGGCCAGATTTGGAGGCTGGTACCTTCAAAGCAAACAGAAACAATCATATTGCATTGCTGTAGTTTAATTTTCTTAATAAAATGTTTCCATTGCCCAAAGATGCTCTAGACATAGCCGGTCACTATTATTGGCTTCCCACCCCTTCCTTATGTTTTCTGCTCACAATCAAATTAAGTTACTCTCTCTAGCCCAAGAGTTGCATGCATGCAAATGTTACCCAGGGGGCAGCTGGATGTTCTCTGGGTGGTGGTAAGTGCACAGGTTCAAGACGGCATCGATCAGTTGGATCCTCTCCACTCTCAAGACTTCAAGATCTAAAGGAAGCAGAAGTATGTCATGAGCTGTGTGTTGATGCAATTCAATTTCTTAAGACTGCAGACTCAAAACTAGCTGAGTCCTAAAGGAAAACGGTGCAGATTCAATGAAGGGGATAAGGAAATTGGGTTATACAGGAGTAACAGAAAGCAGAGCTAAGCTGGCCTGGGTCTGATCCGTTGCCCAGATAGGATGATGCCCATGAATGCTGCCCCATGGAGCTTTGCAGAAAGAAAGCAGGACAGAAAAATAAATGAGTAAGAGTGGGAAAATGGAGACAAATACATTGGGGAGACACAGGGAAGTTTATAAGTGAAAAAGTCCTTCTGCCTCGATTGGAAATCTCACCTAGACTCCATTTAGCCTCAAAGGCTGTGAGCAAACACTGCTCTAATCATATTTGTACAGTGGTACCTCTGGTTGAGAACACGATCCATTCTGGAGCCCCATTCGCAACATGAGCAGGACGCAACCCATGTCTGCGCGTTTGTGCAGGTTGCGACTCGCCGCTTCTGTGCATGCACGTGATGTCATTTTGAGCATCTGCGCATGCCCGAGCGGCGAAACCCGGAAGTAACCCTTTCCGGTACTTTTGGGTCGCCACAGGACACAACCTGAAAAGATTTAACCTGAAGCAAACGTAACAAGAGGTATGACTGTATCTTCTTTGCTGCCATGAGGGCTAGCCCCTTAGGTTTCACTTTACACACACACACAAAAGGGCAACTTGTTGTTTTTTTTTAAGAGACAGGATTGATTGATTTGGCAGGTGTTCATCCTGCTTTTCAGCTGGAGTCCTCACATCGTTTATAGTAGAAAGGTGGAAACTGCGGCCTTGCTTATCATTTCCCCCCATCGTCCTTCGCCAACGGCCGCGCTGGCTGGGTCCAGTGGGCGCTTGGGGCGGTGTGCCCAGGGGTGGAGCGAGCCACACGGCGGGGCTTCCGGAGTCCGCCTGCCTCCTCCCACTCAGCTGCCCTACAGCTGGGGGGCAGGCAGCAGGCGGACCGTTTGGGCAGTGTGGAACCTGCAGATGCCAAGCCACCACATCTCTCCCAGGAGAGGTGTGATGCAGGCCCCACGGTGAGTGCTGCCCGGCATTTGGTCACCTCCCCCCAGTGGTGAAACCTGGGGTGGCCAGCCCGCACCCACCGCACCCCCCTTCCTCCACCCCTGGCTGGGTCTGATGCAAACTGGAGTCCAACAACAGTGGACGCTTTTGTTGAGTTCCTACCTAGAACTAGACTAGAACTAGTCTGTATGTGTGGTTTGGGAGCTGCACAGTCAGGGAAAAAACAATGCTGTCCAGAGTTATAAAGACTGCGGAGAGAACACTCTTCCCACCTTGGATCAAATCTGCACTTCCAGGTGCTATAAGAAAGCTGCAGAGATAGTGCAGGATAGTGCGCACCCTGGAAATGATCTCTTTCAGCTTCTGCCTTCTGGAAGAAGGTACAGGGTTATAAAGACTAGGACTAGCCGCCTGAGAAACAGTTTCTATCCAAATGCGATTTTGGTTTTAAACGCTGTGTAAGGTAGTCTCTATGTGAGTACAGTGGTGCCCCGCAAGACGAATGCCTCGCAAGACGGAAAAACCGCTAGACGAAAGGGTTTTCCGTTTTGAAGTTGCTTCGCAGGACGAATTCCCCTATGGGCTTGCTTCGCAAGACGAAAATGTCTTGCGAGTCTTGAGATTTTTTTCCGCTTTCCCCCTTTATCTAATCTGCTAAGCCTTTAATAGCCTTTAATAGCCTTTTAGCAGCTAATCCCCTAAGCCTTTAAGCCTTTAATAGCCGCTAAACAGCTGATAGCGCTAATAGCGCTAATCCGTCAATGGGCTTGCTTCGCAAGACGAAAAAACCGCTAGACGAAGACTCTTGCGGAACGGATTAATTTCGTCTTGCGAGGCACCACTGTATATTGTGTTTAAAAATGGGGTATCAGAGTTTTTAGGGGGCTAACCAGGCTGGGATAGCAGGCTTGTTGGGTTTTGAATGTCTGATGTAGATTTTTCAATTTCGTTGACAATGACAATAAAGATGATCGTATCTTAAATGACCCTCCGGGTCCCTTCCAACTCTACAATTCTATGATTCCAGCACCTTGAGATGCATAAGCAAAATAAAACCGGTGGGTGTGCGAAACCCGGGCTTCACTGCCAGAATCCTACCGTCTGCCTGCACAGCTGCCGCCCGTTTCACCAGATGGTCTGCAAGCTCCATGGCATCGGCGGGGCCAAGGGGGAGATCCCGCGACAGGCCGATCACGAGGATGCGCATGAGTGTGTCTTCGAGGATCGGTACTTCAGAGCAGAGGCGGAGGTAGAAGCTGGTGGGAGGGAAGGGAGGGAGAGAGAGAGAAAGAGCTACTGGCTTCCAAAGAGTCAGTCCATATAGGGTGCAAAGTCAAACAGATCAGCAAACCTAGCTGTCAGGTGCTGTTGCGGTTGCTCGAGAGTAACCAGGAAGGACTCCGACCTGTCTTTTACAGGCTTTATTTTGGTGCAAACTATTTACAGTGAAAAGCGTCATAAGTTCATGTCTGGCTCAATCGCTAGCAGAATCCGGGAGTGGTCTGTTTTTGTACCTCCCCCAGCATAAAAGTCGCGTCACCCCCAGCCTTTTCCGCCCCTCCCTGTGCCTCAGACTACTGCGCATGATGGGCAATGGCAAAGGCGTGCTTCCCTCCTCTCCAACTGGCTCAGGCGCGGTGTTAAGGCTCTTACTAGCATCCTCTGGTCCTTGCACCTCCCCTCCACTGGAGGTGGGGCCTTCCTCCTTGCCGGAAGAGGAACTGCTTTGCAAGATTTTTGGAGGTTCCCTGTGACACAACTGCCCTTCTATCTCTCGCCTCTGGCCAATGGCAGTTCCCTGACACTAGCCAATAACCTTTCTGCATAAGAGTGACCACCTTTTCCCTTGGGCTTTTGTGGGTTTTAAAAATAAATAAATAAAGCCAAGCCAAGCCCCCGACTTACTTGCGGTCGCTCTCGGGAGGCCAGTTGTCCCATTTGTAGTAGGTCTCTGGCTGCTCTGTGAACAGCACTTTGTGGAGGCTTAGAAAATAGGGGAAAGCAATGTGTCAGAATCAGTTGATCCAGGAAGAAAGGGTCAAGGTTCAGGAGCCCAAGAACAGGAGGAAATGCTCCAAGACTGCATGGGAGCAGCAAAGTTGCTCCAATGGGATTCCCTGCCTGCCCACCAAGCTTTCAAGTGGAGGGGTGACAGGTTTGGTGCTGTCCACCAGGCAATGGCTTTTTCCACCTGCCTTGCCCCACCCTCCAGCCCCGGTAATCTTCATAAGGGAGCTGTTTCCAGAGGAAGAACTGTAGGGGTGAGGGACTTTGTCATCATGTGGGGGTTGGTTTCCCCGGTGCTGCCCCACCTCCAGCCCTAGGAACCTTCAGAAAGGAGTCGCTGCCACAGGTATTACCGTACTTTTCCGTGTATAAGGCTATGTTTTTCCCCCTTTAAAAATCATGCTAAAAAGTGGGGGTCGTCTTATACATGGGTAGTGCATAGGGTGGATGCATGATTGGCTGCTGCTGAGGCTGTCAGTGGCTATTGTGTGTGTTATTGGTTGCTGCGTCAATGGGTGGCGTTGATTGGCTGACACTCTGGCAGTCGGGCGCGGATGATTGGCAGCTTCTGTCGGCGATGGGACAGGCAGGAGGTGGATTTAGCGACGAGTGTGGGGGAGTGATTTTTGGCAATCCTCCGCAAAAAAAGCTCAACAATTCAGGTCAATTCTCCGCAAAAAAATAGCTCAACAACAACTCTGTGACATTTCCCCCCATTTTCTTATATTTGAGTCCCCCAAATAGGGGGTTTCTTATACACGGGGGCGTCTTATACACGGAAAAGTACGGTATGTGCCTGGGCATTTTAATGAGCTGAACAGATTGAAAGATTATCAGTCATGGGGATGTGGGAAGTGTGTGTATGAATTGAACAGTGCTTAGTTTAATTTTGGCTGCTGTTGTGCCAACGGTAATATTGCTTTCTAGATTACAAATACTGTAGTCCTAAAACATGGCTATAATTGTGATACTTTGTTTATTTTGTAGTAGTTGTTTCGTTAATAGCGCCTTATAATTGAAATTGTTTCACTGATGATTTGTAATTGTTTTACTGGTGACTTGCTAATTATTCCATGAGAGTTATGCTGTATTTGTAATGCTGTTATGTCGTTATTTACTGCTTGAAGCAGGGATCTCATCATTTGAATGAAAATCAGCATAGAAATATAATCCATCAATCAATGTCCAGCGGCTTCCCTGTCCCTGTGGGGATTCATGGTCTGTAGGTGGGGCTGAGAGGTTGAATCTCTTCTTGTTTTACCGCCTCTCCCTGGGAGACAGCCCCAGACCCAGCTCCCCATCCCCTCTGTATCTTCCAGCTGTCACAGCAGGTCATACTCTGGGCCCCCCTGTCATAAGAGCCTAAGAGGAGCCCGCTGGGTCACGCCAATGGCTCACCTAATCTAGGCATGCTGTTCTTACACTGGCCAACCAGATGACTGGGGAAGACCCATATGCAGGACTCAAGCACAAGAGCAACTCTCCCCTCCTATGGTTTCCAGAAACCGGTATTCCTAAGCATTGCTGCCGTCAGTAGCTCTTTCCTCCGTGAAATTGCCTAATCCTCTTTTAAAGTCATCCAAGTTGGCACCTGTCACTGCTTCCTGATTGGAGCTCCTTCCATAGCTTCGATGCCTCCCTTTCCATGGAGGCGCAGGTTGCAGCCACAGCAAAGGTGGCATATTTCCATCTCCGCCGTATTAAGCAGTTGGTCCCTTACCTTTCTCGCCCTGATCTGGCCACAGTGATCCATGTGACAGTCACCTCCAGGCTTGATTATTGTAACTTGCTCTATGCGGGGCTGTCCTTGAAGCTGACCCAGAAACTCCAGTGGGTGCAGAATGCTGCGGCAAGGCTCCTTACGGGGTCCTTGCTGCGGGATCACATTCATCCAGTGCTTTACCAACTGCACTGGCTCCCGGTGGAGCACAGGGTCAGGTTTAAGGTGCTGGTTTTGACCTTTAAAGCCCTATGCGGCCTAGGACCCTTGTACCTACAGGACCGCCTCTCCTGGTTGGCCCTGCAGAGGACCTTAAGGTCCACAAATGACAACACTTTGGAGGTCCCAAGTCGCAAGGTGATTAGGTTGGTTTCAACTAGGGCCAGGGCCTTTTCAGTACTGGCCCCGACTTGGTGGAACGCTCTGTCACAAGAGACCAAGGCCCTGCGGGACTTGACATATTTCCGCAGGGCCTGCAAGACAGAGCTGTTCCGCCTGGCCGTTGGTTTGGACTCAGTCTGACCCTTATGTTTCCCTTCCCCAATGGTTTTGATCTATGGGATGCTTTTAAAATGAGGCTGCATTTTAAATTGCATTTTAACCTGTATTTTAAATTTGTCCCCCCCCCCCATTTTGTTTTTACTGTAATTTTACTGGTGTTAGCCACCCTGACCCGGCTCTGGCCAGGGAGAGCAGGGTATAAATAAAATTTATTATTATTATTATTATTATTATTATTATTACTACTGCTACGTGCTGAATCTTTATCTGTCCTGAATCTTAGAATCATAGAGTTGGAAGAGACCACAAGGGCCATCGAGTCCAACCCCCTGCCAAGCAGGAAACACCATCAGAGCACTCCTGACATATGGTTGTCAAGCCTCTGCTTAAAGACCTCCAAAGAAGGAGACTCCACCACACTCCTTGGCAGCAAATTCCACTGTCAAACAGCTCTTACTGTCAGGAAGTTCTTCCTAATGTTTAGGTGGAATCTTCTTTCTTGTAGTTTGGATCCATTGCTCCGTGTCCGCTTCTCTGGAGCAGCAGAAAACAACCTTTCTCCCTCCTCTATGTGACATCCTTTTATATATTTGAACATGGCTATCATATCACCCCTTAACCTCCTCTTCTCCAGGCTAAACATGCCCAGCTCCCTTAGCCGTTCCTCATAAGGCATCGTTTCCAGGCCTTTGACCATTTTGGTTGCCCTCCTCTGGACACGTTCTTCTTCCCACAAGATCTCTTGGGCAGGGAAGGAGCAAGCTCCTACCTTGTCAGAAGATCCATGCATTCCCCCCCCCCCCATTTCATCTTATTCTGATTCCCCACCCTCTGCCTTCTGGCTCCGAGATCGAATCCTGGTCTGAATGAGGGTGCTCGGAGGGAACCCAGGAGGGGTCCCCCAAGAGGCCGGGTGCACCATCAACACCATCATCTCCAGCTCAGCTTCTTACCAGTGAACGTATTCTTTGGGAGCCAGTTTGGTGATGGAGGGAACCACCGTGTGCAGCCACCAAACCGCGTCCCTCTGGATGGCTGCGATCTGGTTCTGGAAGGCACGCAGGACCTCCAAGTCTGGGGAGAAGGACAGAGGCAGAGGAGGTCAGAAGGAACGTCATCAGGTCCCAGGACGGCAGAGCCAGGAAGCCCTCTTGCACACAGCCATGGTGGGGAAGGGGAAAGGGCGAAGGGCAAAAGTCAGCATCTTGCCCATCTTACTTAAAACAGGTGGGTCAAGGTTCTAGGCCAGGGTGGATCTGCAGCCCAAGGGGCCTCATTTCATGCACCTCTCGGCCTGATTTCAAAAGCCTTCCAGAAGTGATCAGACCTCTTGGCAAGAGAGGTCAAGTCCTTCCCTGGGCTGGGATGAAGCAGGAAAGCGAGAGGGAGATGCAAGAGTGTGGGGGGATGGCTAGAGGGAGAAGAAGGGTGCAAGAAAGAGAGAGATAAAAAGGAAACAGGATAGTAGGAAAAGAGAAAGGGTGGCCCCACTCTTTTCAGTGTGATCCTGCCCACCTCTGGTTGCAGTCCTGCCCCCCAAACAAAATGTGGCTCCAAACAGGTTACCATGGGGAAAATGTGACTCTCGACACAAAAGCCCTGTTCTTAAGTCTGGGCAGACAGATCTGAAGGGTGGGTGGTGGCAGTAAGAAAATTCATTTTACTTATATTTATTAATTGGAATTTATGTACCACCCTATACTCGGATGTCTCAGGGCGGTTCACAGAACAAAATCAAAATGTAAAACCACAATATATATAATCAAAATGAAAACAACAAGCCAGTAACACCCCCCTCAAAAAAGAACCACATTAAAAAAATTAACTGGAGTTCAATTTTTTGCCTGCAAGAGTTATCCTGTTCACAACATTCAGATGCGGATTAAGAAAAAGAGATAGTAAGGATCACATGATCCCCGGGAAAAGAGAGGGATCCTTTGCTGCAGGACTGGCGCTGGAAAATACGGTCCCCAACTCTTGCAAACGAAACCACTGCTGCTGTCTGTGCAATTTGGGTATGCAAATACTTCATTTTTAATTGACAAAAGAGGGCAACGCTCTCGAAACAGGCTGTGGGACTGACAATGCACGGCAACAAAGCTCAGATTTATTATGACAGCCATGTGACGGAATTAATAATTTTATTTATTTACGCGCTTTATTTTCACATCGGTTCTGGGCAGCGTCTCCAGAGCAGGCCCACAGATCCTGCATGTCTACCCAGCTCCCTCTTCCTCGCCCTGTTTTTAGAGCCAGGTGATGCAACCCACTTACTCTTCTTCTCTCCTTTGTCCCACGCGAGGCCGGCTTCCTTCACCTGGGCAGTAATGCTGAGCATCATGGAGACGGCCAGCAGGTCTGTGATGTGGATGACAAAGCGGTCCTGCCGGGGGTAAGAGGGGAGGATGGTGAATATGGGGGTGGGGGTAGCCGGGAGGCAGGACAGGCCCCCAGGCAAACGACATATGTGCCAGCCCGTCTCTCCCTTCTGCGTGTCGCTCGGGAGATCCATCAGTCTTCTTCCCCGACGTGCTTCCGTGACTCATGTCTTGGGACGTGAGCGCACACTACCTTAGCAGAGTCAACAACAGCAGAGCTAGACTCGAGGTGTGAGTACAGTGGTGCCTCGCAAGACGAAATTAATCCGTTCCGCGAGTCTCTTCGTCTTGCGAAGCACGGCTATTAGCGGCTTAGCGGCTATTAGCAGCTTAGCGGCTATTAGCGGCTTAGCGGCTATTAACGGCTTAGCGGCTTTAAGAAAAAGGAAACAAACTCGCAAGAACTCGCAATACGTTTCGTCTTGCGAAGCAAGCCCATAGGGAAATTCGTCTTGCGGAACGACTCAAAAAACGCAAAACCCTTTCGTCTAGCAAGTTTTTCGTCTTGCGAGGCATTCGTCTTGCGGGGCACCACTGTACTAAGCTACTACTATTATATACAAATCAGGACAAAGGAAAACATGGTTCCTCTCTGCTTCCTCAGAGAGAGGGGGATACAAAAATACAACAACAGAACGGAACGGTGTACATCAGGGGTCGGCAAAGTTTTTGTGGCTTGGGCTGGTTCACGGTCCCGCAGACGCCACGGAGGGCCGGAGTGCGCGTTCACGCACGCATGCGCAAATGCTATTTCCGGCGCTCCTTCCAGTGTGGAGGAGGCATGCGCAGCTTCACATTGGCTTCATCCTGCTGCCCTGCGGAAGCTTCGCGGGCTACCCCAGAAGCCAGAACAGCTAGAGGGAGCACTGCGCAGCACTCCCTCTTGCTGTTCTAGCTTCTGCCTTAGTGGCACGAAGCCTCCGCAGGGCACCGGGGAGCCTTCATCCCGCTGCCCTGTAGAAGCTTTGCGCGGCTATCCCTGGCTTTTGCGGGAGGTGCGTCTTATGTTCCGGTGCATCTAACAGAGCGAAAAATACGGTAAACATCGCACACAGGAAATTTATAGGACGTAGAACTTCTGTTACAGAAATAAGATTCATTAAATCTGATAATACGAATGGAAGTCAAAAGATCTGTAACTGTGGATAAGGGATTAAGAACAAGACTGAATGTAGTTGGATTAATTAAGATTTCGGAAGCAGGATGGAAAAAACCCCACATTCCACCTTGAAATCCAGCACACAGGAAGTCACACAAAATGTATAATTGGCTTTATAATTGGTATATATTGGCATATGAATTGTAATTAGATATTGACAAAATGTGGTTTTTAGCGGATTTTAGTAATTGAAAATTACAAAAAAATTACAAAAGCAAAGAAAAACAAAAACACGGAAGGAACACACCATATAAGGCGCCTTTCGCAGAAGCAACTGGTGGGGGAAACCAAGCAGGCCTCTCACCTTGAACTCCATCTCAGCGTACTGAGGCTCCTTCCGTTCCTGCATGAGACCGAGGCAGAAAGCCTGGAAGTTGATCTCGTGCTTCGTCTGCTTGATAATTTCCCGCAGCAAGGCCCGCGAGGCGCGCAGGTAGTCGTCTTTGTTGGTCAGCAGATCTTGGAAGACCATCGCCAGGAACTGGGAAGAGAGCAAGGAGGAGATGCTGCGTTAAGTGGGGTTGCCAAGAGGGATCTATTCTGTCCCACAGGCTACTTCCTAGCCCTGGCTAACCAGCCACCTACCTTTGGAGCGAGCTCTGGGCTGTGCTGCAAAACCGTGTAGAGAATCTGCATGTTGTTGGGATTTCTGGCATTCGAAAGCTCGTTGAAGACCACTGATTTGACCACCGTGCCCAAGTTGTCCCGGTGGGCGTTCAGCAGCTCCCTGCAGGAAATGAAGTTTTTTTTAAAGGGGAAAAAAGCTTATTTATGCAGAAGAAAAACAATACTACATAAAATGTAGAAAAAAGAGGAGTGGGAATTTGACAAAAGCACCTGTGTGATATACAAGGCACGTCAAGACCTCCTCAAAGAATAAGAAGTTCCATAGTTCATGTTACATACATTAAAGTTGCCAGATGTCCACAAATGCCCACTGCATATGTAATAAAGTTCTGCCAAGTGATGTAAAATTATTGTGGTTTTTCCTTGCAGAACCTGGATTCTATATGCATTTTTTATGCTACTGCTAAAGTCCAAATCGTTCTATATAATGTGGGTAAGTTTAGGTTATCCAGTTTTTTCCACAATCAAATGGTGGCTTGTCTAGCAACTATAAGGAAATGCAGAAGCAAGTCCTTAAATTTGGTGTCCTTGTGATGTCCTGTAAAGCCATTATTATGTGCCACATAATACTCATTCTGCATTTGTAAGAAAACACTTACACTTTGGAACTTCCTGCCTATTGACATCAGGCAAGAGCGTTCATTCAACTCTTTTCAGCACTAGATAAAAACATTTTTGTCTAGGCAAGCCTACCCAGATGTATTGACATGTCTTACCGTGTTTTTAGTTTGTTGCTTACTTATTTTTATTTTTAATGTGTTAGATAGTTGTTATTACTAGTAATTTTCACCTTGTGGTTTGCTCATTTGCTTTTCTTTTTAACGGTCAAGCAGCGTTTAAACATTATGAAAGCAAAAAATAATTCTAGCATAAATTTAATATTATCACTAATCAGTTGCTTAAGCACATCAGACCAAAATTCTTTTACGGGGTGGTGTTCCCACCAGAGGTTTTGAACAAAGAACCAACCAAGTTGACTGTAACTAGGCTCCTAGACAAACTGCTAATTCCACCTGCCCCTGGCACCTGCCAGATGTAGGGGAGAAACGCTTCCCCATCTCCATTAGCAACAATTTAAGATCCACCAGTCTCTTTTCCTAACCACTGATGTGCACAAACCTTGCTCCTGCTGCCCCTGCTCTCTCCCGCAAGTATGGCTGGGCGATAGACTGATATATTGTCCAAAACCAGTTTGAAGTCCATATTGTGCTATCGGTTTCATAATTTTTGATGTGGCAATATATTGTGAATCACGATGTGTGTGTGTGTAATGCAAGAACCACAATGCAGGTAAAGCCGTGAAGCCAGCCAATGCCTCTATGTAGTTCCATCCTTATTTCAGACATTGTGATACATTGGTATATCACGATATTTAGCCCGTATATCACAATGTTGAAAACCTACCCACAAGTCCAGCCCTACCCACAAGCAGGATTTGGCCCACCTTTGCCCTTTGTCCTACAGGACCGCCTCTCTTGGTATGCCCCGCGGAGGACCTTAAGGTCCACAAATGACAATATTTTGGAGGTCCCACATCACAAGGTGGTTAGGTTGGTCTCAACTAGGGCCAGGGCCTTTTCAGTACTGGCCTCGACTTGGTGGAACGCTCTGTCCCAAGAGACTAGGGCCCTGCAGGACTTGACATCTTTCCGCAGGGCCTGCAAGACAGAGCTGTTCCGCCTGGCCTTTGGTTTGGACTCAGTCTGACCCTTATGTTTCCCTCCCCTTAGGGTTTTGATCTATGGGCTACTATTTAAATGAGGCTGCATTTTAAATTGTATTTTTAACCTGTATTTTAAATTGGTTCCCAAACCCCTATTATGTTTTTATTGTAATTTGACTGGTGTTAGCCGCCCTGAGCCCGGCTCTGGCCAGGGAGGGCGGGGTTTAAATAAAATGTATTATTATTTATTATTACTCAGGTCTCCTAGTGCAGGGGTGTCCAAACTTTTTTCAAAGAGGGCCAGATCCAAAGTTGTTGACCTTTTAGGGTTGTTGAGGTTTTTTTTTACGATTTTACCCCAAAGTTGTTGAGCTTTCTTGGGATTGAAATAAACTGTCACAGGGGCCGGATTAGGCCCCCAGGCCTAGTGAAAGAGGGCCTTTTGCCTGGCTTCAGCCTGGGCTTACCTGACACACAACATGTAGTGGTTGAGAAGCACTTTGGGTTTGAGGCGGATTTTGATCAGGTTGGAGACCACCTCGACGTCCTCGGAGCTGTGGGTGTTGCAGTTCATGCAGACCGACATGAGCAAGTCCTGGGCAGGCCTGGTGAGCTGGGAAGGAAGGGGAACAGGGGTGCAATGAGGGCAGGCAGGGGAGAAAGAAGCCACACGAATAAAATTAAGATGGGAAGCTTAGCCCGGAGTTGGAAAGAAGATAAAGTCCCTACCAGAGAAGAATGGCAAACCAAGCTGAAATGGCAAAGCTGACTGGAAAACTCAGAAACCAAAAGGATAAAAACTTTATAAAAGAATGGGGAAATTTTATAAGTTACTTAGGAGACCACTGTAAGGAGATGGAAACAAGAGCAGGATTTTGACTCACTTGTAGCATAAAAAATATTATGGACAACATAGTTTGATATAAAAATTGGAGTATGGATGAATATGCAGTTGTAGATGCTTAAAATAAGACTTTATGGAGGGGATGGGGGGAAGTCTCAAGATTCAGAGAATTTATACAGATATGTTCTTATAAGTTTGTGTTTATTTGTACTTTGTATTTGCAAAAACAATAAAAATGATTTAAAAAATGAAGATGGGAAGCTGCCTAATATCAGGTCAGACTATTAGGATTATTTATTAAATCTCCTTACTGCCCTTCGTCTGAAGATCACAGGGCGATTTACAATATAAACACACACACACACAACATACCATAACAACAAACAAAAGCAATACCTGTCCTGGACAGAATCCAGCCCCATCTCCAAGTTCAAGTAAGGGAACGGGGAGTTTCAGTTTTTTAAAAAAATCCAAACCAAGCCCAGCCTTCTTACCTTGGGGTTCTGCAGCCACATCTCCAGCCTCTGCACGGCCATTTGTCGAATCTCCTTGTAGCCGCAGGTGGCAGTCAGGAGGCGCAAGAGATTCCGGGACACGTTGTCCATGGGCTGGCGCCTGTTGAGCTGGTCCCGTAGCATGTCCAGGACGTATTCCTCCACGCTCTCGGCCAGGTCGTCGTACCTGGGACAGGACAAGGCCGTATAAGAATAGGAATTTATTATTTATACCCCGCCCACTTGGCTGGGTTTCCCCAGCCACTTTGGGCAGCTCCCAACAGAATATTAAAAACACAATAAAACATCAAACATTAAAAACTTCCCTAAACAGGGCTGCCTTCAGGTGTCTTCTAAAAGTCAGATACAGTGGTACCTCAGGCTACAGACACTTCAGGTTACAGATGCTTCAGGTTACAGACTCCGCTGACCCAGAAATAGTACCTCGGGTTAAGAACTTTGCTTCAGGATGAGAACAGAAATCGTGCTCCAGTGGTGCGGCGGCAGCGGGAGGCCCCATTAGCTAAAGTGGTACCTCAGGTTAAGAACAGTTTCAGGTTAAGAACGGACCTCTGGAACAAATTAAGTTCTTAACCCAAGGTACCACTGTAGTTGTTTATTTCCTTAACATCTGATGGGAGGGTGTTCCACAGGGCGGGCGCCACCACCGAGAAGGCCCTCTGCCTGCTTCCCTTTAACCTTACTTCTTGCAGGGAGGGAACCACCAGAAGGCCCTCAGAGCTGGACCTCAGTGTCTGGGCTGGACGATGGGGGTGGAGACGCTCCTTCAGGTCTACTGGGCCGAGGCTGTTTAGGGCTTTAAAGGTCAGCACCAACACTTTGAATTGTGCTCGGAAATGAATGTTGGGCATGAAGCACAGGCTGCTTTTAGAAGCAGGTTAACAGAGCAGAACAGGGTTGAGGCCATGGCTTTTAGGTCTATCACACAGCCGAACTGGGATTCAGGGCGGCTGACAACATTTGGAAGAAGCATTATTATAAAATACCAAAAACAAACTGGTGGGAAACACTCAATGAGACGCATCAAAGCACATTGAGAACCAGCAATTACAAATGCGGTTTGTCCTGAGAGCAACCCCATTATCAGTATCGTCTGTCTGCACCTTAGTTTCCAAATGTCTGTCTGAAGAGGAAGGTCTTGATCGGCCAGCTGGAGGATAACAGGGAGGGAGCCACGATGACCTCTCTTGGGAGGGAATCCCCCAATAGGGGAGCAGACACAGAAAAGGTTGTCTCTCATGCTAGCACCAACTGTGCCTCAGAACAGTCTAATCACCATCTTCTCTTGCCCTCAGCTGATCCCGTCGTTTCTTCTTCCCAGCCTTTGCCATATGCAATCACTGCGGCTACAGCTATATGAACTACAATGACTATAAGGCAGGGATGAGAGAAGCCACATACAGATCTACTGGGAGATCTTTAAGTGATTTGCAGGAAATTGGAAAGAGTTTGACTCCTGGTTGTTTAACTGAAGGAATGATCGCCGGGCATGGAGCACACTTCCACCCACAGACAAGCCACAGCTTTCTGAACATCATGCCCTCTATCTAACCTTTGGCTTTCTCAGTAGTCTGCCATGCCCTGTCTTGTGACCTTTGTCTCCTTCGTCATACATTGTGCAAGGGGAAAATGACGCGGTGGAAACAGGTGCCAAAATAACTTTGGACCACCCCACGATCACGTGATTGGAAGATGTAAAGGGCACAGTCCAAAATGCATCTGACTGGTTTTGCATATTGTGCTAATAAAAAGAGCCTCAGCAGGGCTAGCTGGCAGCTTGCCTGTGCACAGCTCACCTGGAGAGCCAGTGTGGTGTAGTGGTTAAGAGCGGTAGACTCCTAATCTGGGGAACCGGGTTCGCGTCTCCGCTCCTCCACATGCAGCTGCTGGGTGACCTTGGGCCAGTCACACTTCTTTGAAGTCTCTCAGCCCCACTCACCTCACGGAGTGTTTGTTGTGGGGGAGGAAGGGAAAGGAGAATGTTAGCCGCTTTGAGACTCCTTAAAGGGAGTGAAAGGTGGGATATCAAATCCAAACTCTTCTTCTTCTTCTATCTGCATTACCAACTCCTGCCTCATGCCTTCACTTCATTAACAATAGCAGCAGCAACAAGTTGACTCTGACCCCTATCCCGGACACCCACACTTCAATTTAAAGCTAGGGGGTGACCAGGAATGGATCTGGGGGGTGGGGAGGAGTGTGAGTGCACCTCAGTTCTGGCACGCAAAGCAAAGCTCAAAAGCGAAGGACACCATGCTTTTGCATCTGGCTCCACTGGGTGGATCTGATAAAGTACAAACAAGGTCCTGTAAGTGTGGAGTCTGTCCTCCCCTGCTATAGGGTTAATAAAGACATAGGAAGGTCCAGCTGAATCTCACATGCTACATTTCCTTCAATCATTCTGCAGTTCTCCAGTGCTGTTTGAAGCGAGGGCATTTGTCATCAATGGGTGAGCGTACCTGGGCATCAGTTGTCCTTCCTGCTCTGGGCTCATCTTGTCTTCAGCAATCAGCAGCTCACTCTGACTGTCCTCCTCTTCAGGCACAGAGGGATGTGGGCTGTTCCCTGAAGGAAAACCAAGAACACACATTTCAACACAGAAAAAGGGGGCAAGTTCAGATGTCACAATAAACCGTGGTTTGTCACAGTGGGAACAAGCAGCAGCAAACGTCACAGACTCATTCTCACCCTTCCTTTCTGGAAGAGCTACGAGGAGTGCAGAAGCTTTCATTTCCAGTTTCAATTAACGACAGTTCAGTGCTACGTCTGAACTGTACACTGTGGTTAACCTTAAACAATGGTTTATTGAAATAAGCCCTATGAAATGACGCCATCTCGTTTTGCGACAATCTCTCTGCTAATCTCATCTTCAGATCCCAGGACCTGCCAAGCACCATTGTCAAAATTTCACACTGGGTCAATTTCTGAGAAGTTCCATTTAAGCTTCTGCATCAACACAATGTTAAGCAAACCATGCTGGAGGGATTGTACTGATCATACGTGGTGGAACTGTTCTGTAACAAATTGGTTTTGGCAAAAAGTATTTGAAGAGACTGGTTAAATAGTAGGATGCAAGCTTCAGTGAATTCCACAGCTGGCTTTGTTGTTCCTTTGCTGATAATGAAAAGGCTGATGTTCCTTACAAGGACTTAGTTTTAGTTTCAAAGGTGGCATCTCAGCAGCTGATAAGTAAACACTGGAAAACTGGTACAGGATTAACGTTATCCAAGTTGTACATGAGCATCTGGCAAATTTGAGAGCCAGTGTGGCACAGTGGGTAAAGTATCAGACTAAGACCTGAGAAACCAGGGTTCAAATCCCCATTTGGCTATAAAGCTCACTGGGTGACCATGAGCCAGTCATTGTCCATTAGGCTAACAGGGTTGTTGTGGGGATTAAAGAGGAGGGGGAGAGCCACGCAGGCGACACCTTGAGCTCCTTGGAGAAAAAGGTGGGACGTAAAACCAGTAAAACCATGGGTAGGCAAACTAAGGCCCGGGGGCCAGATCTGGCCCAATCGCCTTTTCAACCCGGCCTGTGGACGGTCTGGGAATTAGCATGTTTTTACATGAGTAGAATGTGTGCTTTTATTTTATTTTATTTTATTTTTTAAATTTTATTTATACAACAAGAAAAACAAACAAACAAAAAACACAAATACCGAATTACACACAAATTACAAAAATAACCATAGACGCTTAATATTCTTAGCAAATAAAACATCTATTGGTCTTAACACTAAAGACCCAACCTCCCATCTATTCCATACTTCAAATTCATATTACTTATTGCCAATACACTTTTTTTTTCATAATTAAACTTATTCTCATTAAATCTAATTTCTTATATCTACCTTGCAACTATTACTGAAGTTCCTCGAATGCTGCAACAGAATTTAAACTACTATATTTATTTTTCAGATATTCTTTAAAAACCTCCCATTTAGAAACAAATTCCTGTTTTGATTTTTTTTGATTTTTTCTGATAAACCATCTAATTCAGCATATTCTGTCAGCTTTTGGATCCAATCTTGAATAGAGGGGATTTCATTACTCTTCCATTTTGCTGCGATCAAAACTCTTGCTGCCGCCGCCGCATATAAAAAGATACCCTTCCTCCTTTGTGGAATATCCAAATCTGTTATTCCCAGGAGGTAGGCCTCTGGTTTTTTATTGAAAGAGATCTTTAGCATTTTTTGCATTTTTTGCAGTTCTGCATGTATACTCTCCCAGAATACCTGTATTTTCCTACATATCCACCACATATGGTAGAATGTTCCTGAGTCTCCGCATCTCCAGCAATTACTTGATACATTTTTATACATTTTTGAAAGCTTCCATGGTGTTAGATACCATCGATGTTGCATTTTTGAAAGTTCTCTCTAATCGTGTAACAATTTGTGAATTTCCAATTGATCTTCCATAAATTTTCCCATTGGGCCATGGTTATTGAGTGGCCAAAATCCTGGGACCACCTCACCATTGCCACTGTTACCTCCTCCTCCTCGACTGTCCAGTCAAGGAGGAGTCGGTAAGTTTGGGAAAGAGTTTTTCTTTTTCTTTTAAATGCACCTCTGGGTTATTTGTGGGGCCTGCCTAGTGTTTTTACATGAGTAGAATGTGCCCTTTTATTTAAAATGCATCTCTGGGTTATTTGTGGGGCCTGCCTAGTGTTTTTACATGAGTAGAATGTGCCCTTTTATTTAAAATGCATCTCTGGGTTATTTGTGGGGCATAGGAATTCATTCATTTCCCCCCAAAAAATACAGTCCGGCCCCCCACAAGGTCTGAGGGACAGTGGACCGACCCCGTGCTGAGAAAGTTTGCTGACCCCTGGGTAAAACAATACATAACTGAAAGGTTAACAAATAGACAATGGAAGGTAAAAAACATGACTCTGGCAGTTTAGCTTGGTTTGATTTCATATGTCAACAGGTCTACACATACCATAATTTCTCAATCAAACACTAGAGATCTTTTAAATTTAATCTACTGGACTTCACAGTGAACACGATTAAAATGGATGTACTGTGATTGTCTTGCATGTTGATGTTGTTATCTGTATGTTCAGAAAACAAACAACCACCTTCCAAGCAACTCTCTGAGTCAGAGTCCTACCAGCGCTCAGGTCTCCTCCGCTGCGTCCAACCTCCCCATGCAGCAAAATGCTTTTGGGAGGCATCTTGGTGCTGAAGGCTGTCTGGATGTTTTCCACAAAGGTCTTGCAGTGGGGGCTGTCTACCCAGATACGCTCTCCCAGAGAATCTTCAATGTAAACCTGAAAAGGAGATGAACAGAAACTCTTCTCTGCACCTGCACTGAAAAGAACTAGTCCCCTATTTGTATCCCAGGGCTCAACTGTCAAGAGAACCAACACACAGGCATCAAAGCAGTTAAGCGGGGTGGGTGGGTGTGCCCCAAACAGACAAGATCAGTACTTTCCAGCCACTCTTATATCAGATGCTGGTGTTACGGGTATTCAAACTTTTGGGATGACACAGATCTGTGTGATAGAAATGAACGGTAGCTGATTATTGCAGCTCCGGCGACTCTGGGCTCCCTCTAATTTTAGCCAAAATCATAAATCCTCCATAGCTTAATAAAAACATTAGTCAATGGGGTAGGATATTTCTCCACCCCCATCGTTCAGCCCGGACACTGAGATCCAGTGCCGAGGGCCTTCTGGCGGTTCCCTCATTGTGAAAAGTAAGGTTACAGGGAACCAGACAGAGGGCCTTCTCGGTAGTGGTGCCTGCCCTGTGGAACGCCCTCCCAGCAGATGTCAAGGCAATAAACAACTATTTTACTTTTAAAAGACAACTGAAGGCAGCCCTCTTTAGGGAAGTTTTTAATGTCTGATGCTGTACTGTTTTTAATATTCAGTTGGAAGCCGCCCAGAGTGGCTGGGGAAACCCAGCCAGATGGGCGGGGTATAAATAATAAATTATTATTATTATTATTATTATTATTATTATTATTATTATTATTATATAATTACTGTTGTATTTGCTTCTCTTTCTAGAAGCTGCCACTCCACCAGGCTGCAGCAGAGGGACTGACAACACCACTCCAATTGGCCCTTGGATTGTTTTGATTCAAGCTGGCCACTTTAAGAACTGATGCTGAGTTTGCTTGATTTCCTCTTCCCTCCCCATTGCTTTTTCCTTTTGTGACATGTTCACCAGGGCCTGCCTTGTTTCCTTTTGACTGTGTATATCTAAAACACAAAGCCGCTCTGGGAGCCTTCTCATTTGAAGAGCAGGGATAAAAACACTTTAAAAGAGATAATTATTTTCGAGTGACAGGTGTTGAAGATGCTCCTGTCCTTGCACACAGCCTTAACACTTCCGCCTGCCTCCAGTAAGCCTCCCACACGAGCACTGCCCCAAGTTGGTGTACCTTGACAAAGATCTCGGGCCAGTTCTCGTCTTCCTCGTATGCCGCCATGAGGAGGTTGCAGGCCAAGACAGACACCAGGCTGTTCCCTTTGGCTTTGAAGTTGATGGAGGCGTCTCGGCGGAGAAGACTGCACAGTGCCTGCAAAAGCAAATTCCCCCACTGAGAACAAGCAGAGATCCTGAAAGTTTCCTACCTGCTAAGAAAGCCTTCCATGTAAATGATGGAGTCAAAAGTTAAGCAGGTTTGTATAACAGCTTAGAGTTGATTCTATCAGTTAAGGGTCTTCTATACTCTTTTTTAACCAATTGTCCCCGAGTGAGCTGTGAGTAGCTGATGGAAAGGGGGCAACATCGTCATTTCCTGTATATTGAAAAAGCATGCACCATATGGTTTAAAAATCAACTTTGGTCTTTGTGTTCCTTAGTGCTACATTAGTTTCTCCAATAATAATAATAATAGTAATAAATTTTATTTATACCCCGCCCTTCCCAGCCAAGGCCGGGCTCAGGCCGGCTAACAACCAATAATAAAAACAAGTTGAATGAATACAACTTAAAAACAAGATTAAAATACAACATTAAAACATTAAAATGCAGCCTCATCACAGGAGGAGAAAGGAAAAAAGAAAGAGGGGAAGGGAATCAAATTGACTCCAAGCCAAAGGCCAGGAGGAAAAACTCTGTCTTACAGGCCCTAAGGAAAGAAATCAGATCCCGCAGAGCCCTGGTCTCATGAGACAGAGCGTTCCACCAGACAGGAGCCTGTGTTGAAAAAGCCCTGGCTCTGGTTGAGGCTAATCTAACTTCCTTAAGGCCCAGGACCTCTAGGGTGTTGCTATTTACGGACCTTAAGGTCCTCCGTGGGGCATACCAGGAGAGGGGGTCCCATAGGTACGAGGGCGCTCCAAAATATCCAAAAGAGATATGTTCCATTGTCTATCCCACCACGCCCCTAGAGTTTAGTCAATATTTCTAAACTTGATGCACAAAGACAAATCCGGCTCTCACCTCAATCACTCCTTCCGTGGCAAAGATGTTGGGCTTCATTTTTGCCAGGTACATCAGGCTCAAGTACAGGGTGGTGTCGGGCTTTGCCCGGTTCATTTTCAGCTGCTTCACGGCTCCGCACAACACCCCTTCGATGCGGTCGTCATTGCCTTCGGCTTCCGCAGCCTCGATCTCATCCAGCAAAACCGCTGGGGCCACTGCAAAGAGAGCCAGACAAGAAATGGGTTCCTCAGAGCCCTCAGCCTATTGGCAGGTGTCATTTTTAAGCAATCCAAATAAACGTTATACCAAAGCTCAAGGCAAATGGCTTCTAGGGGGGTTTGGAAAAAAGGTAACACTCTTGATAACCTAAAGGTGGACAATCTTTTTGGTGAGGGTGCCAAAATATTAAGGAGCAGAAGTCTTGCAGCATGCTTCATATTTGCCCACAGGGCTTGAAATCTGCCTCAGAGCAACAAAGTCCATCATCTACCTTTGCATCAAAACATCTGCATATGTAAATGATGTCTGTTGGACACACGAAGAACCTGCTGGATCAGGCTAATGACCCATCAAGTCCAGCATCCTGTTTTCACCATGGCCAACCAGATGCCTTTCCTGGAAACACTCAATCAAGATTCGAACACAAAGCCCTCTCCCCTCCTGCTGTTTCCAGCAACTAGTATTCAGAGGTGTATATTGCCTTCTCTGGAGCAAAGGGTCTTTCCCTCTCTCTTTACCTTCAATGGGGACCACGGAGGGCTCCTTGATGGAAGGAGAAATGGCCCGTTTCTCAGCCACGGCTGCCTCTGCCAGGCGTCCCAAGGCACTGAGAGGCGGTGTCGAGGAAAGTTTGGGGCGCTTGGCAAGACTGGAGGCGGCCTCCCGCTTCCGCTCGGAAGGCAACCCAGCCGAAGCCGGCTTGAGCAGCGTGACGGCCGCTTTCGATTCATTGGACTGGCCTTTTGAACCCAAGGCGATGAAATCTCCCGGAGGCGGGTGACCTAGGAGGAAAAAAGAGAGCAGTTCAGAGAAATGCAAAGTCAGGGAGAAAACAGGAAGCTGCCTTATATTGAGTCCGACCATTGGCTCAGGTAGCTGAGTATTGCTGACACTGACTGGCTGTGGCTGTTCAGGAGTCTTAGTGGGCCACAAGCTTCACATGAGACAACAGTGTGATGCAGCAGCAAAAAAAACTAATGCCATTCTAGGCTGCATCAACAGAAGTCTAGTGTCCAGATAAAGGGAAGCAAAAGTCCCACTCTATTCCGCCTTAGTCAAACCACACTTGGAAGAGTGTGTCCAATTCTGGGCGCCACAATTTAAGCAACATATTGACATGCTGGAAAGTGTGCTGAGGACGATCAAGGGTGGGGAAGCCAACCTTATGAGGAGCAGTTGAAGGAGCTGGATAGGTTTAGCCTGGAAAAGAGGAGACTGAGAGGAGATAGGATAGCCATCTTCAAATACAGTGGTACCTCAGGTTACATAAGCTTCAGGTTACAGACGCTTCAAGTTACAGACTCCGCTAACCCAGAAATATTACTTCAGGATGAGAACAGAAATCGTGCTCCGGCGGCGCAGCAGCAGCAGGAGGCCCCATTAGCTAAAGGGGTTCTTCAGGTTAAGAACAGTTTCAGGTTAAGAACGGACCTCCATGCTTGTTTTCTCCTGCCAGGGAGGGTAGGATTCAAGTAACAAGAAAGGAAATTCCAGTGAAACATCTGACAGCGAGAGCCACTCAACAATGGAACGGTCTCCCTCTGGAGGTTCTGGACTCTCCTCCCTTGGAGGTTGGATAGCCATCTGCCATGGAGGCTTCAGCTGAGATTCCTGCCTTGCAGGGGGTTGGACTGGATGACCCTAGGCAGCGGTTCTCAACCTGTGGGTCCCCAGATGTTGTTGGACTACAACCCCCATCATCCCTGAGCTCTGGCCTTCCCAGCAAGGGGTGATGGGAGTTGTAGTCCAACAACATCTGGGGACCCACAGGTTGAGAAAGGCTGCAGGGGGTCCCTTCCAATTCTACAGTTCGTAGGTTTCCAAGCAGAGGCTGGACGGCCACCCACCAAGGATCGTCGAGCTGTTACTCCTGCGTTACGGGGGGTCAGCCTAGATGACCCCTGGGGGTCCCCCTCCCAGCTCTGCAGTTCTAGGATTCTACGTCATTCCTTTTGGGGGGGGTGGAGAAGAGGGTTTTTTGTTTTTTGGGCGGAGCTGCCCTTCCCCCCCCCCCGGGTCTCGTGCACGCGCTTCCCCACCCCCATTTACCCACCGGAGGGTTTGGCGACGGCGCTGGGGCGGCGCGCGGCCGCGGGCTTCGGGCGGTTCATCCCCGCGGAGCCCCCTCCCCACTCCCGCCCTCTCCGCTTTCCCTCCTCACAGTCGAAGGGCCGGCAGGGAGGGAGTTAACGGAGAGGAAGGCGGAAGCGGAAGAGGCCGCGCGTGCCCTTCCCGACCCGGAACAAAAATAAGGCGAGGGAGGGGGAGCGAACGCGCGCTTCCAGGCTCTGGGCTGGGCGTCTCTCTGGCGCCACCGCGCGGCCGGGAGGGGGAACTGCAGGCTTTTCTCTCCCCTTTGCCGGAGGAGACCGCGGAGCGCCAACCTAGAGCTTCGGGATCGTTTCAAGTTAAGCGAGCGGAGGGAACCGTGTCGATGTGAGTCTTTCGCCACCTAGTGGCCGGCGGCGGGGTGGCTGGCAAGGGGAACTGCGACGACGGGGCTCCCAAGCGGTAGACTTAATGATTATTGATATTTCTTTAATTTAAAAAAACAAAATAACGATTTCCACCCGCACACCACCACGATTGTAATCCATGGTCAATGGAACTAGACAGGGCTAGCAAAGGGGGCAAAAAGTGTTCTTGTTTTGGTTATGTATTTTGTGTTTTCACCTTGTATTTTTATGCCGTGATCTGCCCCAGGATGCATCACCGTTCTGAGCAAGGCAGCAGAACGGACACAGATAAACAAAGCTTATGGATGTCACGCAAAACACTTTGCGCCATTGCTATTCTGCAGGTGAGGAAGAGAGGGCTGAGAATTTTTTCTGGCCTTGATAGCTGCTGCTGCTGGTGGGAATGGGATACCAGATGTAACCTGTGCTGGCTTACCCAATAGGCAGACTATTAAAGGTAAAGGTAAAGGGACCCCTGACCTTTAGTTCCAGTCGTGACCAACTCTGGGGTTGTGGCTCTCATCTCGCTTTAGTGGCTGAGGGAGCCGGCGTACCGCTTCCAGGTCTTGTGGCCAGCATGACTAAGCCGCTTCTGGCGAACCAGAGCAGCGCACGAAAACGCCGTTTACCTTCCCGCCGGAGCGGTACCTATTTATCTACTTGCACTTTGAGGAGCTTGCTAACTGCTAGGTTGGCAGGAGCAGGGACTGAGCAACGGGAACTCACCCCGTCGCGGGGATTCGAACCACCGACCTTCTGATCGGCAAGCCCTAGGCTCAGTGGGCACCAAAAAGAGTAAAATTTGACAGTTGCAGTTCATAGCTCACAGAACCATAGAAATGTAGAGTTGGAAAGGTCCCTGAGAATCACGTGTTGTGGGGAAAAACAGAATCTTGCTTGATTTCCTTACGCTCCACACTCTTCCTCCATTTTCCTGTTCTCGTCATTACTTATCCCCACTTAAACCAAGTGGCGTCCTACTAATGCAAATTGAAAGAATGTGAGGAAATCCGATCCCTGCCGTGTGTTGCACATCATATACCTGCAAGTACATTTCAGTGCATGTGTAAGTTTTGTGCCGTTTCATAAAACAAAATTTTGATGCTTTGCTATTTTGTTTTGAATTGCATATGGAATGTAGGCTAGGAATCCAATACCTGCAATTGTAACCTGCGGCCCTTCTCTGTGTGCCCTCTCAATGGGAAGTCCAGAGGGTGGCAACACAAGAACGGGCCTTTTCAGTTGTGGCTCCCTGCTTGCCAAATGCTCTCCCCAGGAGTTATAGCCATAGTTCTCCATCTCTGCCCTAGAGATGTTGGCACCCAGAGCCAGCCATGCCTCCCTGACTCAGCCAAATACGACAGTGTGAAGGGACATTCAGCCAGTTCTGCGGCCAACGCAATAACTAGTGTTGATTGAGGATTTCTTCCTAGAAAAGCTTTCTGTTTTAATTTTTATTCAGGACCACAATCAACTGAGAAAAGAATTAAGCTCTCCACTACCACCAGCTGTAATTCCAGTTGTCATTTCCTGCAACCCCCAGCTACCAGTGTTTGCATTTAAAACGAGAATGGCAAAGCTGTATTTAACATTGCATTTCTGTATGGCCCAGGAACAGGTTTGCTCTCTCATGCGTTGCTCGAGAAGTGGCGAGCGGATCGTGCATCATTGCACCAGGGTCCTGAATTTCTGCTACGCCACGCTTTGCAGGTTTGCTGTTTTGGTTCTCTTTGAATATGCCCAGCAAGCATTCATGAACGGAAGTGAATCACTTTGAACTCTTTGAAGGTTTGTTTTATTGAGAGTCAATCTGGGTACAGCCAGCCACAGAGAAATGGCAGATGCAAAGCCCCAAATGAACGGGTAAAAGCTAAACAATCCGAATGCGCCACTCACTTTGTTTTTCACCATTGCTGGCCTTTCCCAAATGGCCAGAAGCAAAGCAGGCAGCTCCCTGCTCTGCTCACGAAACTGCAGGTAGGGGGAAGGAGGGATCTGTATAAAAAATAGTGCAACTGAGCATCCCCCCCCCCCCCAAGGATACATTCTGAATCACTGCAGACACATTCAAACAGGAGGCGGATTCATAACCAGCCCCAATTCCCTCTTGGGGAAACAAGCAGGTGTTGGGATGTGATGCAAGAGGTACAACCTCCGCAGCACTGAAAGAAGCGAACCTCACCTAAGGCGGCAAAACCCCAAGGGGCCAGCCTTGGGCGAGGCTGTGGGTTAGGTCAACAGTGGCATCTGTTGTTTGAGCAGCTCGTGGAGCCCGGTTCGGTTATCGCTGGAAGGCACCTTCAAGCAGAACCTGTGAGCCATCGAACAAACGGGGTTATGGCGAAGTGAAAACCCTCCGTTGATCTTTGTGGGTTTAAAGCAATGTTGGCAAAATAGGGCTTTGGCTTTCGATGTTGGTTTGAGAACAAGCTGCCTTGTGCTGCGTACCAGAACTCCGGGTGAGTTCTCTTGGGCTCAGGTCCTGGAGGAATTTTGTTTTGATCGGCTCCTGCACACAGACAGCAGGCCTAAACAGGCTAACCCCAAACATTTGGTTGGCTACAGTGACAATGCTGGCCTGATCCAGCTGGACACTTCTTATGAACCTTAGCTGAGCCTTAGGAGCACATTCATACCTCACATTTACCACTGTAAATCGCCATTCCCCCCCAAGGATTCTGGGAGCTGTGGTTTGTTAAGGCTTCTAAGAGTTGCGAGGGGACCCCAGAGTGGTTTAATGATCAATCCCTCTACAAAGGGAATTCCTGTTTGTGGAATGCTCTCTCAGAACCCTGAACAAACTACACCTCCCAGAATCCTTTGGCATAAGCCACCGCTGCGGAATCATATTGCTTTAAATCAGGGGTCAGCAAACTTTTTCAGCAGGGAGCCGGTCCACTGTCCCTCAGACTTTGTGGGGGGCTGGACTGTATTTTTTGGGGGAAATGAACGAATTCCTACGCCCCACAAATAACCCAGAGATGCATTTTAAATAAAAGGGCACATTCTACTCATGTAAAAGCACAATGATTCCCGGACCATCCGTGGACCAGATTTAGAAGGCGATTGGGCCGCATCCGGCCCCCAGACCTCAATTTGCCTACCCATGCTTTAAATGCATGGTGTGAATGTGCCCCAAGAGAGTGCTCAAGCTTTAGCGCCCTCTGCGGAAACAAAAGGGTACTGCGGTGAACATCACCTGCCCCTCTCATTGGCACGGAGGATGAAGGCTCAGGAACTTGTTCTCCTACCTTTGCCTGGCTTGGAGGTGCTGCACTTTCTGCCCTTCAGGTCCTGCTCCCAGCAAAAGACAGCAGAGACCCTGGCTTGCATATCCTCCCCTCCCCAAATCAGGACCCTGGAGGGTAGGGTTATGCTGGACAAACATGTGGCATCTTAGGAAGAAGAGGTTCTCTCCCCCCACTCAGCCTTGCTATCTTGGATCCTTTAAACCGGGAACACCAGGCACTGGGCTTGGGACGCTTGGCATGCGTAGCGTCCCTTCTCATGCAGCGGCAGAGACAGTGCGATAAAGGATGCAGCAGCAGCAGCAGCAGCAGCAGCAGCAGCACAGAGATCCTGGGCTACCTTTAGAAACACGCACAAAACTCACGCACACAGATACACAGTTTAGGCACTCTAACCCAGCGAAGGCGACGGAGGCGTCTCCCTTTTCCGACGGGAGCAGCAAAGCGCGGGATGGCTCGGTGGGACGTCCAGCAGCGTGCAAGAGACCCTCGCCCCATCGAGGGCCCAGCGGAGATGGGGCTTGGTTTTTGTTTTTTTGGCAGAAATGCAGTAAAAGCCGAAGCAGCAGTAGGGAGTCCCTTTTCCTGAGGAGACACGAAGAAGAGAGCGCGAGGCTCGGGGCCATGGAGACCCTTCTAGGGGTGTGCGGCCCCCACCCAGAGGGCCTGGACGGGCGACAGACCCGCCTGCCGGCAACAGTACATTCAGACGGCTGGGGCGGAGGAAACTCTGCCAGTCTCACATCCAGTGTACGCTGAATCCGCGGCTGAGGTTGAGCTGCAGGTCACTCACAGTGAGAACCTACGAAGGAAGCGAGATCAGTGATTAGCTGGGGCCTTTATTCCCTTCATTATGACGCGGGTGGCGCTGTGGGTTACACCACAGAGCCTAGAACTTCCAGATCAGAAGGTCGGCAGTTCGAATCCCCGTGACAGGGTGAGCTCCTGTTGCTCTGTCCCAGCTCCTGCCAACCTAGCAGTTCGAAAGCACGTCAAAGTGCAAATAGATAAATAGGTACCACTCCGGCGGGAAGGTAAACGGCGTTTCCGTGCGCTGCTCTGGTTCGCCAGAAGCAGCTTAGTCATGCTGGCCACATGACCCGGAAGCTGTACGCCGGCTCCCTTGGCCAGTAAAGCGAGATGAGCGCTGCAACTCCAGAGTCGGCTACGACTGGACCTAATGGTCAGGGGTCCCTTTACCTTTATTCCCTTCAATAGTTTTGTTGGGTGTAGTGAAGGGTGTAGTGAAGAGCAAATAAAGGGATATTAGGACAGAAGAAACGTGTGGGACTTGTTTACTGCCCTTTTCGACACACTGACGCTGTGTAATTCTGCTAATTGCTTTACGACTGCTCCAAAGCCACACTGCGTAAACAGAAGCTGCAGAGGCTCGCAGGGAAGCGTGGCTGGGCGCCAAACAATAAAGCAATAAATCTACCGAACAAGGTTATGGGTCAACGTGAAGCGTGTGAGAAAGGGTTTGGAAGACTCTAAAAGGACTGAACGTCGGCTTGATCGACTGCCAAGACTTCAAAGGGCAGATCGGAGGAGGCTGACGGAGTGGGAGCTGGGAGCCACGTCGTCCGGAGTGCCCGGTTTTTGGCTGCAGAGTGAGTATTATCGGCTGCTCTTGCAAAGGCCAACAGAAGGGAGGCAATGGCTCAGCCCCATGGATATGGCTTTGAGTCTAAACTGCCATGTCAGAAACTGACTGTCCAAAATTGGCTGCAGTGGAGCTTTCAAGTGGAGCTTTTGCTGGTGGGGGAGCAGCTTTGGGACGTAGTCCAGCCCCCACAGAATGCAGCTGGGAAAGCAGAGGCTGAAAGGGCTGCAGAGCAAAGTGAAGTTGAGAAGCGTGTGCTTGCTTTTTTGGCAGAAAATGTGGATGCTCAGCTGGTGCCAGTTGTCCTGGGTGCAAAAAGGCCAGAGGCCGCTTGGCTAGCACTCTGAGAGGCTTGTGGAGCTGGGGTGGGAAGCAAGGGCTGAGAAGTGGCTGCATCCGAAAGGGAGAGGCAAGATGGCGCCGGCCACATTCTTGAGAGCCGATACACAGCTGGGAGGAGCTGGGAGCCCCCACGGGGGGGGAGGCGAAGGGACTGTTGCTGTTGCTGGCAATGCTGCTGGTGCTTTTGCTGAGCCTGGGAGTTGTATGGATGCTGCAATGTGTCTGTGTGAGGAACCTGGAGAGAGGCCAAGTGTTGGGAGCCCTTTACCCATCAGAGGGGGTGCAGGAAAACGTCCTGGAGGCCCCGTGAGCAGTGGGGGGGGGGGCAGTGAGCAGTGAAAGCTCAGAAACGCCTCTTTCTCCAAAAGGTGCCAAGAGTTGTTTACGCCAAGAGCCGAAGCCTAGCCGTGCTGGAGGCTTCAAGGTCGGCCACCTGCAGCAAGTAGAGATAAGAGCTGTGGAGTTGTGTGGGAACGCCGAGACAAGTTCAGTCTCCAAGGCAACTGAGAGAGTTGCATCTACGGAAGCTGTGAAGGTCGTGGGCAAGTCTCCCTGCCGGGGGGAGTCTGTTGCCGTGACAACCAGAGAGGACATCTGCAGAAGCCCCAAGGAGGGGGGTAGCGAAGAGATTGTTGCCCTGGCGACCCAGGAATGTCAACAACAAGACTTTCTCACTGTAATAATCGACAGTGGTGCCACAAACTCGTTGGTGCCATCTCCTGGTCTTTTGAGAAATTGCAGGACAGTAAAAACTGAGAAATTTGTGACGATTGCGGATGGAAGCAGAAAAAGACTAACAGAGACAGGCTTTTTCTTCTGTCCTTTTCTTAAGCATGAAGTCAAAGCTTATGCAGTGCCTGGTTTAACTAACTGTTTGTTAAGTGTGCATGATCTACTCGTTGATGGTTTTCATGTCTCTTTTGCAGGTACCAAGTGTGAAGTTTCCAAGGATGGGAAACACGTGTACACAGTGCAGTCTAAAGATAATTTGTTTGCTGTAAATGTGCTTTTTTCCACAGGAGAGGATGACACCGAAGATGCGAAGGGCCAATGTGTGAATGTAGCGCCCCACCATGGTTGTTCACATATCTGGCACCGACGCTTCGCCCATCTGAATTGGAGATATCTCCAGAAAGCACCAGAGCTGAAGCAAGGGTGCAAATTTAATGTTTGTGACAAATTTTTAGATTGCAATGCATGTAAACAGGATCCACCACAGGGGCAGAGTCCAAGGCAGGGACAGCTCAGGATCCCTCAGAGGGGGGAACCTAGAACACCTCCTCAGGCAAGTGTCAAGTTTGAGCCAAAGAGTGAGCCTTCCTCACCTGCTGGACCAGCTGTAAGGCCCAAGAGGCGCAGCAGGTCAGAGGGGGAAGACATTGAAGTTGAGGATGATTTAGCTGGACCCAGTGAAGCAACAGGGTCACCAGGATTCACACTGAGGAGATCAGCGAGGACAAGGAGGCCTCCTGATCGGTACGACGCTTCAGGCATCTGGGTAGGTTCTGCAAGATGTGAACCTGAATCCTTCGAGGATATTCAGAGTTTACCTGAGGAAGAAGCAGATAAGTGGCACAGGGCAATGGACAAAGAGATGAAGTCCATGAAAGATCTAGGTGTGTTCTCACTCACAGAGTTGCCACCGGGCAAGCAGGCTGTGAGTTGCAGGTGGGTTTACCGCTTGAAACCCACTAACACTGGAGAGCCACAGTATAAAGCCAGGTTAGTTGCTTGAGGATTTACTCAGAGGAAGGGAATACACTTCACGGAGGTGTATTCGCCAACGTCACGAGCGGAGACTCTGAGAACGCTTTTAGCTTGTGCAGCACAGAGAGGCTGGAAAGTAAACCACTTTGATGTGGATGTTGCCTACCTTAACTCAGATCTCCAGGAGGAGCTGTACATGATTCCTCCTCCGGGGTTTGAGAATTTAAGGCAGGATGTTGTATGGAGATTGCACAAATCCATCTATGGATTACGTCAATCTGCTAGAAACTGGAACATGTGCCTGAATGAAGAGCTAGGTTTCAGGAGAAGTGTTGCTGATAGTTGCTTTTATTTGAGAGGATCAGGGGCAACACAAGAGTATTTGCAGATGTGGGTTGATGACTTGTTTTTCTCAGAGACAGATGAACAGGTGGAGAAGTTTGCCGAAGAGCTAGGTAAACGATTCAAGCTTAAACAGCTTGGTGCTGTCAAATCCTATCTAGGTGTCAGTGTTGAGCGTGCACAGGATGGAAGCTTCTTGCTCAGCCAGAGAGGTAAAATTGAGCAATTGCTTCAGAAAATGAGGATGAGTGATTGTGCAGGAGTGAGAAGTCCTATGGAGACTAGTTTTGTGAAGGACAGCCAGCAAGTAGAATGCGCTGCGTTCGAAAATACTGAAGTGTTTCAGTCTGCCCTAGGGAGTTTGTTGTACTTGTCCCAGTGGAGTAGACCTGATATAGCGTTTGCTGTCAATCTGCTCAGCAGGGAAGCTTCAAACCCTAGTGTGCAAGCCTGGAATGGCATCAAGAGAGTTCTGAGGTATTTGCAGGAGACCAAAGACTTTTGTCTTAGGTTGCCAGCACAAGGAGAAGTCAAACTGACTTGCTTTGTGGACTCGGATTGGGCTAATCTTGAGGATCGCAAGTCTGTGTCTGGCCTAGTGGTGAAGTTTGGGAACTCAGTAGTTGGATGGAGGTCCAAGAAGCAAAGTCTTATAGTGCTCTCATCCACTGAGGCTGAGTTTAGTGCTCTTTCAGAGGTGTGCAGAGAAGTAGAGTTCTATGCTTGCTTAGTGCAGGAACTCCGCGAAGTGGATTGTCTGCCGATACGTGTTTTCGAGGACAATCAACCATGCCTGCGTTTGGCAGAGTCAGGTCAGTTCAAGGCTAGAACTAAACACCTAGACATTCGCTATCGGAATGTGTGCCAGAGTGTTCAGGAGGGATTAGTTGCGCTGAAGTATTGTCCTTCTGCCAAGAACCTAGCTGATGGGTTCACGAAGCCATTCACCTTCCAAAGACATGGGGAGTTTTGCGAAGGTCTGGGTTTGAGACGACCAAGGGTCGATTCTCCCTTCAGGCGCGAGGCAAGGTGTGTTGGGTGTATTGAAGGGTTAACCTTCTGTGCCTCAAGCCTGAGAGGAGTCGCGTACAAGGGAAGTACGCCAGGACGTGACGAAAGCAGCTTGGAATGCTGTGAGCTGAGTGAAAAGCGAAAGCAGTTTGTTGCGTAGCTGCAAACAGAGGGAGAAGATGCAGCTTGAATCTGATGGCTGGTATTGATTGTAAATATGCTACTTTTGAGCAAATAAAGGGATATTAGGACAGAAGAAACGTGTGGGACTTGTTTACTGCCCTTTTCGACACACTGACGCTGTGTAATTCTGCTAATTGCTTTACGACCGCTCCAAAGCCACACTGCGTAAACAGAAGCTGCAGAGGCTCGCAGGGAAGCGTGGCTGGGCGCCAAACAATAAAGCAATAAATCTACCGAACAAGTTTGCGTTTCTAATAGTTATCCCTCCCGCCCCCATTTTTCTACTGCAATTATTTTTTTAAAAAAAGCTGCCAGTGGTAATCTAATAAATTGTTGGCTTCAAGTTACAAGAAAGGAGATTCCGATTAAACATCAGGAAGGACTTTCGGAGAGTAACAGCTGTTCAACGGTGGAGCAGACTCTCTCAGGAGGTTCTGGACTCTCCTTCCTTGGGGGTTTTTAAGCAGAACTTGGATGGCCATCTGCCATGGATGCTTTAGCTGAGATTCCTGCATTGGACCTCGGGGTCCCTTCCAAATCTACAATTCTGTGATTCTAAGTGAAACCTGCAGGAAAATGTTGCAGCATGGAGTGCTTCTGTTTAGGGTTACAGCCAACCATGTCCTATTCTTTCTATCTATCTATCTATCTATCTATCTATCTATATTACATATCATTTCCAACAATCATATAACATATTTTCTTATCTTATACAATGTTTTGGACTTCCATCAACTGCATCTGAAGATTTTTCAATCTTTATCACTTAATCTACATTTCTTAATTTCCCTATTACTTTTAATTGTCCTTAACTAATAACTCTCTTCATAATCTTCTCTGCAATATTTCACATAATCCTCCTTACAAAACTTCTTGCAGTCCTACTAGTGTAATCTGTTTATTACAATTGCTTTTCAAATAGTTCAAATATTTATTCCAATCCTCTGAGAATCTTTGGTGCCGCAGGTTTCGAATCCTTCCTGTCATCTTATCTAATTCTGCATAGTCCATTAATTTCGTCTGCCATTCTTCTTTTGTCGGTAGTTCTTCTTGTTTCCATTTCTGTGCCAATAATATTCTTGCTGCCCATGTCCTAGTCAACGTCATTTCCCTCTCCTACAGACACGCAACATTCTGTGGCCAGCATGGTGTAGCGGTTAGAGTGTTGGACTAAGACCTGAGAGAGCAGGGTTCAAATCCCCACTTGGCCATGTAGCCCCCTCAGTGACCTTGGGTCACTCATTTTCAGCCTAACTTGCCCCTCAGGGTTGTTGTGAGAGTCAAATAAGGAAGAAAACGATGTATGAGTTCTCTGGGAGGGAAGTTGGAGTATAAATGTAAAAATAACAAACAAACATGCTCAGTCTTCATGGGCCAGTTTTCCCCCGTTCTCCACTCAGGTCGCCCCACCCCAAATACTCTATATTCTACTTCTGCAAACTTTGGAGTTCCCCAAACCCTGCTGATACCTCCCCCTTGAGGGTGGATGTTCTTGTTTTGGCTGTGTAAGGATTTATCTCTGGAGAACTGAGTTTGCTCTTAGTATATTAGAATTGCAAATAAAAAGGAGGGGTTTTTTGTTTAAATTAGAATAAAGCTAAAAACAGTACAGTGACCAAGTTAGAAAACAAAGGCAGTAGAATCATAGAGTTGCCCAGTGAAAAACAAGCAGGGATGGGCCTCTCCTGGGAGGGCATGCCAGATTCTAGGTGCCAACACAGACAAGACCCTGCCTCTAGCACCCACTTGCTGCACATCCAAGCTGCCTGTCAGTTACCTGGTTTGTCAGGTAGGTAAACGGCCTCTCCTTGCCATTGACAGTGACTGCCTTTGGCTCTTCTCGGACCCCATAGACACTCAGTGCATCCACTGTGACATACGTGGCTCCCGCGTTTGAATGCAGGACGGTGGACGTGAATGTGTTCTGGAAGGAAAAGAGAAAAAAGCGGGAACTCCCTGGTCACAGCTTCAGCAAACACACTCAACTCCTCTCTTCTCTTCCCCACTGCTAATATGGGATCGATTCATTCATATCATCCTGCTTCAGAAAGATTAGTCTGTGTGCAGATCCTCTAGGGCTGTCGCTAAAGGAAGAGTAGAAGTGATTCCCATCTGACGAGGCCACAGGAAGAGATCTGCTAGATTTGAAGCAGCTTCTCAAGGTCGGTTGACATCAGCGGAAGAGAGAGATGGGAAGCAGGGCTCACTCTACTGGTTCTGCCGGGGCAGGCCAGCTCCTCACCCTAGGGCAGTCATTTGCAAACTTTTTTCTCTGGACCACACTTTCAGAATAAAAAACTGCTCGTGCCACATCTTTTTAGTGAGAAGAAATATATTGGAAAACACAATCAGGATTGTTTGCAGTATCACTCGTTGCTCTTGCTCTCATTTTGAAAATATATCTATCCATATTCTGCAAAAATAAAAATTGATACTACAGTGAAATGTTTAAATTTTTCATTGATTGTCCTTGAATCTTCCTGCCACACTTGGCACCCTGTCCTGCCACATCAGTGTGGTACACCACAATTTGTGAGAACTACTGCCGTCAAGCATCACCTTCCCCCAGACTGCCTCAGGGGCAGAGATGAGAACCGGTGCTCATTCCGTCTCCTTTGCCAAAAGCCCAGCTCCATCAGGCGCCTCCTGCCCCTATTGAGCAATGGTTTAAAAACTGGTGGTCCACGTTTAATCCCTCCTCATCTTCCTTGTCACTTTCCCCTTGTGTGCCATGCTTTTTTAGATTATAGACCTGCGGGAAGGGACTGTTTTGTTTTAATTTATTGCATGCAAGCTGCTCTGGGAGCCTTCCTTTTGCCGAAGAGCAGGGAACGAATTAAGTTTGTAACCAGAGGTACCACTGTAGGTAACTTGCTGGTCACACCACAGCAGGGCAAAGAGGCTCTTCTTACCTGTGTGACGTTGAACACTAAGTAAGAATAGTCGCCCTTGGCAAACGTGTCCAGACTCTCACCGTCGTCCCAGTAAAGGTCTCCCCAGGCATTGGCGTTCTGCGACAGGGCCGCAATCAGGTGAAGAGCGTTCCCACTGCCCACCGATGTGCTGCCTCCGAGTTTCTGAGAGGGAAAGAGATCAGCGTGTGAAATCCAGATTCACTGAAAGCAGCCCCGACTAGGGCTGGGCGATGTCTGGTTTTCAACATTGTGATATATCACGATGTCTGAAGTGACACTGAGAAAGGCTGAAAAAGGGGCTGGGATGTGGAGGGAGGGAGGCAGGAGCGACCAGGAGGAAGGGAAGGAAGCGGCCTGCTTGCTCGGGCGAAGGATCTCCTGCCTACTTCACAGCCCAGCCTCAGCCTTGGCAGAGGGAGCCTGAGGAGGTGCTCTGCTTGCCTGCGTATTTGCCTTCGTCCGAGCAAGCGGGGCAGGCTGCCTCTTTCTGAGAGGGGAATAGGGGCCTCCTAACAACTCTCAGCACCCTTAAAAAAACCTACTGCTCCCAGAATTCTTTGGGGGAAACTGTGACTGTCTGAAATGGCGCCAGAGCACTTTAAACATATGGTGTGGATATGGCCTCAGTTCATAAATTCACAGCAACAAATGTCCAACACTTATTTGATAACAACATTTATACAGTGGTATGCAAGGCCTTCTTTCACTTTGATCTCACTGCACATTGCACTAAACTGGTCTTTGTGTCTGTAATTATATTCTTCTAAATGGGTGTCAGTCTGGATCATACCCTGGGTTCCTTCCAGGTCTGCTTAGAAAAGGCTACCGAACAAGTTGTAACAGTTCCTTTCTTAAGGGAAAGGTTTGGGCTGGCCAGTCAAGTACTGTGATTTAACATATCCAAAGGGGGTTGCTCTGTTGCTATAGAGACAAATGGATGGGCCTTTTTGCCATCTCACCTGGCAGGATGCCACATCATCCTAGGATGGAGAACAAACCAAAAGGGACTATGTATAGGAGGGGTGTGTTGGGCTGATGCTGGAAGCTAGAGGCATTTCTTGTTCTGTGCATAACATGCACAGAGTGGAACTGTGCGTATTATGCACAAACAGCATAATATGCACAAACAGAACTGAGTTCCTCGGGTCTCCAAGCCCCCTCCCAGGCTTCCCTCTCCTGCTCCCATGTGGCTGGGAAGGCAAATTCAGCAGTTAAGCACCAGTTTGCTGGGCCGTCCAGAGCTAGGCCTGCGGTTCATCTTTGCTGTGGTTAAACAATGAGCTCCAGCAATCGTGGTTTGGCGTTGGCTTGTTCGAAAGGTAAACCACAACAAAGCCTGTCTTTGGCAATGGAAGTTATCCTATAGCACCGTGGTGGGCAGTATGTGACCACGCAGGTGCCGTTGGACCTCAACTCCCGTTAGCACCAGCCAGCAGGGTCAGGGGATAGGGGATGATGGGACTTGCAGTCCCGCAATATGTGGGGGTCCAAGAGTTACCTACCCACCCCCTTTTTAAAGAAAAGTCACATGGTGGCAGGTGGAAGAGGATGAAAACTATCAGGCCTCACCTGGGTTGGCAGGATGGTCCCTTCCCGCACATGCACGTTGATGTGGTCCAGAGGTGCAGCCATCTTCAGGTTCTCCCCACTGCTGTTCACTGAAGAGCCCTGCAGGGGGCAGCAAGAGGCTGAGTTGTCAGGTTCATGCCAAGCAGTCAGATTACAGCAGCCTCTGCCAACCTTCCAGCAGCCCCAAACACCTGGAGCATGGGTAGGCAAACTAAGGCCCGGGGTCCGGATCCGGACCAATCGCCTTCTCAATCTGGCCCGCGGACGGGAATCAGCATGTTTTTACATGAGTAAAATGTGTCCTTTTATTTAAAATGCATCTCTGGGTTATTTGTAGGGCATAGGAATTTGTTCATTCCCCCCCCCAAAATATATATATAGTCTGGCCCCCCCACAAGGTCTGAGGGACAGTGGACCGGCCCCCTGCTGAAAAAGTTTGCTGACCCCTGATCTAGAGGATGCCACGCTGGGTCGGGGCTCTATGAGACACACGGCCGCCTGTTTTTGGTTGCTGGTTTTGGCCTTCAGAGCCCGAAAAGGTTTGACGCCACCTAATCTGGAGGAGATGCTACACTTCCATGAGCCTTGCCCTGCATTTAGAGATCAGCATCCAAGACCTGGCCTGTTGGCCCACCAGCGAGAGTTGTTAGGCTGGTGGGAGCGAGGGACAGGGCTCTCTCAGTGGTGGCTCCACACCTTTGGAATTCCCTTCCCAGAGAGAGAGTGAAAGAGATAGCCTCGACTTCCGGGTTAGCGCCATCGGCGAATGGCGGAGTTCCTCCGACCGGAGGAACTGGCTCCGTGGAAACTGGGTCTTCCCGCCGCGGCGAAGGTGGGGACCCGCTAGAAATCCCAGGCGGAGGAAGCCTGGGAACGTGGGGTTCGGCAGGGTACCAGGAGCGCCCCCCCTACTCACGGGGAACCCCATTTCGGGGTTCCGGAGTGAAGTGGGGTGAGCAGCGCGGTGCTGTGAACTGATTGCTACTTTCACGGAGTGAAGCCGCACAGCCATTGCCGGAGAGCGCTGACTTTTTCCTGTGGACAATTGGATTTAAAACAAGTACCCGTGAGTAGAAACGGAAAATTGGATCAAGAAATACCCTAATTTGGCACCGAAGCGGGAAGGTTCAAACAGGAAGTCCGCCTTCTACTTTTTGTACATAGACTGAAGCAAAAACCTTGTAAGCTAAAGTCCGGAAAGTCGTTAAAAAAGTCTAAATTTCCTTCATTTATAACCACTAAAACCCCCTTGGAAGCAGGAGAAAAGGGGGGGATCTTTGTTTAAGCCTGCAGGAGAGGGAGTGAAGAAAGATAAGCTTCCACCGTCTCAAACCTGGGAACGGGGGGTCAGAGACAGAAATTGTTGGAGAGGTTCACTGACTGTGAATGGAATACTTTGACAGATAGCTAAAGAAGAGAAATAAACTGATTCCAATGTTGCCTTTTGCATTCTAAAGAAACAAAATATCTGAAAAATGAAAGTAATTTTCCTTTGTTGGACTTGCCTTAAAAAGATGGATACAAATAGAAATTGTCTCCTCTAGAGGGAGCCTGTTAAATTGTTGCTGCAGTCTACTTGAGGACTCTACAGCTGTGAGATTAAGATCATGGGGATCATGGGACCAGTCCTTTTGACCTCGAATAAAAATGAGCTGGGAGGAAGTTTTGGTGCTTGCTTTATGCAAAACAAGTGCTTTGTTGGAACAGATGCATGAGAAGATGGATCTGATGAATGAGAAAACGGATTTGATGACTGTTGTGGTCAATAACTGTGGACAAACAGGGAATATTGATACAGAAACCATTCAGGGACCAACTCAGGAACCTGTATTGATGGGGCAAGTGCAGAAAATAATGGAGGAGGTTGCGGTTGCACCTCAAATAATACAAATGGAGAGATCCGAGGCCCTGCAGGAGCATAAGCCGCTGTCTTTGAAGATTGAAGTTGGAGTGGGCCAGGGGGAGCCTGGAGCTGAGGAGGTTCTTAACTTCGGAGGGACTGTGAAATATGCTCTTAAATATTTTTTGGATTACATTGATGACTGTGGGGAGTGGGACTGTGGGGAATGGGCTGGTTTGATGAAGGGAGATGGAGATAATCTTGGGCTGGAACTTCCCAGAGACCTACTCCTCAATGAGAAAGGAAAGAAATTAAGAAAGAGACCAACAAAAGACAAGGAAAAGTGCAAGTATAAACAAGAAGAAGAAGATCTGCAGAAGGGACATGGAAGAGACTTAAGAGCCTCGGATATAAGATTACCGGGTTGATGGACTAGATGGAATGGACAGTAAGGACTGACATGACCCGAGACCAGGAAGAAGAGACGCTGGATGAAGATTGGAAGAAAATTTATAAAGAAAATTTTTTATTTAGGGAATCAGCCTAAAATTAATGAATATTAGGGAAAATGTTGGAATGAAACTATATGACTCTAGCAGAAATGATATAAGGAGTTATGTATAATTGAGTATTAAGTTTCAAGCTCTAAGGTATTTTACGGTAAGATAAGGTTAAATAAATTAAGGCAATTTGAATAACAGAATATGGGGAAAGATGGAAAGGATTTGTTGAGTTAATTAATAGGTTAAATTGTTAAGATAAACTATTCAATAAAAATTGAGAAAGATGGAAAGAATTTGCTGAAATAACTAATTAAACTAGAATACAAAAAGGGAGGTGTGAGGAGGTCAATGAAACAAGCAAATGGAAGTTAAAGATATGTAACATGGGATTTGTGCCTTTTTTTGTTTTGTTTTTTTTGTTTTTTTGCTGTATTGTTGTATTGGTTTTTTATGCTTTGTTTTTTTCCCTTTTTTATGTACTGTAGTGTTGTTTCCTATTTTTTCTTTTTTCCCCTGTAATTCTGAAACTTTTAATAAATATTATTTTAAAAAAAAGAAAAAGAGATGGCCTCATCCCTGCTGCTTTCAAAAAGAAATAAATCCGTAGGCACATTTATTAAGATTAGCTGAACAGTGATGCACTTAAAAAAAGAAGAAGAGTTAACTGCTAGGTGGTCTTTGTGTCTGTAATTATATTGTTCTAAATTAGGGGGCGGGGGCGGGGAGTCAGTCTGGATCATACCCTGGGTTCCTTCCAGGCCTGCTTAGAAAAGGCTACTGAACAAGTTGTAACAGTTCCTTTCTTAAGGGAAAGGTTTTGGCTGGCCAGTTAAGTACTGCGATTTAACACATCCAAAGGGGTTGCTCTGTTGTCATAGAGACAAATGGCTGGGCCTTTTACCACCTCACCTGGCTGGATGCCAAATCATCCTAGGGAAGAGAACAAACTGAAAGGGACTATGTATAGGAGGGGTGTGTATGTGTGTGTTGGGCTGATACTGGAAGCTAGAGGCATGTCTTGCTCTGTGCCGGACCGCAAAACTAAATTTGGGGCTTCTCTGGAAACCTAAGGGGCCCTTTGGAACTCCCTGCCTATTGAGATCAGGCAGGTGCTTTCACTGCATTTATTTCAGCACCCGCTAAATGTACATTCTTATTCAGACAAGCCTACCCAGATGCTTAGAAAGTTTGTATAGGTTTTGAATTGCTTTAGTCCAGGGTTTCCCAAACTTGGGTCTCCAGCTGTTTTTGGACTACAACTCCCATCACCCTTAGCTAGCAGGACAAGTGGTCAGGGATGATGGGAACTGTAGTCCAAAAACACCTGGAGACCCAAGTTTGGGAAAACCCTGCTTTAGTTTATTCTGTTGTGGTTTTAACTATTTGTATGTTTTAAATTATGGTTGCAATTTTTTTAGCGATAATTTTATCGTTTTATCTTTTTTTGTGAACCGTGTGGAGGCATTTCCCCTACGATCAAGAGGTATATAGTTTTTATTGAATAAATAAATAAATAAATAAATAAATAAAGGGGAGGCAAGATCTTCTGGGGTGTTAATGCTGTGAGATCCAGCAGAGGAATATTTCCCAGTTTCCTTTCCTGGGGCAACAATGACGACCCAAGCAGAGAAATTATGAGACCATCGCAGCTGGTCTGACGGGCCGCACGCTCTTACCGTGTAGTAGTCATACCACAAGCCTCGGGGAAAGTAGCCGACCACCGAATTCACGCCAGGCTCCAGCACGGGAGTCAGCAGCAGGCCCCGCCCCCAGAGGAACTGCCTGTCAATGGAGTAAGTGGCCACATCCTTCGGGAACCTAGGAGGGAGAACACCACACATTGATTGACGCCACACATTAAAAGCACCACAAGACCCCTTTAAAAAGCTATGGCTTCCCATAAAGCGTAATGGTTGGAATGTTGGACTAGGGCCTGGGAGAGCCGGGTTCGAATCCCCACGCATCCATGAAGCTCCCTGGGTGACCTTGGAACCAGTCACCATCTCATCGCCTAACCTACCTCACAGGAAGGAGGAGAACCACGTAAACCACCTTGAGATCCTTGGAACATAAAGGTGGTATAAAAATGTAATAAATACAATAAACAAATAAATAAAATGTTTTGTTTAAGGGTGCTGAGAGTTGTTAGGAGTCCCTTATTACCATTATCGTTATTCATTCAGTTTATATACCGTCCTTTATCAAAAGATCTTAATGTACAATGTTAAAATCACATGACAGAACATCAATGATACAAACTTTAAAAGAAAAGCAGACTGACAGACAGCCTAAAAAATGAATAAAAAGCATACTGACAGACAGCCCAATAATAATAAAATAATCATTATAATAACGGTCCCCTGTCCCACATTTTCACAGGCCACAGATTATTTAATAGCCATAAGGTTAAGGTAAAGGTAAAGGGACCCCTGACCATTAGGTGCAGTCGTGACCCGACTCTGGGGTTGCAGCGCTCATCTCACTTTACTGGCCGAGGGAGCCGGCGTACAGCTTCCGGGTCATGTGGCCAGCATGACTAAGCCGCTTCTGGCGAACCAGAGCAGTGCACGGAAATGCCGTTTACCTTCCCGCCAGAGCGGTACCTATTGATCTACTTGCACTTTGACGTGCCTTCAAACTGCTAGGTTGGCAGGAGCAGGGACCGAGCAACGGGAGCTCACCCTGTCGCGGGGATTCGAACCGCCGACCTTCTGATCGGCAAGTCCTAGGCTCTGTGGTTTAACCCACAGCGCCACCCGCACCCCATTTAATAGCCATAGGCCCTGGTGAAGAGGAATGTTTTTGCCTGGCGCCTAAAGACATGCAATGATGGCACCTCCAAGAGCTGCAATTCCCAATTTCCTGGGAAGACTAATGGAGTGTCAAACCACAATGGGAATGGAGGTTCTGAGAAGGGAACAAGGGCTCCTAACAATTCACAGCACCCTTAGCAAACTACGACTCCCACAACTCTTTGTGGGGGGAGCCATTGCTTTTTAAAGCAGTAGCACAGAGCTTTAACTTTGTGGCGTGAATGTGGCTTGGGTGTCCCAGGTTGAAAGTGCCCCTGCCTCTGGTTTAATGGGTTCCTGATTCTGTTAGGGACCTTGAACTTCCTGTGGATAACCCCACCCCCCGGAAAGAGGGCTTTGGCAAGGCAAGGGAGAGAGCTGTGCCGTTCTCTTAGCCCTGAACCATGCCCACTTACAAGCCCCCTGGAAATCGGCACAATTCCTTACTCGAAGAAGAGAGGCCGGGCCACGGTGTCCCCTTGCAGGTGAGCCCGGTGGAAGAGGGAGTAGAGGTACGGCAAGAGGGCATAGCGGACCTCTAGTGCTGTCTTCATGGCAGTTCGTGCGGCAGGGCTGAACGCGGAGGGATCCTGGGCCTGAAGAGAAGGGTGGAAAACAACAGTGGTAAAACAGAGCTAAAACAGTGGCACGCAGAAGACCAGGGCAAAGGAAGCTGTGTGGCGTAGGGGTTAGAGTCCTTGCATAGGACCCGGGAGACCGGGGTTCCAATTTCCACTCGGCCATGAAACTCACTGGGTGTGACCCTGGAGGCTGGTCACTGCCCTTATCCTAACCTACGTCACAAAGTCGTTGTGGGGATTAAATGAGGAGTGGGGAGAACCAAGTGCACCACCTTGAACTCCTTGGAGAAAAGGGGGGGGCGGTTATAAATGCAACAAACAAACAAACAAACAAACAAACATGGTCCAGATTGTGCAGAAACTTGAACTTTTTTTAAAAAAATGAATTAAATACTGTATGCTTACATTGTTGCAACCTGCCCTGGGATCTTATGGTGAAGGGCAGGGAAGACATCAAATAAATAAAACAAACCCAACAATGATGGGAAGCTGAATTCAGAGCTTTCTTTACCCTGCTCTGAGTCGTATCTGAGGATCAATTCAGAAAATCATGTTCTGCATCAGGTGCGACCAAACACTTTGAAAGAAGGGGCAAAATAATGTCAACGGCATAAAGCAAACTGGGTGGTTTGGTTACCGGCACTCAAAAGAGGCTCCCTCTGAGAGAAATAAGCAGCTATCTTCTCTTTAAAAGACATCTGAAGGCAGCCCTGTTTAGGGAAGTTTTTAATATTTAATGCTGTATTGTTTTTAACACTTGATTGGGAGCCGCCCAGAGTGGCTGGGGAAATTCAGCCAGATGGGTGGGATATAAATAATACATTATTATTATAAATAGTAATAATAGAAACCCTACTATGTATGGGGAGTGATCTTTCTTTCTTTCTTTCTTTCTTCTTTCTTGTGCATGAATTTCAAAAAAAAATAAAATGTTTTGCTTTACAAAAAAAAAAAAAAGAGGCTCCCTCTTGCATCTCTGCATGAGCTCACGGCTTCCCAATTGGAGAAGCAGACTCAGATCAGAGACTCATGCAGAGTGGCGGTGGAGCACTCTGAGGAAGACAGGCAGACCTTACTGTCTTACCCGAAAACAAATCGTGCTGCCCGTTAGCAAAGTGTGCCTCCAATTCTGGTTTTGAAGAATTTTTATTAACGAAAACAAGAGAAGCAAAAAGTTTTAACTCAAAGGCTGTGAGGGTGGGAATGCATTAGCTAATCGGAAGTTTGAGAAACACTTAATGTGAGTCCCCGTCCTGCCCCCAGCAGCTTCACCTTCACATCCTGGGTGTTGTGGTTTCGTGCAAAGGGGTAGAAGGCTCCCAACTGCATCCAGCGAGTGCAAAGCTCCTCCGAAGTGGAGCCCGAGAAGCCACAGATGTCTGCCCCAACCAACGGGATCCCAAAGAGGCTGAAGCTGAGCACCCCTGAGGATTCACGCAGAGGGGAAAGAAGTCAGTAGTGGCCAGGCGATTACTGACATTAACACCTGGATGAATTTCAGATTAGATCACCGCAATGCATTGTTTATGGGGCAGGCCTTGGAGACAGTCCGAAACCCCCGACTGGTACAGAATGCAGCCACCTGCCTATGGACACTAAAACAACTTCACTGCTTCCAGTCTTTTTCCAGGTCCAATTGAAGGAGCATGGTTAAACAGGTCTGGAAGGAGCCGGAGCTAGGATTGGTCCATAAAAAACACCCAGTGTTAGTGAAGTTAGCCCTTTATTCAAAGAAACACAAACAGTGCAGGCCTAACGATCACAGGAATTCTTCCCGGTAGGTCTTGCCCCAAAGAGGCAGTGGTAAGGACTGAAGGTCCCTGCCTACCCACCACTGCCTAAGTCTCCTCCTCCCCAGGGTTTCCCCCAAGCAATATGAGACTGTGTTAGTGTGCAAACATTCTTTCCTCTGCTCTTTTCATTTCTCTGCATGTTCTAGGAGACAGGGGGGGAGGGAGCTGGTTGCAGCAGGAGGGTGGGACTCACTGGCTTTTTCAGCAGCCTGCCTCATCTCTGTCTCATGGCTGCCACACCCCCTCCTCTCCAGGCTCCACTTCTGTCTCTGTAACTACTATCTTCTGTAACTACAAGCCAAAGGCTGCCTCCAGGATCATACTGTGAACTGAATGTAAGTAAACTTCTTAATATTTTAAAGAGAAGGCTGTCGTGTCTTTATTGTTTTTAAAAGAGAATAAAGGGGAATTTACCAGGAACAATCCAATCTGGACAAGCCAGACCGGATTGCTTAACTCAAGAGATTCAAATGAATCTACCAACTAGCTTCCTATACAGAGAATGTGCTCTACTACCAGCTCACTAGCGTGAGGAAGGATAATGTTTAATCAATGTATCCTCTCCTACTATCCACAACATTCCCACAAGAATAGGGTGCTGGACTAGATGGGCTATGGGCCTGATCCAACAGCCAGGCTCTCCGTGAGTCTTTCTGGAGAGCTGTGTCTGCAGCTGGAAAAGAAAACCACTTGCACGTACCTGGGATGGAGCAGACCATGTCCTTCCACTCGCTTCTGTTGTCACCAAGCCAGTGCCCTGAATACCTGCCCTGGCTGGGGAAGGAGGAGCGGGAGATGACAAAAGGCCGCTTCCCTCGGATCTTGACTAGTGCGCTAAAAGTGGGGGGAAAGAAAAAGGAGACTAGCAAAGATGTTTGCTTGTAAGCTGAGAGCACGGGAAGGGATTGTTGAATGGTTTCTTTAAATGTAAAGGTTCATCACTGTTCCACCCGATGTGTATGTCTTTAAGGGGCCAAAGCAAGGGCCAGAGCAAGATAACGAGACCCAGCTTTACAGCTGTGAAACATAGCAGGTGCTGCCGAGTTGTACTGATTAAGCTGTGTTGACAATTGGGTGTAGTATATAAGGAGCAGCACCTAGCTCTCCCATTACCCTGGGGGATGGGTTGGTGGTTGGGTCATGTTTGTTTGTTAATGTATTTAGTGTAAAAGGAGTTTTTGTTTTTCTTATTAAAACCTTGTTTAAATTATTTTTGAGTCCCTTTTTAATGCATGGTCTCCCCAGCAAGCTCTCTGCAGCGCTACCATACTGCAAAAAACCAACAGGGACGCCAGCTAACTTTGGCCCTGGAAACCGGACATGTCTTGTTTGATGCTCTCATGCCCCAGACAAACCCATCCACCAAGGCGATGGGAGCTTACCTAGCAGTAGCCTTGGCTTCCATCAGCCCATAGAGGTTATGGAGGTTGTAGTGCACAGATGCATTCTGCCTGGAGGAGGCACAGATGGTTTTGGCGGAAAGGGAATTTCCCAGTACGGCTGGTGGAGAAAGAGAATGGCTGGTTAGAAGTAGTACAACAAATCATGTGTGCTTGGCAAACAGATACGAGCTCCTGTCTGGGGTGGTTGACCCATGGAGACCATTTCTCTTTCTCTCTCTCTTCCTGTTGCACATAAACACAGAGGCAGTCACTCAAGAAGGCTATTGTAGGATCATGGGCATGTACAGCAGGATCTAAAGCATCTCCTCTCTTACCAGGCACGTATGGGGGTTTATCCAGCTCTTCCTGGGAACAGCCTGCGGTGGAGCCATCCACAAAGTTCGAAGGTTCATTCATGTCCTAAAGCAAAGAGATTGGGGCCAATTAAAATGTACCAGTTCACACACTACCCACGGAAATTTAAACTTTCCTCAAGCACAGGTCAGTTGCAGACCATGGGACTTGCCCTGAAGCCAACACGAGCATTTTAAGTGCAACATTTTTTCGTGTTTCGAAGGCACAGATATCTGTGTTTGTTCAATGTGAATGTAGCCCTAAGGTTATGGCCTGACCATAGGTTGCGAAGCAGTGAGGGGTGACCCCCCCCCCAGCTCCTCAAATAGGGTTGGCTCAGAAATAAGCCATGCTACTCCCCATCCTGTCTGCAAAAGTGAAAAATAACTTGGCTTGTTTTTGAGCCAATCTGAATTTGGACTGGAGGCCACCAGCAGCAGCTCTGACCTGCAAGCCTCCCTCCCTCATCTCCCCATAAGCCTCCTTGCCTGCCCCCTGCTCTTTCTCCCCCCTTTCCTTCCTTCCCACCCACTCACCAGCCCTCCAAACCCCCTTTTCCTGCCCCACATGGCTGGCTGTGGCAGCAGACGCTCTTAATTTGGGGAAAATCAGGAGCAGGGAAGAGAAACAGGTCTCTTATCACCTCCCTCTGCTGCCACATCCAAGAAGCCCACGGGGGAACTAAACTATTGAAACGCCTCTTGGGAGAAACTACATTTGCCAGGATCGACTTAGGGGCGCATTTATTCAGGTATTTATTGTGTTTCCATCCCACTTATTTCTCCAAGGAGCTCAATGTGGCACACACGGTTCTTTCCCCCTTCCTTGCTTAATCCACATAACAACCTTGCGAGGTAGGTTAGGCCAAGAGGCAGCAACTGGCCCCCAAGGTCACCTTGTGAGTTTCATGGCCAACTGGGGAGTCGAACCCCTGTCTCCCAGGTTCTAGTCTGACATGCTAACCACTAAGCCACACTGCCTCTAGGAAGCTGCCTTATACCAAGTCAGACCACTGGCTCACCCAGCTTAGTGCTACCGGCAGTGGCTCTCCAAAGGATTGGACCTGGGACCTTCTACATGCAAGGCAGGTGCTCGGCCAATAAGCTATGGTCTTTCCCCCAGCCTTGCACCTGGTCTGCTGTTTAACAGCACCCCTGGCACTGGGCTTTAATGTTTAGCTCCCACATTGGGTCAGAGGAGTGTGGGATGTGATCCATGAGAGGCAGTCAAGTACAACATTCCTTTTAATGCTTGAGAAGACATGCAAGGGGATGTTTGGTCCAGCCAGTCATAACTTCTTGTTCCTTCTGGCTGGAGCATCCTTCCGTTTGTATGTGATAGGTGGGTGTGACCTAACCTGCCCGGGTAACAAAAGGACAAGTTATGCAGCACCCTTCCCTCTTTTTGACTTCCTTCTTCGTTTGACCAGCTTTTAGCTAGGACTGCTCTGCTAGCTCTCAGCTAGCAGAAGAACTGGGATTATTCCCCCATATGTAACTAAGTCTACCTTCAGGAATCCAACTGTGAACTGAAGTGAGTAAACTTTTATTGACTTTGAATAAGATTGTGGTGTCTTTATTCTTCTAGGAGGGATTCAAGGGAACTTACCAGGAATGTACAATTCAATCTGAGACAGACTGAATTGTATAATAGTGAGAGGCTCACACGAGCCTGCAACCAGCTGTCTGCTGTGCATGTAAAAAGGGGAATGTAACTCTGCTAAGTAAAGGAACTTGCTAGCGCAAGTTAGGAAGGATATTAATAAACAATATATCCTTTCCTGCCACCCTGAAAATTCCCACAAGGAGTGATTAGAGTGACAGACTACGACTTGGGAGACCAGGGTTCAAATCCCCACTCAGTTATAAAGCTCACTGCGTGGCCATGGGCCACTCTCTGTCTCTCAACCTAACCTACTTCACAGGGTTGTTGTGGAGATGCCACGAGGAGTGGCGGGAATCACATACCAAACTTTGAGCTCCTGGGAAACAGAGGTGGAACATAAATGCTTATAGGGACAGAACCATCTAAAATGTATAGAAACTTATTCATGTATGCTACTACAGTGGCTAGAATGTCACTCGCCCCAAAATGGAAAGAAGTAAGAAGTCCCAGCAGAGGAAGAATGGATACAAAAACTTATGGAATACGCACAAATGGCAAAACTTTCCGGAAGAATAAGAAATCAAGATAACAAACTTTTTAAAATAAAAGAATGGAAATGGTTTATTGAATATTTGCAGAAAAATTGTAAGCAGGTAAGATCATTGGCAGGATTATTGTATTAACCTGCAGTTTGATAAGAGTATATACTTAAAGTAGATGAATAAATGAGCAAATTAAGTAAATATGGATATGCAAAGGATATTAAAAATAAATTTAAGGAATCGCAGAAAGAGGGGGAAGGAAGGCAAGTTTTAAAATGTTAAAATGATTGTAAAATTAGTGAAATGTATAAAATTAGTGAAATGCATAAACTTGAAAAGTATAAATAAAATTTGAAAAACTGGAAAAAAAAGAGTAGATGATCCTTTGGGTGACTTCCAACTGTACAGTTCTGTGATTCTAATACTACAAATCTAATAATCATCACCTCCCCTTTTCAGTGCCCACTCAACTGTTGCAACTTTTCTGTTTAGAAACCGGAAAAGATTGAAGAAGGAACTTACAATCCAAAGGCCATCGAAGGGGACGAGGGAGTGGAATCTGTCCAGGTTTTCCAGCCACCACTGGTGAGTGTTTAGGTTAGAGAAGTCGGGAAAAGCGGTGAGGCCAGGCCAGACCTAGGGGGTGGGGGACAACAACACAAATCCGATGGATAAAATTCAGGCAGAGTTGAACCCAATCAACTCTCTGCATGGGGTGCAATAGGTTAGCGCCTTATCCAGCTCACCAGGCTTACCCGTATTTATTTATTTTTTAATTCATCTTTACCATCTAGGCCAGTAGTTGCCACCAGTCTTTGGGTTCTATAAAAGTATCCCCAGTGAGAATACCCTGTACTGAGAATAGCTCTTTGTACAACACACTAAGGAAGATAACAATACAATAAAATTCAAAACAGTAAACTGAAGAGGCAAAACGCACCCTGCTCCTTCGCTCTCACCTTCCCTATCAGAGGTTTTCCTTGGGTGCTGTTGATGAATATTCCACGCTTCAAACCTTCATCATAAGGCCAGTAAGAGCCTGGAGGTTGGGTGCTGCTGATTCCTGGGTCCTGGGGGGAAAGCAAAAACAGGCTAGGATCCACACAGCAATGAAACCAGCCTCTTGCACCAAATGGATCTTGGGCTACCTGCTTCAAGAAAGGCAGGAAACTCAAATGTTCTACTGGGCTGGAGAAGTGGTTCCCCAACATTTTCAGGCCACTGCCTCGTTTCCATAATGTCACCCCCCCCCCACTGTCCCTGCAACTATGTCAGTCGGGTGGAAAAGCTCTATAGAACGGGGGGAAAGCACACATCACTAAATAAAAGGCCATTTGTAGGGAGAACAGGGATCTTTGCTGGAAAGTACTTCTGAGCAAACAGGATTTCGTCCATGGATGAAGGGAAGAGAATGCTATATTTAATGCCACATGGAACCGTTTTTTCCATTCTCGCTTCTAGATTGCATTTTGCCTCCATGGCTAAATAAATAAAACACACAGGATTTGGGAAATGCAAAGCTCTAAATAAAGGGTCCCAGCATAGCAGCAGCCTTTGATGAAAGCTACACCAGAGCGACAGGATGTTACTAACCTTGCTTGAAAAAATTAAATCGTATCTTGGAATTGCACATTTATATTACTGGAGTAAGAAAGAAGTAAGAAAAGCAGAGAGAGGTTACCAGAATCATCACGTAGCGCTGCCCATGTTTGTGAAGGTCTTCCACCAACTGGGGGAGAGTGCCAAACTTCTGGGAGTCAATGGTGAAGTCTCGATAGCCATCCATGTAGTCAATATCATTCCACTGGGCAGCCTGCAAACAGAAAGCATAGGTATCATAGAACTGTAGAGCTGGAAGGGAATCTGAGGATCATCTAGTCCAACTGCCTGCAATGCAGGAATATGCAGCTGCCTGCAATGCAGGGATTGGATCTGGGACACTGGCATTATTAGCACCATGCTCTACTCAACTGTGCTACCTCAGTTAAGAAAGAAACAGTGTTGGACCAGAACTGCAGAAAGCTACTAACAGCACAATCCTATCCATGTCCACTCAGAAGTAAAGTAAAGGTCAAGGGACCCCTGACCATTAGGTCCAGTCGTGGCCGACTCTGGGGTTGCGGCGCTCATCTCGCTTTATTGGCCGAGGGAGCCGACGTACAGCTTCCAGGTCATGTGGAGCCACCGACCTTCTGATCGGCAAGTCCCTAGGCTCTGTGGTTTAACCCACAGCGCCACCAGCGTCCCTCCACTCAGAAGTATGTCCTATTAAATTCAGTCTTATTAAATGATTCAGTCTATTCAGTGCTATTAAATTAACTTACTATCAAATTAAGTTAAATTAGGATTGCCGCCTTAGCTATTAAACACACTGGGCGACCTTAGGCGATTCACTCTCTCTCAACCTAACCTACTTCACAAGGTCATTGTGAGGCTAAAGCAGAAGGGAAGGGTGTGTGTACTGTCCTAAGAATGTAAAACAAGCCTGCTGGAGCAGCTCAGGGGCCCACCTAGTCCAGCATCCTGTTCCTGGCCAACCGGATGCCTGTGGGGAAACCCGCAAGCAGGGCCCAAGCCCTAGAGGCCTCTTCTCTCCTGTGGTTCCCAGCCATTGGCATTCAAAAGCACTGACAACCATTGGCTGACAGTGGCTGACAATGGCCCTCTAGGATTTCAGACAGGAGTCTTAACCAAGCCCTCCTTGGGAGATTCAGGATTTGAACCCGAGACCCTTTGCATGGAAAACACCATGTGCCACACCCCTGACCTAAATCTGCAAGCTTCTCATTCTGGAGGGTCCCTCTTGATGTTTACCTGTGGGATCTGAAAATTCCTCATGGCCTTGACGATCTCCCAGGTCTCGTTGCTTGTTCCATAGCCCCAGCGGCAGAGATGGAAGCCCAACCCCCAAAAGGGAGGCATGGTAGGGAAACCTAAAACAAAAATCAGGAAAGTGTTAGGTGTGCTGCCCCAGAGCCACGGTCTTCTTCCTCCTGTGCCTTTTGACTTGTCCAGGTCAGAGTTTACTGTGTATTTGCAGTTATTTGCATTCCGATTTAATCCACATAGTCCAGTGTTCTTTGTCATGGTCCAGTTTACGGGCGATTGAAGTCCCGGCTGAGGACGTCGGGATCGGAGACAAGATGGCGAGGTGGGCGCAGGAACGAGGGTCCAGAAGCCAGGGATCCGAGGGTCAGGAAGCAGGGAGTCAGAAAGTCAAGGGTCCGAGGGTCGAAAAGCAAGGAGTCAAGAAGCCGAGGTCCAAGGATCAGGAAGCAAGAAGCCAAACACAGCAAGGCGAGAAACGAGTTGCTGTGGCCAAGAGCTGAAGGGAAATGCTGACCTTATATCCCTTCCTGGCTCTTGCCACCAGGTGCAGTGAGTTACCAAGCGGCCTCACCTGTGTGGCCGCGCCTTGCCTCTCCGGAACAAACTTAGGAAGGCCCCAGTCCTGCAAAGCCTTACCAGTCACAGGGCCTGGCTCCTGCATGCATTCCTGACATTCTTCAATCTTGGGTCCCCAGATGTGGGTGGGCTACAACTCCCATCTTCCACAGCCAGCTTAGCCTGGTGGGCAAGCATGATGGGAGTTGTAGTCCACCCACTTCTGGGGGCCCATGATGGATGAACACTGTTGTAGTCCACATGGCTAGAACCTCAAACAACACCAATCAGCATGATTCACGTTTACCCAGTGCAGGGATAATCCAATACGTTGGGGAAAATTGAGCTCTGAATCACTGCACTTGGGGTCATAGATGATTTGTTTCTGTGTTTTGGGGTGGGTGGATCGACTGTCACCGTCTTCTACTCCCCTTTCCACGCCCACCACTTCCTCAACACTCTCTCATTTCTTTTTGTAACTATTTCCAGTATGCATGTGCCACTGACTATCCACACATCACCCCCCACTTTATTAGTCGTTCTGCCATGCTTCCCCAGTATTACGGCATTGTTTCCACCTGGAGGGGGTGCTCTTGCATTATAGCATAATGAAAGCAGGGCAAACCAGGAACGTTTGTCATGTGAAAAATTGCAGGAGTTCAGCAGGAAGCTGTGGGAATGGAACCGAAGCAGGGTGCCTGCACCCAGACTGTTTACATACTATCAAAAGCACAAAGCACAATAGACAAAGGGACGTTTGGAGGAGCCTATAGATACTCACCAATCACCTGCTGGTACTGCTGGACCACCAAGTTGGGGTCTGGGCCTAGGAAGATGTAGAAATCCAGAATGCCTCCAACAGGTCTCCAGGTGAGGGCAGGTGCCGGCTGAAGCACCACCTCTAGGCAACAAACAGGAGAGAGGAAGACTTAGGGTTTGTCCACGGTTCTGCTTGTGTGGTTTTCTACCTGCCCACTGCTTTCTCTGGGAAAACCAGGGCTGAATCAGAGCAAACATCAATCCACAGAAAGCCCAATTGACGAATGTTCAAGAGTGTGTTTTCCCCGGGGAAAGTAGTGAGGCAAGCGAAAGTGTGTGCTGTACACATTAGTGCTGAGACGTTTCATCTGTTATTTGTCCTGTTTGATTATTTCCATTGCTTTTAAAAAGAAAAAGGAAAAAAAACCATTTAAAAAAAATTCTGTATTGCTAGGCTTCGGCAAAAAGGTGATGCATAAATATTTAAGCAAATGAATGAATGAATAAAAATAAATGTTGAATTCAAATGGGCAGAATTGTTGGGCAGAAGGAAGCTTGGAGAAATCCACAAAAACGGGGAGAATAGAGAAGATCTGTATTTGGTATCCAACAGAAACCTTTAGTGTAACTGATATTTGAATTTATGGCTTTCGATATCCATCAACCCTCCGTTAAAAAAATAAAATAAAATGCTGGAAATCGCTGGAGGTATAAAGGACTGTCAGACTTTGAAAGGCTGGCATCAGTGGATCAAGTACATCAATTCTGATGAATTTTTAAATTGCAATAAATGTGCAATTAAGTGTTTTACTGTTTTGAATTTTATTGTGTTGTTCTCTTCCTTAGTGAGTTGTGCAAACCACTATTATGAAGGAAGGCACTGGGGGTGACATTATGGATCCAAGCTGGCAGTGGCCCAAAAAAGTTTGGGAGCCACTTCACTAGTTCTTAAGAGCCCTCGGGGACACACCAAGATCCCTCTTCTCCCTTACTCTTCATGGCTTTGCCGACACGATCTGTGTCTTGGAAGTACTTGGCCAAAAGGGTGCCTGTAGCCCTCTCAGCTGATGCAGGCTACCTGCCTCTCCCTCTCTTTTTCTACCAGCCACTCTGCAGTCTCCATGCAGTCAAAAGGCCAAATCCCTTGGAGAGAAGGTCAGAGACAAGACACAGCCAAGGAGGATTGAGAAGCAGCTGGCTGTGAAGGCAAGGAGCCAGCAGCTGCAAGATGCGGTTAAACCGCCCAGCGGTTGCTAAAGAGCCCGCCTCACAGCAGGAAACAGATGGCTCTTGCCTCCGTAAAAAGCCCCTGCTGCACCTCCAAAACTCCATTTTCCTCTGTTACTTCGAAAGCACTGACTCAGATTGGCTTCCCGCGCATCTGAAGTCCATCTGATTACCTGAAAAGCATGTGTCACCCAGAATTTTTTAAAAATACATACAAACCCCTGAAGACGAACCCACTTTTGACCACCCTCTGACTAGTTATTCAAAAGAAGTGAGCTTACAAACATTTTCTCTTCACTGCTTCCAGTGAAGAGCCCGAAACTCCCTGGTTTTCTTTATTCATCGCCTTCAAGCAGATCCACATGGGCAATGCTTAGAACGTTCAGATTGGTTTAAGTATCTAAATTATTTCACCCCAAAAGGTGCCAAGGGGACACGTACCCATTGCGTTGCTGTTCATGAGGAATACCCCATGGGAAGCTCCGTCTCTCTCCATGGCAAGGTAAAAGGGGTGGACGCCATAGAGATTGTAGGACTCCTGAAAACAAAAAGAAGTCAAGACTCATTTTCAGCCAGCACTTCATAAGAATGCAAGCAGAGCCCTGCTGGATTGGGGCCAATGGCCCTGCCCGTCCCACATCCCATTCTCACGGTGGCTGACCAGATGCCTCTTTGTGGAAAACCTGCAAGCAAAACCCAAGCCCAAGATCCCCCTCCCAGTGCCTGTAGCCAGTGTGGAGTAGTGGTTAAGAGCGATAGACTCGTAATCTGGTGAACTGGGTTCGCGTCTCCGCTCCTCCACATGCAGCTGCTGGGTGACCTTGGGCTAGTCACACTTCTCTGAAGTCTCTCAGCCCCACTCACCTCACAGAGTGTTTGTTGTGGGGGAGGAAGGGAAAGGAGATTGTTAGCCGCTTTAAGACTCCTTCGGGTAGTGATAAAGCGGGATATCAAATCCAAACTCTTCTTCTTATTCTCCTGCTGTGGCTCAGGGTCCTGCTTGCAGATAGCCCAATAGATGCATCTGGTTGGCCACTGTGAGAACAGGATACTGGACTAGATGGGCCATTGGCCTGATCCAACAGGCTCTTCTTGGGTTTAGAGAGGCAGCCAAACATGATAGTCCAGCATCCTGCTTCCCACAGTGGCCAACTGGATGCCTCTAGGAAGGCTACAAGGAGGAGATGGAAGGCAATCATTGGATGGACCTCCCTGGGTTTGCTTGGTCACAAAGCCATCTAAACTGATGGCCATTGACTGTGGCAGCAAGTTCCACAAGTTAACTATATGTATGGAGCAGAACCTTCTTGCCTTTTCCCTGGGTCACATTTATGGAGGAGTGATGGTTCTGACAGGTGTTGGTGATTACAAACATGGGGCCTTATGGGAACATTGGCTCATGGGGCAAACAGCCACTTTGGGGGAGGAGGGAATTTGATTTGATATCCCGCTTTATCACTACCCTAGGGAGTCTCAAAGCGGCTAACATTCTCCTTTCCATTCCTCCCCCACAACAAACACTCTGTGGGGTGAGTGGGGCTGAGAGACTTCAGAGAAGTGTGACTGGCCCAAGGTCACCCAGCAGCTGCATGTGGAGGAGTGGGGATGCAAACCTAGTTCACCAGATTACGAGTCCACCGCTCTTAACCACTACACCATGGTGGCTCAGGCAGACTGAAGGGGGTAAGGTTAACCCCTCTAACACAATCAAGTTCCTTAATTGAATTGGGGACTCAGCAGTTGTTATTAATCAACTTTTTTTAAAAAAAGCATGGGAGAATCTGATCCACCTTTGGCCATTCAAACATGTAAGGAAACAGGAGGAAATAAGAGAGAACATTTGACCAGGGAGGGGGCAATAAAGCTACAGAATGACTGAAAATAGTTAAGACCCCCCCAATCTTGCATAAAAGGTACCGTAGGAGGGACATCTCGGGCCCAGAAGGTCAGGGTGTTCCACTCCAGACTATGCAAAAAGTTGCTTCGATGTTCCCCCAGTCCATAAATGAATGTGGATGGAAGAACTGTAGAAATCTGCAGAAACTGATCAGCAAAGAACAAGGGAGCCACTGTTGTGTTCAACCTAAAGAAGGGAGGGGAATAGATGTTAGGAAGGACAGGTGACGAGAAAAAGGCTGCTTACCTATGTTTCCCTTTGCCAAAAGTGTTTCCAGTCCTCATGGCTGAACAGAGAGAGAGTAGCTTTAAAATGTGGTGGGATACTAAGTCAAGTTCAAGGAGAGGTACTGCTTTAGGCCTGTTTCACACACTACTGCATCAGCCTGGAAGCGGGACATGAATTTAAGAAGTGAATAACAAATATATAAATTTAGAGGGGAAGAGACGAATTCTTACAGCACGGTCCCCGAAGATTTCCGCTTCACAATCAACCCAAAGGGCTCCTTGGAGAACTCAATGGTGTACAATGGATTCTCTGCTCTCTTGGTTGCTGGAGGAACATCAAGGGGCACTTCGTACCGAGACTTTGTGGCATCCGTGATCTACAAAAAGGGGACACACAGACACACCCAGGTAAATGGGAGATGCAAGACACTGTGAATTGTACCAAGGGCTCAAGCTGAGGCCAGGATCCTAAAGCCGCATGTGAGAGTGAAAGGAGGTCTCCAATTGCAACCACTTAAGACAGCTTCTGCCAACCTGAGGTCTTCCCAATGCCTTGTACCACAATGTCCATCAGCCCCAGCCAGCATGGCTATGCTGAGTGGGGCGGATGGGAGAGGCAGTCTCCGACAGCTGACATCGAATAAATTATAAACAGAATGTACAGTACGGTCGCATCTTGTGCAGGGGTAACGCAGGGATGGAGTGTATACACAAAAACATGTATACTTGAACCACCCCCTTGGAACTCCCCCCCCCCCCACTCCCTCCAGCAAGGCAGAGAGCTTAAAAGCTCTTTCTGCACCCGCCTTGTGTACAACTGATATGCACAATTTCAACCAGCCGGCTTTCAACCACACAAGGTTGAAATCACACGAGTAAATTGGGCGTTAAGTTGCGGCTGTACTGCATTGATTGTAAACACAATGTGTTTGTGTTAATGTATCTATGTTTGTTTTAAGATGTGTTGTCAGTTGTCTGGAGTTCTTTGGGTAACGTGCAACTACCAAGTATTCATTACCGTTATTATTATTACCATTAATGAATATGAATGATAATAATGATAATGATGATGGTGATAATAATAATAATAATAATAATAATAATAATAATAATACTAGCATCAGGCTGATGAAGTCTGACTGAAGACCAGCAGCCTGATGAGGCAGGCACGGTCCGTTTGCTTTCAAAAGCATTTTTCATTGCGCAAAACTAGCATTTCCTGCATGTACAAATCTCCCATTTTCCACTGCCTCTCTCCCTTCCGAACGCACATCCAGCATGAACATCAGGGTATGTGAGAAGTCAGATCACTGGCCCATCAGTTCTGTCTCCTCACAGACTAGGGTTTCAGGAAGGGGTTTTCCTCAGCCCTACCTGCAGAAGCTGGGGATTGATCCTGGGAATTTGTACACCCCAAGCAGATACTCCACCACTGAAGTATGCCCTTTCTCCTCTTCCCCAAGGCCCCTGCCCTGAAGGATTCGTTGCGCCCCAGGACTGCCCAGCTGAAAATAGCAGAGCTGATCTGGGTGGGGAGCCAGTGCACACCCACCCTCAGATGTTTTGAGAATACAACTCCCAGAATCCCTGTCCACTGGCCATGCTGCAAGGGGCTGGTGGGAGTTGGAGTCCAACAACTGATTCTCCAACCCTGGAATAGCCAGCATGCAGAATCGAACATATGGCTCAAGTTTTTGGAGCTAGTGAGAGATCTTTGCCTGTTTTCATTTCAGTGCACCGTAAACTACTTGAATATCACTGAATATCATGATTTATCATTTAATCTAGCACAGGAACGGTGAGCTTGTTGCTCTCCAGAAGTTGTCGGGCTCCAACTCCCATCAGCCCCAGCCATCATGGTCAATGGTCAGGCATAACAGGAGCCTGGCAACATCTGGAGGGCCCCTGGTTGCCCAACCAATTTGATTTGAATTAATTTTATAATAAAATGATTTTAGAATGTTGTATTATTTTATTGTTAGCCGCCCTGAGCCCGGCTTTGGCTGCGGAGGGCAGGATATAAATAAAAATTTATTATTATTATTATTATTAACCCTAGTGTACAGAGACTGGCAACTGCTCTCCAGAGTTTGAGAAGCCTTTTCCCTCGGGGGTGCCAGAGACCTTCTGCAAGCAAAATGTGTGATCCCTCGTGGGCTGGCAGCCCATTCCCAGCTCTCTTGTGAAGGCTCAGTAGGATTAAAAGTGGAAAACGACAGCTCTGGGAACAATAACTCATAGGAAACGACTCGCCTTGACATGCAACCGGGCATCTGTTTCAAACTCCACGCTGAGCTGCAGCTTCTCAACATCTCTGGGGTAATAGGTCTTTGCCTTCCTGGTCAGAAATCCTCGCAGTCCCAGCTCAGTCTCATTCAGGCTGCCCAAGGTGTAGCTGGGGAAGTCCGGCGGGTAGAAGCACCAGGGTACCCCCTTCGTGCTGCCTGAAGGCCAGTCACCATCGACGAAGCAGCATCCCCGGGCCTCGCACAGCTCCCGCGTCACGACTGTGCTTCTCTCCGGGAAACAGTCAAAGCGGAGGCTTTCCGGGATGGAGACGCACTTGGTCAGGGGCGGCGTTCCGTGCTGACCCCACCAGATCTGCCCGAGAACCCAGACGGTCACCCCGCTAAGCAGGGTGGCCACCGTCAGGAGGCCCCCACCCAGCCACCAAGCGGACAACTTCTGATGACACAACGGTTTCCCATCAGCAGCCTCCTCTCCGGATTCTGTGATCTGGGGGACGTCTGCCGTCAGCTTCTGATAGGACTTCATTTTCTGCGTGCTGGATGAGGAAGGAGAAAGGAAGACGAAACCCACTGTGACAATATTTCTCTTATTCGCAACCACAGGAACTGAAGAAATAAGTGCAGAATGTTATCTACCACCACCCCAGTAACTTTGACATTAGACTACTGCGATGAACTGTACAAGAGACGACCTTTGAAGACTATTCAGAAAGTTCACACAGCCAAAAGTGCAGCTGCTGAATTGTTGACTGGATCAATAAAACTGAGCACATCTTGCCAGTTTTTAAACAGCTTCCCTAAGTGCCAGCATCTTTCACAAGCGTGGAAACTGAACATGAGCCTATAAAGCTGTTTAAGATCTTTAATTCCAAGTACGGTTTCTAGGCTTCAAAACAAGGATGGGAAACGTGTGAACCTCCAAACATTATCGGACTCCAACTGCCATCAGCCCCAGCCGGTGTGGTCAATGCACAGGGATGATGGGAGTTGTAGTACAACAAAATTTCTGGAGGAGTACAGGTTCCCTATTCCTGCTATAGTAACTGACACAACAAAAGTAGGAAATTAATCAGTGTCCTAAGACGCAGTTTTAGCACGTGTGGTTTTTAACTTGTTCATAAAAGAGCTAGAGTTACAGATGAGAAATGAGGTGATCACATTCGCTGATGATACTACATTGTTCAGGAAAAAGCTCCAAAAGGACTTTTCCAAACTGAGTGAATGGGTGATAAAAACATGAATGCCAAGCAATGTAAACAAATGTAAGGTGCTGCATGTCAGGACAAAAAAAAAATTAATCTCACATATAAAAGCTAAACTGTCAGTGACTGACCAGGAATGAGATGGACCACTGGCCTGCTTATGTCCTTATGTTAGTATCTCAATATCCTACTTGGTTTTACCAGTCTTGAGGGCAGCAGCTTTAAAAAGCAACATATACACACATGTCAAACAACCTTGCAGTCAACCTGTGCTTCCTTATTTACTGCAGCTGGGCTCACCTCTTGGGAGAGCTAAAACAAATCCACCTCCCCAACCATACCTCCATGTGTTTGTGCTTGATAATGGTAACAGCAGGAAGGAATAAAGCCTTCCGCCTTGCAACTGTTGGATGGTACTGCCGCAAACCTCCTAGAATAAACTCTTGTTTTTGTTTTCAGCAGAATATTTTTTTGAGCCTGCTCCCAGGAACACCATGAGCTGGATTCTGTGGCTTATATGCCTAGGCTGCATTCTTTAGCTGTGGCAAACAGTAACGCTGTTTGCTTTTTAGAGGCTGAGTTGTTTTTTGTTGCGCAACAATTGTTAATTATTCTTGCCTGCTTTTTTAAAAAAAGTTTTTATTTGAAACATACGTTTTTAATTTTTTTGTGTGCACTGCCTGGTGACTGACTGGTATTTAGGAAACAGCAACAAAACTGATGATGGTGATGATAAGTAAAAGCCTGCCTACTAACAGATAAATTTGTAAGTGTCCTTTCCTTGCAACAGAAGCAGCGTAAACACTTCACAGCCTTTAGTTACTTCTGAGTAGACCTGCACTGGCTGTGCTTTAAGTTTCATAGAATTTGCACGCACACACCCCCCAAAGTACATACAGGGACACACAGAAAAGCCATTATTGCAAGGTGCAAAATTCAGCACTATCACTCTAGGGCAGAACTTGCTACCTTTCCCCCAATCAGGGTTCCTGAACACACTCTTGTCTGTTTTTCAGGCACCTATTTATCACACCCACACACCCTTTGATTTATTTGATCTCACTGTGGAGAAATAGAAAGCGAAAGTGTTTTTGTGCTTTCCTACTGTGGCAAAAATCCAAAATGATTGTTTTTAAAGCTTTCTTAGAGGAGGAATTCAAATATGCCGACATCCCAAACCAATCTGATTTAATCAAACGAAACAAACGTCACATAAATGAACAGGGGTGGGGGTGGGGGAGTGTCTGTTATACTACATAGAAAAGGGTACTGAGCAACCTTAAAAGACTGGCAGAACTCAGTTTACGTCTAAAAAGAGTTGTATAAGACTATACTGCTATTGTGAAAGAACAAATAAGAGACCCCTTCATTAGATCTATGAATTGCTATTCTCACTTGGCAGATTTTACACAGAATTGTACAGCTGGTAAGGACCGCAAGGGCCATCTAGCCCAACCCCCTGCAATGAGGGAATCTCAGCTAAAGCATCCATGACAGGTGGCCATCCAAGCTCTGCTTAAAAACCTCCAGGGAAGGAGAGTCCACCACCTTCCAAGGGAGTCTTACTGTCAGAAAGTTCTTCCTAGCATTTAGTCAGAATCTCCATACTTTTCTGTTCCGATCCCACCCTCCAAAGCAGCAGAAAAAGGTGACATCCCTTTAGATATTTGAAGATGGCTCTCTTATCTCCCCTTGACCCAACTCCATCAACTGTTCCTCATAAGGCTTGATTCTCTGGCCCTTTATCATCTTGGTCATCCCACTCTGCACACATTCCAGCTTGTCAATATCCTTCTTAAACTATCGTTCCCAGAACTGGACAAAGGACTCCAGGTGGCGGTTTGACCATAACTTGAGCACACAAAGAAAAATGTTGCAAACAGCAGGCTGATTTGTAATAATAATAATAATAATAATAATAATAATAATAATAATTTATTATTTATACCCAGCGCATCTGGCTGGGTTTCCCCAGCCACTCTGGGCGGCTTCCAACAGAATATTAAAATACAATAGTCTATTAAACATTTAAAAATCCCCTAAGCAGGGCTGCCTTCAGATGTCTTCTAAAAGTCTGGTAGTTTCTCTTTGATATCCAGTGGGAGGGCGGGTGCCACTACCGAGAAGGCCCTCTGCCTGGTTCCCTGTAACTTGGCTTCTCGCAGCGAGGGAACTGCCCGAAGGCCCTCAGCACTAGACCTCAGTGTCTGGGCAGATTGATGGGGGTGGAGACGCTCCTTCAGGTATACTGGACTGAAGCCGTTTAGCGCTTTAAAGGTCAGCACCAACACTTTCAATTGTGCTCGGAAATGTACTGGGAGCTAGTGTAGGTCTTTCACTGTAATTGACAGCAGCACTACAATAGCCCTGGCAGTTACTATTATTTTGGCCATCTGTTATGGATGTCCTAGCTGAGACCCCTGCATTGCGGGGGGGGGGGGTGTTGAAGCTTGGGTTCCCTTCCAACTCTACAATTCTATGGTACTATTGTATCTGATGTGGCTTCTAACCCCGCCCCCCAACCACCAGCCCTTAAGTCTCTTCCTCCCCTCCCCTTCAACAGAAACAAAACCATCAGGAAACACATGCGCCTTGCCGACAGAGACCACCCAGCTCTTCACCCGCTTTTCCCGCGCTTCCTTCCCCCGCATGAATGAACATTCTTCAGTGGGCGTGGCTACGCCAAGTAGGTGGGAGCGAGGAAGGAAGAGCCAGGAGGAGGAGGGAGAGAAGCAGGAGCGAGAGGGCGTGGTTTTGGCTCCCTTGCCCCGCCCCCGGCTCGCTGACGTCTGCCGTGGCGAGGCTCGGGTGACAACCCGTCCCCGGAAAACGGCCCGAGCCCCGATTGGCTGGGCGGCTCGAGAGGGAGGAGGAGCTTCGGCGCGCGCTTGTTGCTGCCGCTGTTCTCCCTCCCGGCCTCCCCTCCCTCCCTCCCTCCCGTCCCCGATGGGGGCGGGGAGGAGAACTTGACTTTCACTCACTCGCGGCACGCGCGCGCCAGGGAGAGGAGGCCAGAGCGAGGCCGCTGCGCTGAGGGGAGGCGAGGCGCGAGCCCGGCCGGCCGTTGCGAGGCCCCTTCGCCAGTTTTCGCCTCACGCTTCTCTGTCCGGCGGGTAGAGGGGGGGGGGTGAAGAGTAGCCGCGGGTGCGCGCGCGCGCTCCCGCCCTCCCCGCGCTCCCGCCCGCCTAGTCCAAGGTAAGGCAAACGAGCGACTGACTGACTGACTGGAGTGGCGGCGGCGCGGCTTTGTTGTTTCGTGAGGGGAAGAAAAACAGAGGCGAATTCGGTTGGACCGCTGAGGGGACGGAGGGAGGTCCGGGATTGGGCCGCGCGCTGGGCCGGCTCGCGCATGCGCCGCCCTGTGGAAAGGAGGGGGAGGAGCCTAGATGGGAGGGGTCAGAGAGAGAGGGAAAAGGCTAAAGGGAGGAATTTGCTGAGTCATTGCTGGAGCCAAGCACGTGGTGACAAAATAAAGTCTGCCACGCCATATCTATCTATGTAGGTATGAAGTTCTCTCTCCCCTCTTCCCTGCCCCTGTGTGGATCAGAGCTTGTTTGACTTTTAGAGGACACCTGAAGGCAGCCCTGTTTAGGGAAGCTTTAATGTTTAATAGGTTATTGTATTTTAATATTCTGTTGGAAGCCGCCCAGAGTGGCTGGGGAAACACAGCCAGATGGGCGTGGTATAAATAATAATTTTTTATTATTATTATTTTGGGAGGGGAAGCTGGTCCATTAGTGTGAGGGGGGCGCTGCCTGTCAGCTTCAGCCCGCCTCATCCTCACCCCACTTGCTTGTTTGCAACTAACCATCACGGGGTGCTCACCCCTCCTCCTTAGAATCATACAGTCATACCTCGGGTTGAATACGCTTCCAGTTGAGCGCGTTCGAGTTGTGCTCTGTGGCAACCCGGAAGTAACAGAGCCTGTTAAATGACGCTCAAAATGATGTCACGCGCATGCGCAAAAGCAGCAAAAAGCGACGCACGCGTGCGTGCGCAGACATGCCATCACTAGTTATGTTTGCTTCTAGATGCGAATGGGGCTCCCCATTTTTAGCGTTTTTATCCTGCCCCTTCAACATAGGTTTATGTTCACAGGTGGCTAGCAGGTTAGTAACAAACTAAACAGTTTATTCATAATAATGAATAAACAAAGCACACATACTGAAGTTGGGATAGCTTAGTCAGTAGAGCATGAGACTCTTAATATCAGGGTTGTGGCTTTGAGACCCTTTTTGGGCAAAAGATTCCTTCCTTGCAGGAGGGGTTGGACTAGATGATCCTTGTGGTCCTTTCCAACTCTACAATTACATGATTCTACGAGGCTAATTGGGATGCGGGTGGCGCTCTGGGTTAAACCACTGTGCCTCTTGGGCTTGCTGATCGAAAGGTCGGTGGTTTGAATCCCCATGACGTGGTGAGCTCCCGTTGTTCAGTCCCAGCTCCTGCCAACCTAGCAGTTCGAAAGCACATCAAAGTGCAAGTAGATAAACAGGTACCACTCTGGTGGGAAGGTAAACGGCGTTTCCGTGCACTGCTCTGGTTTCTCTAGAAGCAGCTTAGTCATGCTGGCCACATGACCCAAAAAAACTGTCTGCGGAAGTGGACAAATGCCAGCTACCTCGGCCTTTAAAGCGAGATGAGCACCGCAGCCCCAGAGTCGTTCACGACTGGACTTAATTGTCAGGGGTCCCTTTACCCTTTACCTTTTATGGGGCTAATACAGCAAATTCAACCAACAAACTTAAACAGCAGCAACCAATACAAATAAATTGTAAAATTGAACTGCTCTAAGTTAGTGAATGCTTACATTAGCAGCTCTTAAAAGCCTCTTGAAATTGAAAAAATGACTATAATTTCAATGGAAATACAGTGGTGCCCCGCAAGACGAATGCCTCGCAAGACGAAAAACTCGCTAGACGAAAGGGTTTTTCGTTTTTTGAGCTGCTTCGCAAGACGATTTTCCCTATGGGCTTGCTTCGCAAGACGGAAACGTCTTGCAAGTTTGTTTTCTTTTTCTTAACACCGTTAATACAGTTGCGACTTGACTTCGAGGAGCAACTCATAGAACAGCGGTGTGGTAGCCTTTTTGAGGTTTTTAAAGACTTTGGTGATTTTTGAAGCTTTTCCAAAACTTTCCCGACACCGTGCTTCACAAGACGAAAAAAATCGCAAGACGACAAAACTCGCGGAACGAATTAATTTCGTCTTGCGAGGCACCACTGTACATTTTGTCGTGGTGAAGAACAATGTGGCCAGGTGACCTTTCTGCTGCTCAGCTGCTAATGTTAATGGGCACCTTCAATACTTTCCTTTGTTTTCCTTCTTATGATTTCTTCTTTACATTGTACTTGAATGGGACAGCCTTTTAAATACATGACTCTTCAGATTCAGATACAGAGGACTGTCCTCTGTGAAGGAGGACACATAGTCAGTGTAGCCTGTAAGGCTATTTTATGCTCCCAAAATGTTGCTGCTTTTCAAATTGGTATACTGTAAAGTATCTGTATAAATGTATTTATTGCATACCAGAGCAGTTCAAGAAGCCAGAAGGCAAAACTTTATCTCTGTTATATTATTCACTGTAATAATATGTTCTATTTCATTTGTCTCCCAACTGCACTTGAAGAAGCTGAGGATAACATACACACAGCCATGCCCGCCCCCCGTTCTGAACCTCCAAATTTTGCAACAACCCTGGTGCTTGTCAAAAAGAGAGTGACGAAAATTGGGAGGGTATTGAGACAAGGTCCTGTAAGGAAAGGGTAAAGCAGTTTAGAAAAACAATAATAATTATATTTGTATACTGCCCTTCATCCAAAGATCAGAGGGCAGTTCACAACATCAAAATACAAAACAAGAACACAATAAAATGTTCAGCCTGTAGAAGATATTATGAAGAGGTAGTCTGACAGCCTTCTTAAGATATTGGAAAGCTGTCAAACAGATCACAGAGCAAAGGATGTGGATGAACCTCTTGACCACACAAGTTGTTTGATAGTTGAATAGATGGCTTGCAATGTGGCAGACTTTCTATTACAAGATTTTACACAGAGGCTGGGTGGTCGGTCACCTATCAGGGATGCTGTAGCAGTGACTTTCCTGCACCAGCAGGGGCTTGGACTGGATGACCTTTGACACCCCTTCCGATGCATATTTTTGGCATAGAGTATGGTCCATGGTCATCAGGGAGCTTCCTGGCTTAATGGGGAGCTGACCTATGCCCACCTGGTCCTAGCTTGTCACACTAACTGCACTAACTGCTACACCATACATACAATATTCTGTATAAAATACTTCTTAACTACAACTACCACATTGTAGAACTGCATAGACAGCCTGCATATATGATTGTTACATGCTCTTGATCTCTTAGGTAAAACCACAAATGTCACACCAGCTCAGTGACCGCTTTCACTGCCTACCCCTCATGCTTATGTGAATCATTTTGTGGTTCAGACACCATAAAAGGGGGCAAAGGGAGAAACCCTATTATCTTCCAACTTACAGATGTCTCTGTAGGGCACATGGAGGTAATACCTAGGTTATTTCAAGCAAATAGCTAGTTTTATGCCTGCGTGATATATGTGTGCGCGTGTAGAAGCTTGTGAGAGCAGAGACCTACCGTTTTGCTTATGTTATACTGTAAAGCATTAGATAGATTAGATTTTCTGACACCTTAAAAGTGCAACAGTTAGTGGCATGTGAAATGTCTCCCCTCTATTGGCAGGTTGTGAACATCCACAGGTACATGTTTGTAAGCAGTGGTGCACCTGTTGGCATTTCATGGCCTCTTGGCCCCACTGTTTACAATTACTTAGTTTGTTCATAGCCATGTGCCCGTGTGGCTATATTTTATATATGCACCGTGTAATCTTATAATTTATACAATGAACTGGATTCTGGTCTATGAAATTAGAGCTGAGCTTATGTAGCCAAAAAGACACTGTTCATGCATGGGGGGTGTGGGTGTGTGCGCGCATGACAGCTGACTAGGGGTAAACCCCAGACCCATCCAGGAGAGTCTATGTTTCATATTTGGTGGGGTGATGGAAGGAGCATATCACATGGCAATGTTTTGTTGCAGGTGCCGTTTGTGCTGCAATTACAGGTAACTCGCAATTTAAGTGCATTTCACTTTAAGCACTTGGCATATACACACACACACACACATATACCCACATATACAGGGGGGGAAACTTTGGCAATCCCACCTGCCATTGCGCCCAGTGTGTTTTGACTATACACGATTTTGGCTTTACTCGTTTTCCGCGGATTGTAACCCTGGCATAAATTGAGAGTATATTGTTAATCCAAAGCCACTTTTTTTGCAACAAATTAACATGGTTTCATTTCTGGATACCTTTACGTTTGATGAGTGTGTGAGCAGGAATTTATATATTGTTGTTTGCTACTAGTGGAATCTACCCAGTGCCCCCGAGTCTAATATTATTAAAACCAAGGAAACTCCTGGTTTCATGTCTCACCGCAGCCCTCCAATCAATTCAGTTCATCAGTCTCACTTTCAGTAGTCAGGGGAATAACCATACCAACCTGCCTTATGGGAAGGCTAAGAATGATGAATATGTGAAGGGCTGGGGGAGTTATATTGGAATTTATTTAGTGCCAGAGGGGCTGTGACATTCACAGCTTGCTGCATAGGTTGCACATGCATGAGCAGTTGTGCGATGTGGGTAGGTTGGTGTGAAATCTATTCTGGACTTTCTTATAGTAAGTTTAAATGTTTTGTTTTTCACGGATGAATGTGTAATTGTACTTTAGGAGTAGAATGAGCTCCAGTACTCTGCTTGTGGTTGGGAAAGTTTGGCTTTGGGTTCGAGGAATTTCAGCCCTGCCGAATGAGTCGGCAGATTAACTCCTTTTAGGGACTCTGGATATGAGGTGCCTCTGAGTCATTGTGCTCTTTACACTTTCAGTGGTAGCATGCATGCATCCTGGCCAGCTAACTTCAAATGAGTCCATTCAGCAAAATCTAATCTCCATGCATCTTGATGGCATGCACAGCAGGCTTTGGTAGTTTGTGGGAAGCATGCAACAGACACCGATGGAGGGAAGTCGCTTGAACTGGGTTCTGCAGCAGTGGAACCTATTGCAAAAGAAAAGGGAGTTTCGCTTTCCACAAATCATTTAATCTCTGCAATCTGTGAACTACTGTGGACTGCTTTAATTGGTCGTACCTTCTTATGACAGCTCATAGTTGAAATTTTCAACTAGGGAGTGTATCTTAATCATCTGTTCTCACAGGGCCACCAGGGAGACTTCCAAAAATCTCATGGGATTCAAATCAAAAGAATTCAGTGAATACTGGCACAGTGAGGGCCAATATAACTTGCCCACTGGTTAATATTGGTGCAGTATACTGCTTCCTTACTGGTTAGACAATGGATGGGCACTTAGTGACCTGAGAACTCCTTGCAGGCCCCTCTGCTGATTTCTCCCAAGCCAAGACACAGGCTCATGGCTCTCCACTCTCCAGTGTGAGCATAGCCTTTGCCAGAGTTTTTGCCTCTTGTGTACTTTCGCTTATGCACCCTGATAGATTAACATGTATAACGGGAGAATGAAACCAAAGCATCTGTTGCTGCTCTTGTGGGAGATAAGGGGATTAAAGAGCCCTTCCCCCGGGTCTTGCTCCTACAGGAAAGCATCTCTATGGAAAGTAAACATGGCTGGCATTGTAACTTTTGGTCAGGTCAGCTTATGATCCCCATTACAGTTCTGAGAGGGGACTAGCTAGAAAAGCAACCATTATTTGTCATGTATAGACATGATTAAGCATAGAGTTGTTTTAGGTCCACTAAAGGACTTGCAGAAACCCAGCAGGCTTCAACCTTTTTTTGGAATAACAGCTCTCCAGGCTTTTCAAAGTCTCAAAGTTTCAAAAATGGTCAGCCTAAAAAATGGAGCTGCTGTTTGAGAATCATAATAAGATATGTGGAGTAGGGCTTTGTGTATTTTACAACCTGGTGACGCTTGTCCAGAATACAGGCCAGAGTATCTCGTATGAGAGGGAGGATAGACTGCCGTGGGGGGGGGGGGATGCTCTTTTTTAAAAAAAAGTTAGGAAAGAAGTAGATGTTTGGGGAGGGAGAACTTTCTGTGAATTCCACCATCTTTCATTTAGACCAGTTATAAGGACCTGCCAGATGTTTTGGGACAACTCTTGTTGTCTATTACCATGGGCAGTGCTGGCTGGGACTGATGAGAGTTGCCTTCCTGATGTTTGTGGACATCCACAGGTTTTCTGTCTCTGCTTTAGATAATAGAGTGTCCAATAAGTCTGGCACTCTGTTTTGACTAGAAACTTGGCTGTGCGCTAAGAAAGATGGTGGGGAAATGGAAAGCAACCTCTGGGTTGAGAGCATTCCCCTGACAAGAGACCAAAGTCTGTTGTGAAGAGCACAGGCACATTTTGCACCTGGCTATCGGCCACTTTCAGCCAGATGCCAGGATGGTGCCTGACATCTCCACCATGTGGAGGTGCACGCCTGGGGATCATTTGATCTTGACTGTTTTCACACACTAGCAACACATCTGTAGAATTCTATCCATTACATCTTATCTGCACAATCAGAATGAATTTCAGGAACCAAAAAGTCGTACAGCGATTCCTTCAGTTAAGAAATTAATTCGTTATGGAGGTCCCTTCTTAACCTGAAACTGTTCTTAACCTGAGGTACCACTTTAGCTAATGGGGCATCCTGCTGCCGCAGCGACGCTGACACACGATTTCTGTTCTCATCCTGAAGCAAAGTTCTTAACCCGAGGTACTATTTCTGGGTTAGTGGAGTCTGTAACCTGAAGCGTCTGTAACCCGAGGTACCACTGTATTGAAAAATATAACTTTCAAGCCATTCGGCCCAAAAATGGCAACCAGGCATTCTGTTTTGACAACTGTGACCTTGGTTTAAGGCGCTGTTCGGCGCCTAGCTTATATATCTGAGTTTCTAACACTGGAAGAGGGATGGGAAGGGTTTCTAAAGGCACCCATTGGATTATCTTGGCAAGCCAAGCGTCTTTCAACTTCAGCCCCATCACCTATAAAATGGTGCTACACATGCTTTACTTTACATGTAAGCAGAACCCTGCAGGATCACACTAGGCATCTGTTTAGGCCAGAATCATGCTTCCCGTGGCATTCATTTGGATGTACCTCAAGAGCTCACAAGCAGCACTCAAAGGCAGCAGCCGTCTCCCACTGTTGCCCCTAGCAACTGACATTCGGGGCACGCTGCCTCTGAACATGGAGGATCGAAATAACCACTGATAGTTGTTGATTGACGTATCCTCCGCGAATGACCAAGGTAACTGCGTGAAGCACTTTAAGCACATGCACAAAAAAGCACAACCTGTGCTAACAATGCCAATTCGTTAGACGCTAGAGGAACTCCCCCTTCCCAGTTGTAGAACTGAGATGCTTCCAAACACAAAATCACTTCAAGCAATCGTTTCAAGCAATCCAAAACTTTCTCCTTCCTGTTTTCCAAAGCTGTTCCTCTTCTTTCAAAACTAAGCAAGGGGGAAACTATCTTAGGGGGAACGTCCTAAGAAAAGAGACCTTTGCAAATCAGGAATTAGCTAAGCAAGCAAAAATCCTTATGCCAAGGGCAGGCCGTAGAGGACCTCTGTTATTTGGCTGCCTCTCACACACACGATTCTGCTTCCCTTCAATCTCCTTGCTGGCTTCTTTTTTTAAAAAAAGGTTCTTGGAAGTAGATAAAGAAGCAGAAAATAGAGTATTCCGTCCTCTTAAGGTGGAAAGTTGTGCCTCTTTTTGTGGATGGAATTCTGAGGCCCTCTTGTTTTGACAGTGCAGCCCTGCTTAAACCACTAGCCCAGTCTGTCTGATGTGGTTTAGTATTTAATTCATTTACCTTGCTTGCCCCTGCACCGGCAAAACCCGCAACTTGCTGGCCTGCTTGCTGTGTTTTCTTCCTTCCGTGTACAAGCTGTAATGCAGCGAAGCCTTCCTTCTTGCAGTCACTTCCTAAACATGATGGACACCCGTGTTACCCAATAGCAGTGCACAGTATCAGCAGAGCCGTAGGCAAGGGATAATTAACCCTATTTTGTACCTACAGAGAGACCAAATGAGCAAGTGGAAAAAGGGGATTGCTGAAATCTGGACTTTGTCACAGATAAAATTGTTTTGGAACGGATTGCATCAGAAAAGCAAAGAGCTGAGCTGGGCTTTGTGAAATGGTTTAGTGGCTTCAGATCATTAACTGAGAAAGGGTCTTGGCAGCAGCGGTATTTCATAAGAGCAACGGTTCTAGAGATTGCATTATTTTCAGTTTTGCAGCCTTGGCTGTATTGAGAGTTTCATGGTGGTGGAAGAAACCACAGCTGCCCCCTCCACTTTATGGAAGCGATAAAAGATTAAGGGCTAGGAAACTGCATTATTAATGCTGTGTGGCAGCACATGCTGATGATATTTGCAGCATCTTTAAATGAACTCTTAGTGTGTTGTATTTCATGCTAGTGAGATTTGCAGTAGTGATAACTTGTCTTGTGCCGCCTGAACTCACTCTCCAGTTCTGGTTGAGCGGTGAGTCTGCAAGGTGCTGACCATCAAACCTGGAGTAGCAGTTGTTCAGCGTCTGGAGAGCTCCTGGGGAAAGCATCTATCTATGTTAAGTGAGGTTGCAAAGGCTTTAAAGCAGCAGTGCTCTGGGTTGGAGCTGCATATGGTGGCCCCAGTATTCCCTCTGCCTTTTCCATTGGGGACCCCCAAGAGAGCAAGGTGGTGGGTGAACTGATTCAGACTCATCAGCTGAAAAGCCTGGTCTATACTTCTTGGAAGTCTGATTGACAAACTTCAGAAAGGTTCCCTTAGACCAGGGGTCGGCAAAGTTTTTGCGGCTTGGGCCGGTTCACGGTCCCGCAGACGCTGTGGTGGGCCAGAGAGTGTGCATACATGTGCGCACCTGTGCAAACACTCCTTCTGGCATGTAGGAGGCATACACAGCTTCCCATTGGCTGCAGGAGCTTCCTGCAGCCAATGGGAAGCCGCCCAGCATCGCAGAAGGCGGTCCCCGCTCCGGGCCGGTTTAGCTTGACGCATGGGAGTCAACCAAGCAGGTGGTGGGGGTCCCCGAGCGGGCAGTGGGGGTCCATGGGCCGGTTAAATGACCCCCATGGGCCTTAGGCCTTAGACCCTTTTCCCACTGGATTCTCTTTTCACATCTGATCATCTACCAAGGAGCCAAACAATGGTATAGCATATTCTGGGGATGTCACAGTGTTCTGAAAGCTTGACTTACATGGACTTGCGTTTGGTCCCAACCCCTACCCTGTATGAGCAGCGGGCACTCTTTCATAACACACCACACTTGATGCTCCCCTGCCATTGAGCATTGCAGGAAAAGATGTGTTGCAGTGAGCATAATGCTCGTTCAGGAAATCAGTCCACCATTATTGATCTCACTGAGGTATCCCTAACAAGCTTCTGAGGAACCCCAGGGTTCTCTAGAATACACTAAGTGCCAATACTTAAGTGTTGAGTTTTAGGAGCATGATTCTTGCTTTGAGTGTGCAAGGACCTGGGCTTCAAATTTGGAGACGCCTATGCAAAACAGGTGAATGAGGGCTGCAACCTTTTTGAAATAGCAGAACATGTGCTTTGAATGCAAAAGGTCCCTGATTAATGGCATCTCCCATTAAAAGGACCTCTAGTAGCAGATGATGGGAAATACCTATGCTGGAGGTCCTGGAGGGCCACTTTCAGTTGGAGTAGACCAGCCTTCCTCAATCTGGCTCCCTCCAGATATTTTGATCTACCTGCTCCAGCCAATAAGCTGGATGATGGGACCTGTAGTCCAAAATAACTAAAGTGCACCTGCTTTGCAAAGGTTGGTGTGGATAATAGTGGGCTTGACGAATCAATGGCCTGACCTGGTCTAAGGCAGCTTCATATATTCAGGTGGATTACACTGCCATTATCCCTGTCCATTGATAGGTCATAGATCTTTGCCAATCTGTGTTGTCCAAAGCACAGACATGCCTCTCCCTCTGCATTTATTTCCTTTGTAACCAAAGACTATCTGCAGCATCTGCTTCCCAGACCACGGAAGACTCTCTGATCCCCATCCAGCCTTCTTCTAGAGAGCCATGGTTTGGCAGAAGCCCCTCTCAGCTTGGTGGCTCCTGCCCATTTTTCGCTGCTGGTTCTGATCACTAGGGAAACAGGAACCTGGCCAGCTGGGTGAATTCTCCCTGCTATGTAAACACTGTGACTCACCTGTTTCCCTTTTTTTCTCCTTCCCACCACCACCACCAGTTCAAGGCAAATGTTTTGCATATGCTCACCGTCTGTATGATTCTCATAACTGCCCATGTCCACCCTTGCTATGTTGTAGTGGGTAACGGGCTGACCGTGTATGAGTGAGGATTGATGGAGCAGGAGAAAAAAATTGTGAAGGATAGAGTGGAAGCATCTCCCTGCAAGCAACGCTCCATGCTTAATGTTTACTGGCCCCTGTGATTCCTTTTGTTGGACTTTGGTTACTGTGTTCATTTAAAGAAAAATACTGAAGTTTGGGATATTTTATTAAAAGTAAAATAAAAAAACACTAGGGATAACTATCTTATGTTTCCATAGAAGCATAGCAATGTAGATAAAAGAAAGAATAATGACTAAATCATGATCTTTTGTCTACACGGAAGTAAGTCCCATTGTCTTCAGCGGGACTTACTTCCAGGTAAGTGTGTAAAAGATTGCAACCTAAGCAGAATATTAGTTAAACGCAGTGGGTCTATTTGTTTCAGTTGAGGGCTTAGGTCTGAAGGTGGCAAGAGATCAATACTTTTTTGTGGGGTGGGGGAGGCAGGTATAGTTCTGCATTTAAGGACAAAGTGGAGATTGATGACAAAGAGCCATTGTGGTGTAGTAGTTAGAGTGCTGGACTATGACTTGGGAGACCAGGGTTCAAACCCCCACTTGATCATGAAGATCTCTGGGTAACTTTGGGCCAGTCACACTCTCTCAGACTAATCTGCCTCACAGGGTTGTTGTGAGGATAAAAATGGAAGAGGGGAATAAGTGCTTGTGCTACTTTGAGCTCTTTGGGGAAAATGTGGGATATAAATGTAATAATAAATGAAAATAAATACTTAAATAAAAATATACTACAATACAGAAATACATTTGTATTAATGAAGTAAGGTTTCCTCCCTTGAAGATTCAGTGGGAGAAAAAAATGGAAGAAATGCTTAGCATTTGTCAGCTCATATTGACCAACACAGCGAACCACCATCATCTGTCAAACGCCATTCATCCAATCTCTTTATGTGATGCCAGATTATGAATGGTCTATCACCCTCAACGTGTAACATTTTTTTACCCAGGCAATCCAAAATCTGAACCCAGAGAAGCTGAATTTGTCAACCTTACAACAGTGAGGGAAGTTTGTGCTCCTTATCTTGTTGAGCATGCTGTACTCTTGCCACAGGAGAGTGATATTTGGCACTGCTGGGCAACCTGATTTAGTTTCCTGAAAATGGCAGTGATGTGGTCACTGTTGTGGGGTGGGAAATTTTCCCGTGTGTTATTTTCAGGCGGGGGCAGAGAATCCATTTTAGCAAATGGATGTCAATTGTAAATACAATTATTAGCCGAACTTTGCAGCTTGAAAGCTTTAACTTACAAGGGATAAGGTGGTCTCTGAAGTAACTGGGTTTCTGAGCTGTATAGAGAATTCTATCTTAGTAGGAACATCTCCAATTTAGCCCAGTAGCCAGATTGGCGGCCAGGATGTGTCTGCATCCTGGCAGCTTCGCTGTGGGGTGCCACAAGGTGCTATTTTAACATCTGTATGAAGCCATTTGGAATAATCATCAGGATGTTTCTCTGTTACCTCTGAGTCAGGAGAGGCTGTGCAGAAGCTGAACCAGTCCTTGGATGTATGAGGACCAATAGGCTGAATAGGGACTCTGTTGGTGAATGCTTGCCACTTTTGAAAATTGAGGAGTTTACCTGTTCTAATTGATGTTGTAACTGTTATGCCATTCAATGGGCTTGTTCATTACACATTTTAATTATGCATTTTTAATGTTGTCGATGAAATTTTATACTGTGTATTTTGATTATGGGTAGCTATATTTTTATAATGTGTATTGTACTTGTTTCTTTGCTGTTGACTTTTACTTGTGACTTTGCTGTTGGCTTTTACTTGTTTGCAAACTGCCTTGATTTTTCTTCTCAAAATGAAAGACGGTATATACATTATTTTGATAATAATATTTTAATAAATTTCTCTGGCTGCTTCCTGGTGTCAGATTAAAAAAAAAAAAAAGTTGGCCACCCTAGGCAGAATCTTGGGAACCTGTTTTAAGTATGGATTGATAGAACGGGGGAGCATTTTCCTGTTTAAGCCTAAGGAACACCAGAAGCTGAGACGAGCCAATGTGGTGTAATTGTTAGAATGTTGGACTATGACCTGGGAGAGCAGGGTTTGAATCCCCACTAAGCCATGAAGCTCACTGGGTGACCTTGGGCCAATCACCATCTTTTTACCCTAACCTACTTCACAGGGTTGTTGTGAGGATGAAATGGGGGGGAGGAGGACCATGTGCACCACCTTGAGATCCTTGGAATATAAAGGTGATGTATAAATGTAATAAACACAATAAAATAAATAAATGAAGGCAGCCTGAACGAGTTTTTTCATCCTTTCTCACAGGCGAGGGAATGTACCTTGGCAATCTTGAGTGAGTTACCCGTGCAGGCTGAGTCAATAATTGTACTGGAGATGAGAATAGTTGGCGTTCGTGGCTCCAGCAGCTTCATTCAGACCACACATGCAGGTTGACTTGTTGATAAAAAGCTGGCTTCCGCTAAGAGAGAGAACTGGATGGCCAAAATGATTTATTGGTGCTTATAAGCAGCACCAGCTTTTCATGTGCTGGAATGAGCCTCTGAAGCACCACGGCACATTTTAATTTTTTCAGCCTCCTTCCTGCCCAGCTGCCCTGGCGTTATCCAGCATTATCTCATTTATTTACTATATTTCTTATCCCACTTTTTAGATAATTGCTGTCTCCCAAAGTGGCTAGACTAAAAGAGCAGGAGGCACCAAGGAAAGGGACTGGAGGGGGAGGAGCTTTTCAAAGTGAGCTCTTGGAGAGCACTTACATCTACCTGGGGCCAGGTTGTTCTTCCTTTGTTGGTGGTGTTGCCCGAATAGCAATGGGTGGCTCTTGGTCCTTCAGCCAGTGTGGTGTAGTGGTTAAGAGCGGTAGTCTCGTAATCTGGGGAACCGGGTTCGCGTCTCCGCTCCTCCACATGCAGCTGCTGGGTGACCTTGGGCCAGTCACACTTCTCTGAAGTCTCTCAGCCCCACTCACCTCACAGAGTGTTTGTTGTGGGGGAGGAAGGGAAAGGAGATGGTTAGCCGCTTTGAGACTCCTTAAAGGGAGTGAAAGGCGGGATATCAAATCCAAACTACTCTTCTTCTTCAGCCAGTGGAGGGGACCAGACTCTAGAGTGTCCCTTGCTTGCTTCTGCGTTCCCTGGGGCTGGAACGGCATGTCTACTCAGGCAGGGTGGGGCCAGGTTGGTCTCCTCATTGCCTTAATATTCTTCCTGGGAGGAAGCCACCCAGTGGCCCTGGGTTCTCTGGCCTGATAGCAGAAGTCGGAGTTGTGCTTATCTTCTGCTCTCCCGTCCCAAAGCACCAGAAGCATTTCTGCAATACTGCTTGCCTGCAGCTTTAAAAATAATAATAAATTACCCACTGCAGGTAACTATTTCAGCATGTTTTGCTTTTTCTGGTGTGCTTTAGTGACCATTCTATTTTCCTCAAACATGTCTGTCAATATGGTGGCCAGGAGCAGGTCCCTGGTTGTTGAGAGTAGCAGAGAGAAGTGCACAGTTCTCTCTCTCTCTTTTTACATCCCTGATGACGGCTTTTGATCAGGTTGAGGAGCAAGACAGTGGGGTTAGGGGAAGTATCCTGGATGTTTCCAGGCTTGCAATGCTGTATTTGTTTTGACCATTTACTTTTGACAGCAGTTATAAATCTCATGGCATGCTGTCACGTTTGGTTGACTCCTCTTGGTTTTCATGGCCAATCATGACTGTAATGACTTGCAATAGTTACACTTGCTAAGTGGAAATTCGTAGCATTGAGCATGGATGTGGGAGAGCCGGGTTCAAATTTCCACACAGCCACTAAGTGTCCTGAATTGTCTGTGATAAGTTGCTGTCTCTTGGCTTAGCTTCATAGAGGATGTTCTGAAAACATAATGAGCAATGTAGAATAATGTCACATATTAAGGACTATCAGAATTAATAACAGTTTACTGTTGTGCTCTTGGTGGTCAGTGATGATCATTAGATGTTTCCTTAGTAGGTACTAATGGCTGGAAGCCAGTGTTTGGGGGCTACAGCTAGTCAGGATTTTCCATAGTGTGGATGACAGTGTGGGGAAATGAAAATGAGCAATTTGGAGAGATTTAGTATAATGCAATTGAGAGAGAGAGGTCTGAGATTCCCATCTTCCCCAGAAGTTAATAAAATTAGATAGCTAGATAGATAGATAGATAGATAGACAGACAGATAGAAGTTTTTCTCCTGTTCTCATAACAGTAGAAATCATAGACATCCAGTGAAGCTGAATGTTGGAAGATTTGGGACAATTTTAAGTCTTTCAGCCAGCACATTGTTAAAACTATAAAACTCACTCCTGCAGGAAACAGTGAGGGCCACCAACTTAGATGGCTTCAAATTCGTGGGAAAGGTTATCAATGGCTGCTCTCCATGGTGACTCTGTTCTGCCTCCTCAGTCAGAGGCAGCAGTGCTTTGCAATACCAGTTGCTGGAACCTGCAGGAGGGGAGCCGGCTCTTGTGGTTGTGGCTCTGCTGAGGGTTTCCCAAAGGCATCAGTTTGGCCACTGTGAGATGCTGGACTAGCTAGGCCATTGGCCTGATTCATCAGGCTCTTCTTAGGTTCTTATTTCCGCCCTGTAGAGATGCAACCAAAGTGCTGCACATCCCTGCTGCTGCCTCATGCAATCCATCCATCCATGCATTCATACATGCCAAATATGAGATTCTGGTGCAGCAGCAAAAGCAGGAGACATAAAGATGCAGCAGGTGACCTGAAGGCGGGAGGAAGTCGAAGGGCGTTCTCAAAAATAGCAGCTGGTTGGGTGGGCAGATGGAAGAGCAGCAACTCTCAGCCTTTGGACTTTCCCAGTCCTGCGCCTTCCTCCCATCTCTGAGCATGCTTCGGGTTAGCCTTCCCATCAGCTGGCAGAAGGGAGGGGAGAAGTGCTTTGAATATTTCCAGGTCCAGGATCAAAAGCCTTTTTGTGTCTGCTAGTGGGATGTGGCCTTCTCTCCCTCCCTCCCTCTCACTTTTTTTTTCTGCTTCCCTTTTCTGGTAGAGCCCTGCCAAGTACAGGAAGACTCCAGTGTATGCCTCTCCTTATAGGGGTTGGGGTGGGGAGGCAGGGAGGAGGAGGAGGAAGTGTTTCTGGTTCTGTGGGAATGTGAGCTTTCTCCCACTCTGTAAACAGCTGGTGACTCATTGCATAGCTATGGCACCAAAGGGATGCATGGCCTAAGGCATGCTGTGTGTGTGTATGTGTACATACACAGGGAAGGGAACTGAGCTTGTTTTGTTCCCGCCACATCCCCGCTCTGCTTCCTTGACTTTCTCTCCGAAAACCTTTGGCGGGAGGAGAGAGAGAGACCCTGCGGAGTTCCTGCCTTCATGCCCCTCCTGCCTGCACAACCTGCCTTCCACACGGGAGGTGCCCGGGGCAGCAGCAAGGAGGCTTCCATGGTGCACGGCAAAGTCCAAACATGAGGGCGGGAGAGGAGAGCTGCACAGAAATGAGCAAGGGCTTGGGAAGGGCTCTGCAAATCCAAGGTAACGCTGCTGGGCTCCTTTCCAGCTCTCTGCAAAGCTCTCTACCGCCTCGCCCCACCTTTTCTCATTTCCTGTTATGTGGCTTGCCTGTGATTTTCGCTCCTCTGGCTTTTAACCGCTCTCAGCTGCCCTCCAAAGCCTCCTGCTTTTCTCTCCCAGAGATCCTGAGGCCTAGAACCCCCTTGCAGCCTCCCTGTGTGGGGGATCCTCCGATTCTCTTGCTCTTCAGTACCCACGTTTGTTAGGCAGTCCTTGCCTTTGCCCCCTGCTTCTCATCCCAAGAAGAAATGGATTCTAGGTACCTTGGCAGCCCTGGCTCACATCAAGCTTAGGACACTGCTACTGCACTCGGTGCTTGAGTTATATTGATGCTGCTGTAGAAATAACAGTTCCCTCCACTTCCTAAAATATATCCCACAATTCCTCAGCCTGTTGAGTCCTTCCCTTTTCTTGCATCTTCTTCATTCTGTCCTCATTTGCCTCCCACACCTTGGCTACCTTAGTAATGGATCTGTATCGCCTACTAGTTTTGTCAGTTCTGTTCGTCTTTCCAGTTCCTACAGGGATTGGCAAATACAGTCACATTCAGTGTATCAGCACAGAGTTGACCAGCGGCGCAGAAGAGCCTCTGTAAGCACCTACAGACTTTCAGAGTTTTAAAATATTTGGGCTGCATTCTCACACTGCTACCCAGGATTACTGGGAGCTGTGCTTGATTTCTAACAGGTGTCCAGACTCTCAAACGATGCCTCCCTGTTTTAACCGCAAGGTGTGGTTGCTTAGCAGTGAGGGGAAGGCACTCTGTATCTACTCAGAGGTACTTTTCTTTATTGTATTACACCAGCGACTTCCAAACTTTTCCATGTATGGACTACTTGGAAATTGCTGAGGGTTTTGGTGGACCACTTAATGATTTTTCTGACTGCTGTAGTAATTGTAATGCGCTGTGCTACATGATGTGCGATTTTAAATGCATTTTTGCAGAAATGCAGTGGATCAGCTGAATAACGCTTACGGATCACTGGTGGTCAGTGGACCATTTTGGGAACTTCTGTATCACACTATTCCACATCTGTTTCTTTAAAGAAGCATGGCCGTAGTTCAGTGGGAGTTTCTGGAGGAGAGAGGCTAGGCCATCGCTGAGCACCTGCTTTGCATGTTCAGTTCCTGGCATCTCCAGGCAGGGCTGGCAGAGACCCCTGCCTGAAACCCTGGAGAGCTGCTGCCAGTCAGGGCCAAGAGTGCAGAGCTAGACAGACACAGTGACCTGACTTGGTGCAAATCAGCTATGTCCCCAAGAAGTGCAGGGCCCCTGAAAGGGAATGTTTTCATTTTCACAGCAGCAATCCCTTCTCTCGTTTTCAATTTTGCGCGCATGTCACGTGAAGCTGAACTGTGTTGATCACCACAAGTGAAGGGAGAAGCATTTGTGGCTGAGCCAGACCGGCTCCCACCCCCCAACCCGCCCCGCCCCTGCTCAAATTCCTCCATTCAGCCTGCTGGACTTCCCCCTTTCACTTTCTCTAGGGGGGCGGGAAAGAGTGTCCTGAAACCAATTGAGTTTGTTGACTCTCCCTTTGTCCTCCCAGTGTCTTTGCACAGAGATGACCCCAAGTCATGATTTGCTTTTGGGCTTCTCTTGTTTCCATGGTTACCGTCTCGGGGTTGGCTACTTTCCCAAGGTCACCATGGCAACTATCGGAAGGGAATCATGCTTGGGATGCTTTGGCTGAGTATCCTTTTTTTAAAAAAAATAAATGAATGATTAGAACGTGTGACACGATGTAGAGGTGGATGGAGACAAGTTTTCCTTCTCCGGAAGGGAGCTTGTAGGGGAGAAGGGAGAACTCGGTCCAGACTGTCTTCTAAGGTTCCTTACGCCCGGTGCTGCAGCTTCTGAAAGCCGCCTGTGCTTGCTAGGCGCGACAGCCCTGAGCGCCCAGACCCTCCGCTCCCCCGGCCCAGGCTGGCAGGGGAGAAGGAAGCTGCTGTGATGTCACAGCTGCATTGCCCTCTCCCCCTTCTCCTACAGGCGCTCCAACTGTGTCATCCATCCGTGCTGCGCGATGCAGGTGGAGGCTCTGCCGCTGAGGTCTAGACAGGCAGACTGCCTCTCCTGCGCTGATTGAAGGGGTGTAGTTTGCAAAGTGTACCTGAGGTGAGAGTGAAGGGCAGCCGTCCTCAGGGCGAGTGGGGAGGAGGCGTCGCTGCTGGGTGCCACATTTCCACACAGCGGGGAAGATCAGAAGGGCACCCCCTCCCTCAGCCTTAGGGCGAGAGAACCCCACAAAGTGAGGAGAACGTTGCATTTTTCTCTTTCTCTTTTGCAACCTGTTCCACCATCCTTGTCTTGTCGTCTTGTGATTTTTTTCCTGTGTGATTTGTTTGTCTGCCTTGAGATTTGGGAGGCTTACAGGTGGTGGTGGGCAGAGGTTTGTTCACTTTTCTACTTGCACTGTTGAAATCTTTAGCAGGGTGGGGACTAAGGCCAGAGGTTATCATCCCTTAGCTCTTAGGTGACCTTCGTGTGAGGTGGTGGGGTGTCTTAAGTAAAAGTTTGTGTTTGTGTGTGTTGTTTTTTTAATTGGGGGGAAAAACATATTCCCTGTTTCTGCTATCTGCTAACCCTGATTCTGTAATTGTAATAAATTTGTGCAGATTTCCAAGATACTATTGCATGGTTTTTAAAAAACTGTACGGAGAAAATAGCAATCGGCTAGAGCTGTTGAGATTGGGGAAGAAAAGGTTAGCTTTACGGAACAAACGGCACCCAGACAAACAGATAAGGAACTGTTCCAAATTTAGAAACCCCCTCACTTAAACCGTGGGGGGAGGAGAGAGAGAATCAGATTGGCATCATGAAATGCTGGAATCCAGGATAAGCAAATTGATAAAAATTGGGTCTAAAGTCTTTGTAGGCCTGTGGACACAGTGATGTGGGAGATGGAGGAGCTCTTCCCTACCTCAGTAACTTGGTAATTACATGAAAATCCTGGACAGAAATGATGTCTATCTCGGGCTGCTTTCTCATCTTCTCCCATCTTGCCACTCTGATTTCTTTCTGAGCGTGGATTAAGCCGCTGTTGTGTTCGGTCCTATCAGGTGTTCTGGTTTGTTATTCCACAATCCTTCCCTAGCCTAATAGCCAAAAACATCACCCCAGATTTTGTTTGGGTTCCATGCCTTCAGGCGCAAAGCACCTTAGTGGCAGAGCGCATCTTTTTCAGGCAGGAAGAGGAACTCAGATCCAACCCTGGCACTGTACCTAAAATGATTTGTGGTTGCAAGACTAGTAAAGGTGGGAGCATTGGAGAGCTGCTGCCCATTAGGACAGACAACACCAGGCTATGTGCACCAGTGGCCCTGAGTCTGTATAAAGTGGTTTTCTAATAGGGAAGGGTCATAGCTCAGCTATGAAGCGCTTGCGAAAGGTCCCAGGTCCAGTCCCCAGCATCTCCAGATAAGGCAAAGAGTGTCTCCTGTCTGGAACTCTGGACAGCTGCTGCCTGTCAGTGTAGACAATACTGAGCTAGACAGAAGGTAGCTTCCTATGTTCCTATATATGTACAATCTGAGATATTGATACTTTCTTTGTCTAGTGAATGCTGGCAACTAGCTGTGTGTTGGGCTCTCATGCCTAACATGAACACACAGAGAATGCCTATTCAACAAGGAAGGTCCAGTGTTACATACCCAGGGGTTTGTATGCAAGTTCTTAGACACACATACAGGGTGAGTCTTTTAAAAGAGGCCCCATGGAACATGTGTACTCTGTATCCACGGGGCCCCTATTAAAGGACTCACCCTGTATAATCAGTGCTGCTTCTTTCTTTAAATGAGCTCTGGTTGCATGTCTGTGATGTCTAATAGGATCACTGAGAATGGGGAATCCCTGTCTTTGCCTGTAATAACATAGGTGAGACTGAAATCATAGACCTGTTTATCTCATTTATTTAAATAATTTGTATCCTGCTTTTCAATTGAGGAAAAGTTCCCTAGCGTGACTTACAGATTGCATTCCTGAGGGCAGGGATTGGTTTTAATATTTTAGTTTATTTTTTAGTAATCTAAAAAGACACTTCACATAAGGAAAATGGATTGGGAGGGAGGAGGAAATCAGGGACAACTTGAGAGTTAGAAGTTCTAGTAGCTCCACTCAATGCCCCAACTAGCATAAATGGCTACTGATGGCCAGGGTAGGGCATAATGTTGCTTCAGTTCTCCCTCCCCACATCCTGCGTCTTATATTGTAAAAAGGCTAGTTTTGTTAATTTATTCTCTTTAAGGCAGCAGTTTTCATTTCATGTTGGGGTTGTGGAGCACCAGAGGGAGGAAGTACAGAGTTCCAGGAGTGGTACAGAAGAAAGAGCTTCCCCAGCCCCAAACTGATTGTCCCCTAACAGAAGGCAGTGCAGATCAATGAGACTAAGTCTGTGTTTGCTGTGGAATGACGCAAGACTACAGTGGGTTTTAAACTTACAAGCGGGGGGCATCAGAGAGAGATTGAGCCTGTGCCATCCCCATCCCCGCTCATTCTGGTGCTGAGAAAAGTGACAGGGAAGCCAGCCATACTGATAAACCACAACAGATCAGGAGGTGCTTTCTGGCCTTTAAAGATCCCCTGAATGAAACTGAGCAACTAGGGGATTCTGTTTTCACTGCTGATTGTGTACTAGCACTTCTCTGATACAGCAGGATCTGAGCCTGACACATCTACAATGCTCATCCACCCCAGCCCAAATTGGGAAGCCCAGGAAAAGCACAGCATTCTCCTAATGATGTTTCCCCACAAGTGGTTCTAGGATGAGGTCTCGAATAAGGTCTCCTTGAATTTATGCCTTTTCTAATACCACTGTTGGATAATTGGCCCCCATCTTTTGGTGGCACACATCCATCCACACATACCTTAGGAGCCTGTATATCCGTATGATCTCTTGTGGGCTCAGTGGTTGGCAAGCTGGCTTACGTGGTTCCGGAAATGAGCAGAAAGACAAGGGAAAGAGTTCAAAAAATAATGGAGGAGCATTGCCTTAAATAGATTTGACATATAAAAGATATGTGACGTTCTCTGAATCGAAATGCAGCCATATGAATGTGGTGGGGGAAATGTCCCATGTAAAATGTCTTTTCTGGGTCTGTTTCCTTTCTCTAAACCTGTTGCCTCTCTCTCTCTCTCTCCCCTTTTTCTCTTCCCATCTAGTTGCAATTTCTGAGCAGTTCTGTCCAGGTGACCGTACCCAGGTTATGACGACTAATCCAAAACCAAACAAAACATTAAAGGTAAGTAAAGTGGCATAAAATGGGGAAGTGGAACTTGCAACCCTGCAGGTGTTGCTGGACTCTAGCTATCATCAGCCCCAGCCAGAATGGCAAATGGTCAGGGATGCTGGGAGTTGTAGTCCAGGAACATCTGGAGGACTACAGGCTTCCCCCCCCCCCCCATTCTGATATAAAGCATAGATGGCTTTCTAAGGAAAACTGAGACAAGTTCATGGAACCTCCATGGCCAGAGGCAGTATACCTCTGTGTGCCAGATGCTGCAGGTGCCCAGTATCTTCACACCTTGCTTGTGAACTCCCACAGCAGCCTTCCTTTAACTTAGTGTCATCCTTACATTCCAGGTTTCAGCTTCCATTCGGGTTGCAACTCCTGGGTTGCAACAGACCATTGTCTGTGCTGGTTAGAGGAACTGTAATCCAAAACATCTGGAGAGCACTAGGTTGGGGAAGGCTGTTTCAGAGGCATCTGGCTGGCATTTGTTAAACAGAATGCGGGACACAAGGCTTTTTTTTAAAAAAAATAAATGTGTGTGTTCTGCATGAAAATAGTTTTCATGGTGGCGGATCTCCTAAATCACAAGCGGGGAATCTGTAGACCTCTAGGTATTGTTGGACTGCAACTTCCAGAGTCCCTGACCATTGGCTATTCTGGCTGGCACTGATGTGAGCTAGACTCCATCCTGTGGAGTGTCACAGGTTCCCTGTTCTAAATTATCACCTTCCCCAGTGGTAATTCTTTAAAATACATTGTTCAGTGCCAAGTTCTTTTACTAGCAGATAACGCAGTGATACAGCTTTCCTTCAGAAGAGAGTTTTTCTTCATCACTTTTAAAAGAGAAACTAAAGATACCTATGTCTAACTTGCTGGAGACGAGGACAATATTCTATATCCGGACCTGAGCTGAAGTGAAGTTTTACGCAGTTCATGGACTCTTGCAGGAAAATTCATGCCACACACACAGGCTGGGGACCATAGTGTGGTGGTAGGGTGCATCTTTGCAAGGCACAAATTTCCATATTCAGCCCCCAGCATCTCTAGATAAAAGGATTTTGGTTATTGGGCTGGAAAGCACGTCTACCTGATGCCCAGTTGATCTGCTGTCAACCAGCTCAGGCTAGATGGACTCATGGTCTGATTCCGTGTTAAACAGCTTCACACGCTCAGGTCCTGTAACAGATTTCCTGGATGTCTTCATATGGCCATGAATTTCCGTGCATAATCATCTGAGTCATTTCCCTTTCCATTCCTCGTGGAAGAGGGACATGGGAAGCCCTTCTGAGGTACAACATCCTGAGGTTGACGTGGCTTGTGGAGAGGAAGGAAGGAGCCACTCTGCTGCTTCCTGCCCTGCAGCTAGCAGGATGTCCTCATGCCGCTGTGGGAAGTGGGCAAAAAGCAAAGGCCCATTGGCCCACTGGAAAAATGCCAAAATCCCTTATGAGGGCAGCATTCTTTTATTAGTGGGACCTGGAGTGGCTGAACACTCAGCCCATGAAACGCTGACGTTTCTTAAAATATATCAACGTGGTCCTTTACACAGGAAATCCATTTTATTTTTTTAAAAATCCATCAAATTCACAATACCTGGGTGGTTTTGGGGGGGTGGGGCAGCCCCCAGAATAAGACTGAGCATGGGATCATAGAATCTTAGAAGTGGAATCATCTAGTCTAACTCAGCTAAAGCATCCATGACAGCTGGCCATCCACCTCTGCTTAAAAATCTCCAAGGAAGGAGAGTACACCTCTCATGAGAGTCTGTTCCACTGTCAAACAGTTCTTGCTGTCAGAAAGTTTTTCTGTCAGTAAGTTTAGTTGGAATCCCTTTTTTTGTAACTTGAAACCATTGCTTCAAGTCCTACCCTCCAGAGCAGGAGAAAACAAGCATACTCCCTCTTCCATGTGATAGCTCTTAAGATGGCTATCACATATCATCTCAGCATAGGTGATAAATGGGATTTGGGGGGGCGTGGGGCGTGATGGGTTCACTGCTGAGAAGACCCTGTCATTTGTTGCTAAAGGAGTACCTAGAGAAGGGCTTTAGCAGAATATCATAACCTATGTGGGAAGACTCAGTTCATAAGATATTTGGCTCCCAAGGCATTTAGAGCTTTTAAAAGTTAACATCAGCACTGTGAATTGGGCCCAGAAGCAAACAGATAGCCAATATTAATTTATTTACATACTGCAGTTGAGCATTTGACTGATTTAAATAGCTGTTCAACAGTGGGACGGACTCCCTCCGAAGGTGGTGAAGGTTTTTGAACAGGTTGGATGACCACCTGTTATGGATTCTTTAGCTGTGTTTCTGCATTGCAGGGGGTTAGACTAGATGTCTTTTGGGGTCCCTTTCAACCCTATAATTCTGTGAGAGGAGGAAAGGATTTGGTCAATTAAGCAGATCAAATACAGGTCAGGTATTTTTTAAAGCACTAACTTTATCACAGCAGCAGAAAAAGAAAAGTTACTGCCACATATCTGAATTATAAAAAATGAATGATACTGCTATTTTTTGTGAAAAAATGCTTTTTTTAAAAAAGTAGTACATTACCATAACTTTTAACCATGTTGGTTCAGGTTTTTTATAAATGATGAATGATTATTGTGAATAATGCTTTGGACTCAGAGGGAAGAGTCAGGTGTAAATGTTGACTTGGGTAGGAACTACTCTGCACCAAGTGCCACTCACTGGATCATCTGCAGATTTCAAGTAGAATTCTCCATCTGAGTTCCTGCAGATGAGGAATTCTGATGCAGAACTCTGAAACTGGGTAGTAGAGACTCACAAAGAAGTGGTCAGAGGCAGCCAATTACTATTCCAATCATTACACGTGAGGAAAACTGAGGCCAAGAGATTAAGTGATTAGCATAAGGAAAGCAGTGACAGAGAAGGTTGCTTTTCTTACCATTTTACTCGCTATTTGGGGCCAGGGACTTTTGTTGATTTACTGCAAATAACCCAGAGATCTACCACTAAAACCCAACATGCCTCCTTCCTGCTCTAGTATATCTTCGCACGGGAAAAGGCATTCCCAGAGATACTTTGGACCCAAACAGTTTAGACTTATAGAAGTCAAAGCCTGCACCTTGATTTGAGCCCAGAACTGCTCTAGAAGCCAGTGCAGTTGCTGAACAAGTATAATACGGTTTTGTCAGCTCATCTTGGTCAGAAGAGGGACAGCAGTAGTTGGAACTAATTGGACAGCCTTCAAGAGCAGTTCCAGATATGATAGCAAATAATCAGGAAGTTACCGAGGCGTACAGGATAGCAAGGCTGAGCAATGGTTAGACCTGGGATAGCTCTTAACCTCAGGGTCGTGGGTTCAAGCCCCATGTTGGGCAACAGATTCCTCCACTGCAGGAGGGTTGAGCTAGATGGCCCTTGTGGTCCCTTCCTGTTCTGTGATTCTGTGATCCATACGTTGCCTTTGTGACATTGGTGTCTGCAGGTCAAGGAGGAGTCGGGAGAGAACGCCCCGGTGCTCAGTGACGATGAACTCGTGTCGATGTCTGTGCGGGAGCTGAACCAGCACTTAAGAGGTCTCACAAAAGAGGAGGTCATCCGCCTGAAGCAGCGGCGGCGCACGCTTAAGAACCGGGGCTACGCCGCCAGCTGCCGCATCAAGCGTGTGACGCAGAAGGAGGAGCTGGAGAGGCAGCGGGTGGAGCTGCAGCAGGAGGTGGAGAAGCTCGCCCGGGAAAACAGCAGCATGAAGCTAGAGCTGGACGCCCTGCGCTCCAAGTACGAGGCGCTGCAGACCTTTGCCCGCACCGTTGCCCGGGGGCCCATCACTCCAACCAAAGTTGCCGCCACCAGTGTCATCACCATCGTGAAGTCGGCAGAAATCTCGTCTGTTTCTGTGCCATTTTCAGCGGCCTCCTAGTGTCCAAAGTGGCAGAACTAGCAGCCCTTTTGGAAGGGAGAGTAGGATCTCGTTGATGGGTTTAGGAGCCTGCCTTCCTGAAAGATCAGCGATCCATTTTCTCCCCCAAAGCTAGCAAGTGGACTCTGCAAAGGGGGAAACTAATGGGCTGTTCTTGCTGGGCACTTCAGGTTCGGTCAAGCCGCTTGCGGCTGAAATGGGAATGCCATATCGAGTAGTAGGTATTGCACGAGGGGTCTTGCACAACTCCTCCTCACAGCCTCTTTAAGTCCCAGGCAGCTCCCCAGTCGAGAGAAGACATCAGGGTATTCTCCAGAACATTTTGGAGTGAAACTGAACCACTCAGAAACGGATGGCCTGGCAGAATTGACAGGCAAGTTGAATAAATGAAGAACAGCCTCTTCCTTCTTTCAGGAAAAAAAAAAATATGTCCGATCGTAGTCAGCTTTATGTCAGTCACAGAATGAGCAATTGGCTCTGGAGCAGCTTATACTGAGAGTTCATCAGAATGTCATAGAACAGTGTCTTATCTCTCCAGTTATGGAAACACCTTCACAGGTGAATTTCCACCTTTGGTGTGGTTATCTCCCCTCCCCTTTGCCGTGTGGCTTAGCAAACAGAGCAGTATCTACAATGCAAAAATGTCTCTCTAGCTACTTCCCCACAATGTGCCTGTGAGTCAGATGTCTTTTTAAAAATGTAGTCTTGTTACTTCTAAATCAATATTCTCTCTTTCTCTCTCTCTTGCTTTCTCTCTCTTTCTCATAACAATAACTATTAGATCTAGACCGAACAACGCTGCAGAGAAAAGGAAATGGGAAAGTGTTAAGAGTGTGGGATGTGGGTGGGCTGTAAAAAAGAGAGAGATACTGTTAACGGCAGGAAGCCTGTGCTCTGACAAGGTGTTCTCTTACAGGGTCTGCTAAAAGGCCTGTAAAGCAGAAGCATGCAGGAGAAGACAAGAAAGTTTCACGTAAGAGACAGAAACAAGTGTGACATCAACACAAAGCCTTAACATATCCTCTTTCTGACTTCACAAGAGCTCTTTTTGGTGCTCTTTAATGCCAAAAGACAACATATGGCAAAGATGAGTGATGAAAACAAAGAGCAGTGTTCTTGGACGAGCTGCCTAGTAGATGTAAATATCTACAAGGGAACAGATCTTTGGAGATAATCTCAAGACCAGGGCATAGATGAAATGTTGCCAAGGAATGCAAGAAGGTTTGAAAATGCAGGAAGGTTTCTTTCTCAAGTAATTGCAAAGTTGGGACAGGGGATGAGTGGAGAAATGTGTTTCGTGGATCTGAGACAGGAAGGATTGGAACTGATTGGTTCGTGGTGGGGAGGGCAGAAGAGGACTGGGGAGGTGGGGTGGAAGAGTGGAGGGAGAGGAAAACAGAGATTTTTGAATTTAGTGGGGAAAGAGAGGAGTTAAAGTTTGTAAATGAGTTTGTAAAATCCAAGGAAGTAAGGAAAAGCAACAGGTTTTCAGATTAAATGAAAAGGAAGGACCTCGTACAAGTTGACTTAAGCTGTGCCTGCAAGACAAAGTAATCTTCCTTTTCCTTAGCAAAAGGTACTCCTGTAAGGTTCCCAGATAAAAAGAGGGAGGCCCCTGAGGCTTGGAGCCAAAATGCCCCATGTGGCAACACTTTAGATGGCCTGCACCATTTTAGACTGCTGGTATAAGATAGGACCTTTTGAATGCTTCTTCTCCACCAGATACTCGACACATAAGCCCCAAGTAAGCATACCAGAATAAAAAAGCTACCCTGGAATTTCTCCGTGACTTGCTCCTTTTGGAGGATGGCATCCTTTTACAGGGAAGAAGCTCTGTTTTGCACATTATGCGCCACTCTGTATATTGATAACAGGGCTGGAGAACTTCCAAAACAGAGCTGAACCATTGCATATTGCCAGTGCGGCAATCTGTGACGTGGATTTGAACCACGGCGGGCCAGTGAAGATGCTGGTGGCGATTTAAACCTTGTGTGTGTTCCCATATAGCCAATGCCAACTTTACTCTCACTCTGTGTGTGCGTTTGCTGCTGCAGGAGTGATACTGCCTGACACACCGCTGCTTGACACTATCATGGATGGTGGCAAGCACAGACCACACTCCCCTTAATGGAGTTAGGAATACAGATGGTATATCGCCCATGGCAGTTGGGTGCTTGTACAGGGCAGATCCTTTACCAACGCTGCCGCTAACGCCTACTGTGTCTACACGCAATAAGAGTTAGCAGGGTTGCACACTTGCAACAACCGCAATGAAAATAAAACAAAAACCAAGTCATCTATTCAAGACTTAAATTCCTACCAGCCCACTGTTCTGGTGGCTTATTTTCTGAGTCTTGAGATGTGACTTTTTTTCAGGATTACCTCATTTCTTTCCAGGCCTCACATTACCCTCTAGAAGGCAAGCCGATGTCCTGTGTTTTAACCCATGCCTTTTTTGACCCCCTCAGCAAAGGTTGAGGAAGAAAAAAAAATCACACAATATTGCTCTTATTTCCTGTAAAAAATTATTTTGGAAAATGCCCTGGATCTCTGCAAGCTTCTCGAGTTCTTAAAGCGGAGAAAGGTTTTAGATAATTTGTACTGTTGGAGCTTTGGAAAACAAATAGGGCTGGCCATTATGAGCTGAAAGATGCCTGGATGCTTCATAACCTCCCCCTGCCCCGCCCCAGAATTTATTCTCAAGAAGGAAACCGCTGTCCGTAGCCCAGGACCATCTCATAGCTGAGCAATGTGGAATTTGTGGCCCTCCAGATGTTGCAGGACTACAGCTCCCACAATCCCTCACTCGTAGCCTTGTTGGCTGGGGCAGATTGGAAATGGTGCTCAACCACACATGTATGGCCACAGGCTCACTGTCATAGCCAGGACCCTGAAAACGAGAGGATAGTGTTAAGGTCTGTTTCATCATAGAGATAACGAAAGACTAGACTTGCTCAAAAGCTGCCATACGAAGAGCATCACCAATAGCAGCTCCTACGTTGACTCCAGAAATTGTTCTGTACAGGCTGCGCCCAGTTAATGACCACCGTACAGTGCTAGAGTCCCATAGATGTACAGCTCTTGGGTTTCCTTGAATGTGTTTCATGGGGTCTCCTTTCAGAATAAGAACAGAGACACGGACATTTTCTTGAGTAGTGTTTCTTTGCGACTGAGTAATCACCTGCCTCCCTCAGTTCTAGGAAAGTTGGCCAGAGGTGCAGGCAAGCAATTGCTGATTTAAAAAAAGAAACTGGTAGGAGACGCTCCAACAACAATCTAACTGAAATTGTGTTTGCAGCCAGTGGAATTAAGGCTTCAGCCTTAATGTTTAGCCCTTAGCAGCTGTGTTTTTACCACCAGCTAGTTGCTGCTTACTCTCCCCATAGGGTAGTTGCTGGAAAACCTCCTCCTCCATAGGTGGTCTGCAGGCACATGAAGCATCTAGAATTTCCGTGGATAATATGATAATCTCTGAGGGAGTGACCTCAGCCTGATCTCTGCCGTTAATTTGAGAACTAAGAGCAGCTTCTGTGGGGCAAACAACCCAACCAACACCAGGACTATGTACCTTTGTAATTTGATCAGGAGCAAGAGGCCGAAGGCATTATTAAAGCTGTCGTTACCATAGCCATGGTAGGTAATCCATATTGGATATCATTTAAGGACCATGTGGAAATATTTGAGAGACACACTTATAGAAACATATATAAATATATATAGATATATATATATAAAATAAATGCATAATTATATACATTTTATCGTACAGATTTTTTTGTAAAAGATATTGTCTGGGTTGTTGTCTTTTTTAGTGTGGTATATTGTCGTTTTCTTATTTAAAAAAAAAAGTCTGCTTCCAAGAGAAAGTGGGGAGGAGAGAAGAGCCGATAGTTTTCTCTGACGAGTCAGGAATATGACAGAAGGAATCTGAAAGCTTTGTTTAGTTTTATTTCTCACCTACTTTTTTGACACCTGTGGCTGCAGCCAGAGATATCCATTGTAAACACTTACTTCTCAAAAGTCTGTGCACCGAAAGGATGGAAAGTTCAGGAGACGAGACCTGAGCAAATTGTGCCATCAGTCGCTGCAGGAATGTGTATCCTTAGCCTGTCCTACATGCATATGCCTACTTAGACAATTCCTACATGGAAGGCACTTGAACATGGGAGTTAATATGCAACCCATGTGCGCAAACCACCACCTGCGATGTGTGTGTGTGTGTGTGTGTGTGTGTGTGTGTTTTCAAGTGTGTTATTCATGCAGCAAGAGATTGAAGGCCAACTTTTTATAAACCATGAAACATCCCTTCATGTTTTCTGCTCATCAGCTTCCACCATCCTGAGCTTGGTTTCTCCGTACATGAAAAGATGTTCAGTGTATGCTTTGGCTTTTCTGAGTGTTGGTGCGACTCATGCCCAGCTCAGTGTCCCCTCCAAAGGAACTGCCCAGTGGTTTATGGTCAGATTTGTCCGTCTTCTATTCTGCTTTTAATGGTGCCCCAAATTCGGCTCCTGGGGTATCTTCCCGCCTCGGTGTCAGCTCACCTTCATGCGAGGTTAACAGTCCAGCTGTTCTCTGCTGGGTCTGGCACATCTTTGCCCATCCAGCCTCCAGGACCTGTTAGAGGAGCCTTGGAAACATGCACAACACCATTGCTGTGCATGATGTCCACATTGGGCACAACTTGCCATTGGGGGTTCTGGGGTCTGCCTTGTTTTCCACTGGGGCTGAACTCTCTTAATGCTAGCATTTCCAAGAGGGGCAGATGATTTGGCTGAATGAAATATCCCATGGACTAATTTCGGTCCTCTGACAGCCAGTTGCGCTGTTCCGATCCCTGCTGCTGTTTGGCCAGACCAACTGCCTTTCTTGGAAGGCTTGCTCAGTATTGGAGCTGTTGTGTAGGCTACCATGATGGTAACATTCTGGACTGTACCAGGTTCCATGGGGGGGGAGGCGTGGATCCTGATTTTGAATGCACTGAACACTCCTCACTTGCAGTAACCTTGCGCATGAGGGAGAAAACCATGCTAAACCTTTCTTCCTTCCATGTTGGCTTACTACACACAGGGGAGTTTAAAAAACAAACAAATGGGGGAGTATCAAATAAATTGACCTCCCCACAGGTGGTGCAGGCCAGCCATCTCAATCTGCATCATGTATTCCCAGATCCCATTAGCCCCAGCCCTTTATGGCCAGGGATGGTCAGCGTTGTCCTCTTAACATCTGGAGGACAGCAGATCAGGGAAGGCTGCCATAACGCATGACGCTTCAGTATTTGAAAGCTAACAAGCTGGACTGTTTAATCCTGCAGTGAAGGATGTGCAACTTTTTGAGAAATGGGTAACTGGAGCAGTCAGCAGTGAGGCTTCTTAATGTGAGAAATCAGAAGGGAATTCAGGTTACTCCAGTGGCCTAAAGCCAAGAAGTGAAGCCCTTCCCTTCCCCCTCCCTTTTCAAGTCTTTTTAAGCTTTACCACTATTTGGTTTCAATGTTTAAGGTTTTGTGTCCCTACCTCCATAAAGACAGGAGTGTTTTCCCACTGATAGCCAGCCATAGTGCTTTTCTCCCCCCATTTTCACTCATCCTTGAAAAATTGTAGGAAAGTCTCTCTTTTTTTTTTGTCACCCGTTCATTCTATCTTCTTGTGGTTTTACTTGATTATTTTCATTTCGATATTTATTTTTCGTGCGCTGCTTTTTTATTATGAAATAAATTATTGATATATCAAGTAATGTGGGTGCCTGTTTCGTAAGGCATATTCACTGTGTGTGTGTCCAATCTACTTTTCTCTTGACAAAAAAAAATAAATTACAACACAATGTTAATTTATTGCTGTAAATTTTAAGCTGCAATGACTGGTTTTTGGTTTGTTTTTGTTTTTTTGTACCTTTCCAATAAAGCATTTTCTGGTTTCAGATTTGACCTGGTCTGTGATCAGTATGTTCAAAGCTTTGGGACCTCAGGCTGCCATCCTTGCTACAGCTTAAACAGAGCCCAGAAGGGCTACATGAAAGACCTAGATCAGGGGTCAGCAAATGTGTTCAGCAGGGGGCCGGTCCACTGTCCCTCAGACCTTGTGGGGGCCGGACTATATTTTGAAAAGGGGAAAAAAAGGAACAAATTCCTATGCCCCACAAATAACCCAGAGATGCATTTTAAATAAAAGGACACATTCTACTCATGTAAAAACACGCTGATTCCCGGACCATCCGAGGGCCGGATTGAGAAGGCTATTGGGCTCGATCCGGCCCCCGGGCCTTAGGTTGCCTACCCATGACCTAGATGGTTGACATTAGTCTGCCTTGGGAAGATTATGGAGTGTGTCTCCAGGGGTCAAACTGCTGTGTTCGCAGCACCAAAGTGACCTCCCCAGGGCACAAGCCTGGGCAGTGTGTCTGGAGGTCTTGGGTTGCCCCAAAGGAAAACAGAGAAAAATGTTTCGCAGCAGCAGTTGATGGAAGGAGGGCATCCAGCCGCCACTCTGCATTTGCGTAGTCTAACCAAAATGAACAAATGCTGGCAGGTAGCAGAGTCTGTTGGGGGACTCCAAAAACTACAGTGATCCTGCCTTTCATAGGACTAATTAAAACACTACCCCTCCTTATCAAGCTTTCAAGTTCTCCAGCGATCATCTTCACAGTGTGCCTCAGAGCAACAGCTGCTGGGGAACGCAGACAGGGAGATTGCTGTTGCACCCCAGCCCTGCCTGTGAGCTTCCTCTTGGCAACTGTGGGGAACAAGCTGTTGGAGATGATGATGGGCCTGTGGCCTGATCGAACAGGCTCTTCCTAAGGGAGGCAAGAGAAGGGCTGGAGAAAGCTAATGGGAAAAGCCTGAAGGGCTTTAATTTGTTAGCAGCCTTAGGCTGCCGGGCAGGAGATGTCATGCACACTGAATTAGAGCACTAGTAGTTGAGTCAAGAGGGACGCGGGTGGCGCTGTGGGTTAAACCACAGAGCCTAGGACTTGCCAATCAGAAGGTCGGCGGTTCGAATCCCCGCGACGGGGTGAGCTCCCGTTGCTCGGTCCCTGCTCCTGCCAACCTAGCAGTTCGAAAGCATGTCAAAGTCCAAGTAGATAAATAGGTACCGCTCCGGCGGGAAGGTAAATGGCGTTTTCGTGTGCTGCTCTGGTTCACCAGAAGCGGTTTAGTCATGCTGGCCACAAGACCCGGAAGCTGTACGCCGGCTCCCTTGGCCAGTAAAGTGAGATGAGCGCCGCAACCCCAGAGTCAGCCGCGACTGGACCTAATGGTCAGGGGTCCCTTTACCTAGTTGTGTCAAGGGCATCTAGGAAAAGATGCAACAGTACAACTTGCTTAAAACCCTGACCACAAAATCCATCAGTTACTCTGCTCTGTGTCCAACATTAAGTGAAAGATGTAGGGGCCCTCGAGGCAGACAGCAAAAGTTGAAATGTAGTAGCATTTATATCAGGCTCAAACAGGAATTGAGGGGCACATGCAACCCTCCAAGCTTCTGTATCCAGCCCTCAGAACTCTGCCCAGGCAACACCCCTTAGGAGTCCTGCTCTACACTCCCCTTTGGGTCTTTGGCCTGGCCAGAATATCCCTGAACCATATACAGTCATACCTCAGAAGTCGAACAGAATCCGTTATAGAAGTCCGTTCGACTTCCCAAACACAGCTTCTCATTGGCTGCAGGAAGTTACAGGGAACCAGGCAGAGGGCCTTCTCAGTGGTGGCACACGCCCTGTGGAACATCCGTCAGATGTCAATGAAATAAACAACTATCTGACTTTCAGAGGACATCTGAAGGAAGCCCTGTTTAGGGAAGTTTGTAATGTTTGATGTTTTATCGTGTTTTCAATATTCTGTTGGGAGCCGCCCAGAGTGGCTGGGGGAACTGAGCCAGATGGGCAGGGTATAAATGATAAATTATTATTATTATTATTATTATTATTATTATTATTATTATTATTATGAAATAAAGGGGAAAATTACCAGGAACAATCCAGACTGGACAAGCCAGACTGGATTGCTTAATTTAAAGGATTCTAACGAATCATCAACTTGCTTCCAACAATCTGTGCTGTGCTGCTTGCTGACTAGGGTGAGTGAGGAGGGATATTAATATTTTAGTATTTGATGAATTATTGTATTTTAATATTCAGATTACAAAAGAACGTTCAAAAACGAACACTCACTTCTGCGTTTAGATAAGGAGCCGGAACTTTTGACTCCCAAGGCGTTCAGGAGCCGAGGTATGACTGTACTAAAGTGTCTTGCTTGCCTGAGCTCAGGGAGTTCTGACTCTGTTGGAACAATTTGAGCTTTTTCCTGCAAAGATTTCTTTGTACTTCTGCAAACCTTGGGGCTTCCTGACAGCTTGCTGATCCCTCCCAGTCCCAGGTGGTGCCTTCCTGGGTTACAGAGGACTCCTATTCAGAGAACGGGTTTGCCTGCTAGGGGAATACTTAACAGTGATTTGACAATGCACACAGAAATGTTTTCCCCCCTCTTCATTTTATTAGAAGCCTTTTTATATAAATAATTTAAAATGTACAAGTTTACACTCCCAGCAGTTGCCACCTCTCTGTAAAAGATGCAACATCCAAAGAAGAAAGCATTACATACATTTTATCGCTGCATAGAGAAGTTGTGCTGTTCAAGCAGAATCTTGAATGATCTCCTGCAGGCTAGGGACAGAGGTGAAACCTGTTTCCTGGTTCTGCTGGATCTCTCAGTGGCTTTTAGTACCACTGACCCTGGTATCCTCCTGGACCATCTAGAGGAGTTGGGTGTTGGGTGCACTGTTATACAGTGGTTCCGCTCCTTTTTCCTGGGCCGTGTCCAGAAAGTGATGTTGGAGGGATGAGTGTTCGGATCCCTGGGCTCTCACTTGTGGGGTGCCTCGGGGCTCTGTCCCCCTTCCCATGCTTTTGAACATCTCTATGAAGCCGCTTAGAGAGATCAGGGAGCTGGGGCTGAGTATCCACCAATATGCAGATGATAACCAGTTCTACCTCTCTAAATCAGAACCATTGAATACAGTGAACGTCCTGTGCAAGTGTCTGGAGTATGGACGACGGTCTTCAGATTGAGGTTGAATCCCAACAAAATGGAAGAACTGTTTCTGGGGGAAGGGGTGGGCAGATGTGGAGGACTCCCTGGTCCTGAATGGGGTAACTGTGTCCCTGAAGGACCAGGTGTGCAGCCTGGGGGTCATTTTGGACACTCAACTGTCCATGAAGATGGCCAGTTCCTCGTCCAATGTGGCTGTCTACCAGCTCCATCTGGTATGCTGGCTGAGACCCTACCTGCCCACGCACTGTCTCACCAGAGTGGTGCATACTCTGGTTATCTCCTGCTTGGGCTACTGCAATGTTCTCTACATGGGGCTGCCTTTGAAGGTGACTCGGAAACTACAGCTATCGGCCATGCTCTCTGGAGCTGATGGGGAGTTGGGAGTCACACAAGATTAGAGGTCCATAGGCTGGTCTTCCTTTCTACACGTTCTACATTCCAAGGGGAGAGCCATAGGCAGTTCTTATGTTGCCCCCTATATGTGTGGAATTTCCACAATGGTGGGTCCCAGAACTGAGTCCACACGGGGTACGTGTGTGTGTGTGTGTGTGTGTGTGTGTGTGTGTGTTAAACCCAGCAAGGATTTCTGCCTACATTCTTTCTACTATGTGGTCAAACTGTCCTCAGCTTTCCTCTCCAGGAAACAGTTTGAATTCCACCACCACCAATCCGATATAGGGCCAAAATTCCTGATCCATAACAGATCAGTCTTTCTAAAATGGCTTTAACCAAGATAGATCTGGGTTCAACCAACACACCATATATATATTTTTTAAAAGGTTTTTCCTTTAGCACCAAGAACGGACTAGGAATAGCAATTTTTAAGCTTCCTTGAAGTCTTCATTTGCTCCATAAGGAGTTCCTCACTTCCCACTTGCCTCTGCTTTCAGCTGTAGCCATTGCAGCTGCCCCCTCAAAGTCCTCTCCTCCCTCAGATTTCTGCCTATTAATTTACTGTGACTGAGCTGGATGCATTGCTTTCAAACGCAGCTTCGGTTAGTTTCATTCCTTCCCATGGGACCAAACCCAGACTATATTGCTGCTGGGGCACAGTTTTCATTCAAAACCATTACTTCTGGTCTCGCAATCCTGGCCTTTCCCCGTTCTTCCAAGCCAGTCCCCAACCCACTCCCATCTTGGGCCCAGAGCTGTCGCTCAGAGTCCAACTGAGAAAAGTCGTTCCCACTACACTATCTTTGCTTCAGCCAATAGGAGAGAGTCCGGAGGCGTTCTAAGCCATCTTCCAGAACCTCTTGGAACTTTCCGGAACATGCCGCCAAGTTGTGCCCTCACGGCGCATCCCCAAAAGCATGAGGAAAAGGCTCACGCAATGGGTTGAGCGCAAAGGCCGAGGAAACGCAAAGAAGTGGGAGGGCTTGAGAAACCAACTTTCGAAGTATTTGAGCCTTCTTGAGGCAATAGCCAATTGACAGGATTGGTGGCGACACCTCCATTTTCTCTCACGTCGGCCAGCCCATCTGACCTCCGGTTCTGTCCGCAGCAACTGAGCTGGAAGGTGGCAAGGAGGTATTTCCTACAAAACCCACCATGGTTCCCACCTGGGAGACGTGCCCTATAGCTCGTCGTCAGAGGTTATCAGCACCCTCTTCTCAATGTTCTTGCTCTTCTTGATGTGTTGGCCATCGGCTTTGGGCTCCACGTGCCCGTTCTGCCCCGGCTCGCCAGCCTCTTGCATGGACTGCTGTGTGTACTGCTGGTACGCTGGGGAGAAGTTGTGGATGGCATCTTGGACAATGTCCTGGGGGCTCATGGTCTCCTTCAGACTACTGGAGATGCTCTGCATCGGGGCAAGGTTTGCTGGGAGCAAGAGGAGGACATGAGAGAAGCGTAATCATGTAAACATGCCTACAACTAATCCAGAATGCAGCAGCTAGACTGGTGACTGGGAGTGGCTGCCAAGATCACATAACACCGGTCCTGAAAGACCTACATTGGCTCCCAGTATGTTTCCGAGCACAATTCAAAGTGTTGGTGCTGACCTTTAAAGACCTAAACAGCCTTGGCCCAGTAGACCTGAAGGAGCATCTCCACCCCCATCATTCATCCCAGACACAGGTCCACCTCGGAGGGCCTTCTGGCAGTTCCCTCCCTGCGAGGTTACAGGGAACCAGGTAGAGGGCACCTGCCCTGTGGAACGTCCTCCCGTCAGATGTCACAGAAATAAACAACTATCTGACTTTTAGAAGACATCTGAAGGCAGCCCTGTTTAGGGAAGTTTGTAATGTTTGATGTTTTATCGTGTTTTTAATATTCTGTTGGGAGCCGCCCGGAGTGGCTGGGGAAACCCAGCCAGATGGGCAGGATATAAATAATAAATTATTATTATTATTATTATTATTATTATTATTATTATTATTATTATTATTTCAAAGGAAGAGACTAAGAAAAGCCTTCTCAAAAAGCAAGTTTCCTCAACCTGGTGCTCTCCAGACATTGGGCCATGATAGATGGGGTTGGTGGGAGTTGGACATCTGGGGGCACCAGGTTGGGAAAAACTACCAGAAAACAAAGTTGCCCGTTCAGATCATAAACAGCAGCGCTATGTAGGACTAGTCGTTTAGTACTTTTGGGCCACCAGTTCAAAAAGTCCCAAAACATGTTAAAACAAGAATTCTGCCACAGTCTCCAGCTACTTTGGCCCTGTTGTAGCCTGTCTCTTTCACACACGTTATAAACCATTTCCCCCTCACCATTTTATAGGAATCTATGGGGCAGGAGTGCCAGCTTGGTGCCACGACCATGGGTGTCCAGGGTCGTGGGTGCCATGCAACGTGCATGGCCCTGGCACCTAAATTTGTGGGTGCCCGGCGCCTTCATGGGGAATTTCGTGGGCGCTACAGCACCCAGGGTCCCAGGGAGTTGGCACGTATGCTAGGGGGAAATGACACGATTGTTCTCTCCACTCAAAACACTGTTCCCCGAAAAAGACTGAATGCCTTCTAAGCATCAGGTGCCAGACAACACCTCCTTAAAAGCTGAAAAGCTCCTTCAATATCTCAAGAGCCAAGTACTGTTCACCTTCAGATTGATGACTTTCATTTGAATTTATTTATTGACCTGAAAGCTGGTTTCCTCCTCAGTAAAGGGAAAGGAGGAGGTGGAATCACAAGGCCAAGGTAACCTCGGTCAAAGAAGTGGGTGCTAGCCTGCCAATACAGCTCCACATTCCTTCTCTAGGTCCCATTTCCTGACCAATTTAGTTACCGTATTTTTCGCGCCATAGGGCGCACCGGACCATAGAGCACACCTAGTTTTTAGAGGGCGAAATCAAGAAAAAAATCTCTGCGCACAACCTCTCCCTGCCGGAGGGGTTACGTGCGGCTATGGCACAAGCCAAGGCAGCGAGCGGGATGGATCCCGCTCGCTGTTTTGGCTTCCTCTTTAGCCCCGTGTAGCCTCTCCCTGCCAGAGGGGTTGCGTGCAGCTATGGCAGGGGCTATCCCTGAAGCCTTCCGAGCGCAGCGCAAGTTCCCACTGTGCTCCTCAGGCTTCGGGTTCCTTTTGCTGAAGCCGGGAGAGCAAGACTCTCCTGGCTTCAGCGAAAGGAACCTGAAGCCTCCAGAACGCAGCGGTAACTTGCGCTGTGCTCCGAAGGCCTTCAGGCGGCTATCCCTGATGCCTGGAGAGCGAGAGGGGTCGGTGCGCACCGCCACCTCTCGCTCTCCAGGCTTCAGCGAAAGCAAGGCGAAGCCTCCGGAGCGCGAAGGGAGCACTCCCTCTGCGCCTCAGAGGCTTAGCATTGCTATCGCTGAAGCCAAGGAGCCTGCATTCACTCCATAGGACGCACACATATTTCCCCTCAATTTTTGGAGGGGAAAAAGTGTGTCCTATAGAGCGAAAAATACGGTAAGTCTTTTTTTCTCTCCTTTCCACTTGGCCGAAAAAGCCTCTGTCCCAAGAAGCATTTATGCGTCAGAAACAAAAGCATGCAAATACAGTTGATACGCAAGATTTATATCTGGTGCTGAATCCAGGGCACAGAGCCCTGTTACTGGGGAATTTGACACAAGCGCATCCTCTACTTGAGTACCACCATTCATCCATCATTCGCACATATGAATTATAGTGTAACGATTAAGAGGAAAGAAACAAACAATTCCAGGTTTGGTTTCTCTCTGCTCCTCTGATTCCACCTCCCATCTCCCTGCACACTTAAAGCAGGCCTTCGCAAACTTGGCCCTCCAGCTGTTTTTGGACTACAACTCCCATCATTCCTAGCTATCAGGACCAGTGGTCAGGGGTGATGGGAATTGTAGTCCCAAAACAGCTGGAGGCCCAAGTTTGGGAAGCCCTGACTTAAAGCAACCTCGTTCACCCTGGTGCTGTCCAGATGTTTTAAGACTGCATCAGCCCCAGCCAATTTTGGAGAAGCGGCCCCAAACATCTGTATGGAACCAGGTGGCAGAAGGCTAGCTTCAGAGGAACACAACCTTGTTGAGAACACTCACATGTCGCACTTTCCTTCTTCTCCCTGTACACCTGGCAGGTGAAAGCGTATCGGAGGGCGATGGCAGCAAACAGCATTTCAATGCAGATTATGAAGTTCTGGTAGCCGGCTGCTACCGTCCCGGCTCCCACCGTGTTCCCATCGATAATCTGAACCTCTGGAATCACCCCACATTTCTCCAGGATAGCCAGCAACATCCCTGTGCAAAGGGAATATTTGTCAATTTATCACCGACCCAAGCATTAGGTGGCTTGTCAAGTCTTCTTGGTGCATGTGGGTTTCCCACAGGTCCACGGAGCAGTTCTGCACGTCACCAGGATCTCGTGAGGTACCATATTTTTCGCTCTATAGGACGCACTTTCCCCCCCTCCAAAATTAAGGGGAAATGTGTGTGCATCCTATGGAGCGAATGCAGGCTCCTTGGCTTCAGCGATAGCAACGCAAAGCCTCCGAAGCGCAGAGTGACTCCTCTCGCTCTCCAGGCTTCCAAGGTAGCCGCCTGAAGCCTCCAGAGCTCAGCGGGAACTCCCACTGCGCTCCGGAGGCTTCGGGTGAACACACCTTGAACGCACAGAACGCACCTTTTTTTAGAGGGGGAAAACAAGAAAACCAAATTCTCCCCCTCTTTGCACAGTGCCCCTTCAGCAAAGCGGCAGGAAAAATGGAAGGGCTCCGTTTCTCCTGCCGCTTCGCTGATGGGCCCTGAGCAGAGAGGGGGAGAATTTTTTTCTTGTTCTCCCCCTCTAAAACAAGGTGCGTCCTATGGTTGGGTGCATCCTATAGAGTGAAAAATACGGTATATTATTTTGCCACCGGGGCTTTAGCCAGAGATGTGCCCAGGCTCCCTTGCGCCCTTGGCAAGGATCTGTATTGCCGGCCCCCCCCATGCCTTGCACCTGCCTTAAACCCCTTGAGAGCGACTGCCAGTGAGTGCAGGTTTGATTTTTGATGATTTGATTTTATTATTTCATTTGTATACCGCTTAATATATGGGAAATAGCTCTAAGCGGTGTACAAAACAGAAGCAACAACGGACAACTCAAAACAAAATATTGCAAAAATATACATATTAAAATGTTACATTAATAAGAAGTTACATATAAATATAAATCAACAGCAATTCATTTTCCTTCTGACCTAACTCACTTTAAGGCAGCTGCCTATACAGTGGTACCTTGGTTCTCGAACTTAATCCATTCTGGAAGTCCGTTCGACTCCCGAAATTGTTCAAAAACCAAGGTGCGGCTTCCGATTGGCTGCAGGAGCTTCCTGCACTCAAGCAGAAGCCGCGTCGGACATTTGGCTTCCGAAAAACGTTCGCAAACTGGAACACTTCTGGGTTTGTGGAGTTTGGGAACCCAAATGTTTGAGGACCAAGGCGTTCAAGAACCAAGGTACGACTGTATTTCTTCAAGTATTTAAGGGAGGCATCTGCAGATGGGGTGAATGATGAATTAGTCTCTCAGCATTTTTTACGTTATTTTTAAACACAGAGAGACAGGGCGGGGGGGGGGGGAGTAATTTTTCCAGGTGTTGCAAGCAATGTCAAAGAGCCCAGTAGGGCCTCAGCCTGTATGTCCCCACCTTCCTTCCTTCCAGGGTAGTTCACAAAATAAAGTACAAGATAAAACACAAGTAAATAATTAAATCAAAATGACAAAACAATAACACCCCCCTTAGGTACAATGACCGTCCTGTCTCCCCCCACCTTCACAGCTCCATTGCCCTCTCACTTTGGAAGGGCAAATTCTCTGGAGCCGGATTGGTGCGACGCTGCTGCCTGCTGCCACCAGTGCTACTTTAATAGTACAGTCGTACCTTGGAAGTCAAACGGAATCCATTCCAGAAGTCCGTTCGACTTCCAAAACGTTCAAAAACCAAAGCGCGGCTTCTGATTGGCTGCTGAGGAACGTTAGGCTTCCAATAATAGTTCGCAAACTGGAACAGTCACTTCCGGGTTTGTGACGTTCGGGACCCAAAACGTTTGAGAACTAAGCTGTTTGACTTCCAAGGTGCGACTGTGGTAGAGACACCTCCATGTTACATGGCACAAATACTCCTAGCATGATATTCATGTCCCCTTGGGCCTAAGCCCATGGCGGGGGCCAACCTTTGCCAGGTACGTCCTTGGCTTTAGCTGCCAAGTCTCAAAAGTCTTCGTTCCTATTCCAGCCCTTCCTCTAAAGAGCTCACTCGAGAAACTTGGCCGAATGGGGATTCAAACCCAGACCTGCTGGGTCCCAGCCCAACCCTCTTAATGTTTACACAGCACTGGCTCTCCCTCCAGATCTTGCTCAGTCAGAAGAGAGGAGATGCTGGCTCTGAAGGAGATGGAAAGACGGAAACCCACCTTGCCAAAAAGAGAGGAAGATGACTGCCTTGATGGTGAGGAATTTAAGGACCGGCTCAAACGGTCGCAGGAGCTCCATGGTGGCGAAATAGAAGAGGAAGAGAGCATAGAGAGCCAGGCTGACGGAGAAGTTGTAGATAATGGTGATGTAGAGGTAGCCACTGTGAATGCTGGGAAGCATAAAACACACACGGAGGTACCAAGCGTAAGACAATCATTGCATTTAGATCCCTCTCCGTTCTCCAAGGCACTTAAGGGACTGTGCTTGATTCCATCCTGCTTCTCATTTAACCCCCTCAACAATTTAAGAAGGATGTTGACAAGCTGGAACATGTGCAGAAGAAGGCGACCAAGATGATCAAGGGTCTGGAAACCAAGCCTGATGAGGAACGGTCGAGGGAATTGAGAAGAGATGACCAAGAGGAGATACAATAGCCCTCTTCAAATTTTTAAGGGCCGTCACATGGAATATGGATTCAAGTTACAGTGGTACCTCGGGTTAAGTACTTAATTTGTTCCGGAGGTCTGTTCTTAACCTGAAACTGTTCTTAACCTGAAGCACCACTTTAGCTAATGGGGCCTCCCGCTGCTGCCGCGCTGTCGGAGCACAATTTCTGTTCTCATCCTGAAGCAAAGTTCTTAACCTGAAGCACTATTTCTGGGTTAGCAGAGTCTGTAACCTGAAGCGTATGTAACCTGAGGGACCACTGTACAAGAAAGGAGATTCAAGCTGCCTTGGCTCCTTTTGACAAAGAGGTCCACAATCACCATTCATTGTGGATGCAGTGGAGAAAGCCACATGGTTTCGTGAAATGTAATCAGATCACGGCCATTTGCATTCCTCTCTCGTGGCAGTTTAGCAGCTTTTAATCATTTAAATTTTTCGGTGGGTCAGCCGAGCGAAAATGGTGTTTTGCTTCATTAAAATAATAATAATAATATAGTGTTGGTTTTGAGCCACTTTATTTTTGTGAATTTCAACTGCCTTTTACCCTTTTCCAGAAAGCTGCCCTGAGCTATTCTACTTCCAAAGAAAAATGTCAAGGCGTTGAAGCACCCCAGACCATAAAAACCACCCGCCCTTTCCCCGCACCCTCCCTTCTCCTCACTTGAAGTCGCCGTCGTTGTATTTCCCAAAGGCTTGCAAGATGATGGTGATGATAGCCATCAGAGGCTTCACAATGCAGAACTGCAGCGTTGCCTAGAAAGATTGAACAATCACAGCTGAAGCACATTAGGGCAGTGAAAATGTGTTACAGTCACACGTTTCCTACCACCAGAGGCAACTTGTGTGCATTTAAGTTGTGCGCATTCAGCTTTACACGTGTGGCAAATTAAAAAAAAAAGGGGGGGTAGTGGCAGGCATCCAGGATAAAGGAACCTTTGGCAATCCCATCCACCACTGAACCCAGTGTGTTTTTACTATAAATTATGGCTTTAGGTGCTATCCCCAAAACATAAGCCCAGCTTAAATTGAGAGCTGCCTGTATATAACTCTGAACACTCGCATAGACCCATGGGACCAGAGACTCCTGAGCCACTGCATTCGTATCTGAAATAAAATGAATCCAAACAGTAAAGACGAGACCTTGAGCATTTTGGTCCCTTGAGCCCTTTAGTTTATGTGATTTTCCCTCCCAAAGGCAATCTGCCAAGGTTTGGAATACTAGTAATCCAGGGTATTGAGATAAAAAGCCTCCCCAAAGCTGGCAGTCATGGTCTGGGCCGCAATCAAAAGATGAGAAACTAATTTACTGTTATTCAAGTCTCAAACCGATTGCACAAATAAATTCAAAAGAGACAAGGGGAGGAATGAATCATTTCTTCAGTTATCAATGAGATCTCAGAAGTTAATTTTGTCCAGAACCTTTTTACTTTGGGGCAGTCCCACCACATATGCCTGTAGGTCCCAGTATCCTGGCACTATTTGTTTCTATTTCTTGTTCACCCTTTCTCTTAAAGTTCTCTTAAATTTCCCCCCTAAGTATTATGTGTGGGTTGTTGTTGGGGTTTTTTTGCACATCTGTAGAAACAAGAACAACAATGCTTGCACATAGCTTCCAAGGGACAATAAATGCTTTCTGTCTAAGGAAAATCATTAAAACCTTTGCTACAAGATGAGGCAAGGCTGTTCTTTTCTCTCTCTCTCTCTCTCTCTCTCTTTGCATTTGCCACAAGAGACTAACACAGCTAGCTCCCTGGAAGGTACAGTCAAACCTCGTTTCCTGAACGCCTCCGTTTCGGCTCCCGAACGCCGGAAACCCAGAAGTAACTGCTCTGGTTTTCGAATTATTTTCTGAAGCCAAACGGCTTCTGAGCCGTTGTTCTTCATTTCTTTCCATTGTCTTTGCAGCCAGGCCACTGACCCTCGGTTTTTGAACTTTTCGGAAGCCGAACGGTCTTCCGGAATGGATTAAAAGATTTGGAGATATGCTTTAAGGTCCAGACTATGGGAAGTCCCGAAAAATTAATAATTATAATTTGGATGATAATTTGGTCTTTTTTTATTTTAGTTTTTTTTTAATTTTAATTGGATTATTATGATTCGATATGTTAATTGGATGTTTTTTATTGGAAAATTAATAAAAATGATTTAACAAAAAAAAAAGTTTGAAAACCGAGGTTACACTGTCTTATTTTCATCAGAGATGAAAAATGTCCAACTGCAGCGATAGGCAGTGCCTCTCCTGTGAGCCTCACCTGCTTGCAGAATCTGAGAAATCCAATCGAATAGGACATCCCTTGTAAACAGCACGTTCCATAGAGGCAGCTAGACCTAGGAAAAGATAAGACAAGCCCCCATCAATACAGGCTAGGAGCGCCAAGGGTATGCTGCAGGGGGACACTGCTAACCAATGGGGAGCAGTGGACATTTCCATATTAGCAGTCTAATATGGCAACTTACACAATGGGTTTCCCTCTGATTTCAGCCATGATGGTGCTCTCCCCTCCGAGGTACTCAAAGCAAAGGCTCAAAAAGCTGTAGATTACGAAGGCTGAAGCAGGGAAGGAGAGAGAATGGCAGTTAAAAACAGTCCACCCTGCAACTTATCTATATATATATGTTTACCACTGCTCATGAAAAGTGGTTTGCAACAGCCGTACATAAAGCCACACAATAAAAACCATATACAGTGGTACCTCGGGTTATATACGCTTCAGGTTACAGACTCCACTAACCCAGAAATAGTACCTCGGGTTAAGAACTTTGCTTCAGGATGAGAACAGAAATCATGCAGAAGCGGCAGCAGGAGGCCCCATTAACTAAAGTGGTGCTTCAGGTTAAGAACAGTTTCAGGTTAAGAACGGACCTCCAGAACAAATTAAGTACTTAACCCGAGGTACTACTGTAAAAAGTTAGAGATCAGCTAACTTATCATGGAAAGACGTATTTTTAATCGTCTGCATAAGCCTGACAGAATAGGGACATTTTCAGCAGGTGTTTAAAAGATGAAATGAAAGCAATTCTATTGGCAGACAGAAGACTGTGAAACTCATGGGCAATGGAAAAAAAATCGGTCCGCGTGGCCTGCAACAAGATGTTGCAGCGTGAGGTCTTCCTCGTTTAGCATTCCAGCCACTGCATACCCTCTCAGAGCCTTGCCACTGTCCATCTGCCTTACCAAGCAAACCCAGTCCTCATTGGACTGCTTTTGGAATTTCTCCCTTTCCCTGCACCCCCCCAAACAGACCAAAAAAGAGGTTTTGACTCTGCCAAAACTTGCAAGGTTCCCCCCCCCCCGCCATTTCTTGCTCCTCAGAAAGAAAGGTTTCCTTAGTTGTTGCATCAAAGAGCTGAAACACATGTTGGCGACGACACTGGTACTAGCCAGTTGATGCCTTCCACAGTTGACTTTTGCTGGATGCTTATGGAAAAAGAAAATTTATGTTGAGAGAAAGGAGGATTTGCAGAGCTCAGGCCTGGAGAGGAAGTGGTGTGCTTTGCACCGAAGAAGATAAGGATGCTGCCAATGCTCTAAGATGCGCCTGTCCTCAGCCACAGTGTTTCTGAGCCACACGCAGAACGTCTTGTGCAATTCACCACAGAAGTGTTTCTCGGAACAGAAATGAACTCCTTGCTCCTGAACTTTATTGCAAAAGAAACCCAGCCGTTTCAACATGTGCAGGCTGCTCGGGATCGAACAGCCCTGGGCGCACTCTTTTGCCGTATGCGGTGGGTGGCGGTGCAAAATCAGCCCACCGCAGAACGAGGCGCCCACGTTCCTAGGCCGAACCGCCAAACCCGGCTCACCTTCGTAGCAGTCGCGCACCGAGTCGAAATAAACGTAGTATTGGTGGCTGCCGATCAGCAAAAGGCTGAGCCACGAGTCGAAGGCGTAGATGGGCACGATGAATAGGATGCGGATGATGTAGCGCTGCTCATTGGGGATGGTGTAGCTTTTCAGGTGCAAAAAGATCTGGAAGAAAAGAAACGGGCAAGGCTGTGGGAAGCAGGAGATCTACTCCAGAGAAACACAAGCAGGCATAGGCAAAGTCGGCCCTCCAGATGTTTTGGAACTACAATTCCCATCATCCCTGACCACTGGTCCTGTTAGATAGGGATCATGGGAGTTGTTGTCCCAAAAACATCTGGAGGGCCAACTTTGCCTATGTCTGCAAGAGAGCAAGATTCTCCCATCCTGGTCTGCCCCACAGAGGACCTTGAGGTCCATGAATAACCATAGTTTAGAGATCCCGGGCCCTAAGGAAGTCAGACTATCCTCCACCAGGGCCAGGGCCTTCTCAGTGATGGCTCCGACCTGGTGGAATGCTCTGTCCCATGAGACTAGGGCCCTTCAGGATTTAACCTCCTTCCATCAGGACTGTAAGACAGAGCTATTCCACCTGGCCTTTAATATGAATTCAGCCTGATCTTTTATTTCCCTTCTCTTCCCTCCCCTTCCCCTTTTATGAAGATCACCAGCTCTGGGACCCCACAGCTAATTCTCCCCTGGCCTCCTCGCTGGCCCAAATAGGACCAATTCAGCCAGCTAGCCCTGGGGATTAACAAACTGATTTTTGAATTTTATTGTTATTCATGTTTTTATACTGTATTTTATGCTGGTTTTATAATTAAGTGTTTTAAAGTGTTTTAAATTTGTTGTTAGCCGCCCTGAACCTGGTTTTTGAATCGGGAAGGACAGGGTATAAATTATTATTATTATTATTATTATTATTATTATTATCCTCAGCCATCAGCCACATCGTCTGAGACCGATGGGAGTTGGGAGTCTGCAACCTCCAGAGACATCCCTGGTGTGGACAACACCGAGCTAGACACACCTATCATCCAGTGTGGTGTAGTGTGCCCGTGTGTGGTGTAGTGGTTAAGAGCGGTAGACTCGTAATCTGGTGAACTGGGTTCACGTCTCCGCTCCTCCACATGCAGCTGCTGGGTGACCTTGGGCCAGTCACACTTCTCTGAAGTCTCTCAGCCTCACTCACCTCACAGAGTGTTTGTTGTGGGGGAGGAAGGGAAAGGAGAATGTTAGCCGCTTTGAGACTCTTTCGGGTAGTGATAAAGCGGGATATCAAATCCAAACTCTTCTTCCGACTTGGCAAAAGGCCATTTCCAATGTTCTTTTGTTAATTAGCCTCGTCTTTAGAACATGAGGACTAGAATCTTGTTCTAAGCGCAAGCCTACAGCTCATTGGAATGCAAAGCATGCAATGCACTTGTGGTGCATGGAGAACGTCCAAGGTTCAGGTCTCTGGCATCTCCGAGCAGAGCTGGGAGAGAACCTTGTCCATAACCCTGGAAAGCTGCTGCCAGTCAGTGTAAGCGATATTGATCTCCATGGACCAGGGGCCTGACTCAGTGGAAGGCAGTTTCCTTTGTTCCTAGGAATCATGCTTGGTAAGGAGGAGCCCATTTTAATTGCTGCGGCACCTTCCAAAAAACTTAACGCAAAGATGTGTCGCTGTTAAGTGGTGTTTATTATGTCACCATTTTGGAGGGCCCAGGTCGCAAGGTGGTTAGGTTGATCTCAACTAGGGCCAGGGCCTTTTCAGTACTGGCCCCGACTTGGTGGAACGCTCTGTCCCAAGAGACTAGGGCCCTGCGGGACTTGACATCTTTCCGCAGGGCCTGCAAGACAGAGCTGTTCCACCTGGCCTTTGGTTTGGACTCAGTCTGACCCTTATGTTTCCCTCCCCTTACGGTTTTGATCTATGGGCTACTTTTAAAATGAGGCTGGATTTTAAATTGCATTTTAACCTGTATTTTAAATTGTTTCCCCCCTCCCCCTATTATGTTTTTACTGTAATTTTACTGTTGTTAGCCACCCTGAGCCCGGCTCTGGCCGGGAAGGGCAGGGTATAAATAAAATTTATTATTTTAGACTTGTGTCTTCCCTTGGCATGCTGGGAGTTGTAGTCCAACATCATCTGGAGGGCATGAACTTGGGGAAGGTGAACAACTGTAAAAAGGCCTGTTATATTATTATTATTATTATTATTATTATTATTATTATTATGCCTTTTCCCCAGATTGGGACTCAAAGCAGCTTACACAAATTTAAACAGCACAGATAAAATACAGAAAGTTAAAAAAAACACATACTTTTCTAAAAAATTGTTTAGGGGTACTCTCGTTTTGACTCAAGAAAACCACCATTTTATAGTTCAAATCGGGGGAAACAAATACAATAAATGGGACAAAAGTACAAAGATTCACAAAATGTTTAGGGGTATTGTCAGGGAACTGCCATCAGTACTGGAGGGAGAGCGCGGAGCCCAGCCAGGAAGATAGGCACCTGCTTACGCACGAGCAACCCCCTTAGGAACCATTACAGGTATGCATACAAGACAATTGTTAAAAGGTAATGAAATGTTTTTATTACCGGTATTTCAATAACACCACAGCACTATTTAAAAGCCCGTTCTTTAAAAAACAGTCCGTTCCCAAAGGAATAAAAGGAGGGAGAAGGAGGGAGCCAGTCTAGCTTATTTGGGAAGGAGTTCCAGAGCTGTTTGGTATCAGCCACTGAGAAGGTCCTCTCCCATATCTCCACCAAGCCTGCCTTATGGGTGGCAGGACTGAGAAAAGGGCCTCCACTAAAGATCTCGGAGCCTGGGGAGGATACGGTCTTTCTGAGAGCCTGGGGCCTCCAGCTTCCCCCAACTTACCTGGTGGCAAGTGATGACGAGGGCAGCCCACACAAAGAGGCCAGTGATCACCTTGGCCGCCGAAGTGGTCAGGAAGAGATGCTGGCTGTCTTGGGAGTGGTTCTGGTCGGCCCTCAGCTGGGAGCCATCGCCTACGACCAGGGGGCCGGAGCCCACCGCCGATGGGAGGAAATCCAAGCGCAGCGTGGCAGGAGACATGCTGCCAGGGGGAGAAGACTCGTTGGTGAGCGTTGCGTTGTTCATCTGGCAGAGAGGAGAGAGAGAGCAAAGGTGAGCTATCGGGAGATAAAAAGGTAACCTATGACACCTCTGCAGGAGGCACGGGGGAGAATCAGGGAACAGAGGGCTTTGTGTTTGCTCTCAGCTCTTTGCAATGACAGCTTTTATTGCACCCTTTTATTGTCCAAGGTCAGAATGGCAGACATGGCAGAGTTTAGACGCAGCTTCGTTAAACGGATCCTTGCCTGGAGCACACCTTTAGCTGAAAGGTATTCAGACTGAGACTTGGTATAAAGTAAGAAAGCTTGCATTTATTACAGGAAGTACATTCTTGATAGGGATGCGGGTGGCGCTATGGTCTTTTATAAAAAAATAAATCATTTTTATTGATTTTCCAATAAAAACAACCAATCAACATATCCAAATCATAATCCAATTAAAAATAATAAAATAAAACAAAAAATACCAATTATAGTCCAAAGTGTAATTATTAATTTTTCTGGGCTCCCCATAGTCTGGACCTCTGAAGCATATCTCCAAATCTTCGTTCCAGCCTCTTCTCGTTGTTTTCATATTTTCTGCCTTCTGATCTTAACGCTTTAAAGTTCTCCGTCCCTGGCTCTACAATTCTCAGTCATGTCAGAAATCATATATCCTTCCATCCGTCGAATACAGCTTTATTTGTGTATATATATATTTTTTCAACTGTCTATTTGCCAGCGCAGCTTTCCCTGACTAAATCACAGAGCCTAGGGCTTGCCGATTGGAAGGTTGGCGGTTCAAATCCCCGTGATGTGGTGATCTCCCGTTGCTCGGTCCCTGCTCCTGCCAACCTAGCAGTTCAAAAGCACGTCAAAGTGCAAGTAGATAAATAGGTACCGCTCCAGCGGGAAGGTAAACGGCGTTTCCGTGCGCTGCTCTGGTTCGCCAGAAGCGGCTCAGTCATGCTGGCCACATGACCCGGAAGCTGTCTGCAGACAAACACCGGCTCCCTCGGCCTTTAAAGCGAGATGAGCGCTGCAACCCCAGAGTCGTTTGCAACTGGACCTAACAGTTAGGGGTCCCTTTACCTTTACATTCTTGACAGGAATCAGAGAACCATAGCGTCGGAAGGGACCCTGAGAGTCATCTAATCCAACCCCCTGCAATGCAGGAATCTCAATGAAAGCATCCATGACAGTTGGCCATCAGACCTCTGCTTAAAAACCTCCAAGGAAGGAGAGCCCATCACCTTCTGAGGAGTCCATTCCACTCTCAAACTGTTCTCAACCTTAGAACATTTTTCCTGTTGTTTAGTTGGAATCTCCTTTCTTCTAATTTGAATCCGTTGGTTTGGGTCCTATCTTCTGGAGCAGCAGAAAAAAAGCTTGCTCCATCTTCCATGAGGAAGCCCTAAAGATATTTGAAGATGTCTACAGGACCGCCTTTCCTGGTATGCCCTGCGGAGGACCTTAAGGTCCACAAATGACAACACTTTGGAGGTCCCAGGTCTCAAGGTGGTTAGATTGGTCTCAACTAGGGCCAGGGCCTTTTCAGTACTGGCCCCGATCTGGTGGAAAGCTCTGTCACAAGAGACTAGGGCCCTGTGGGACTTGACATCTTTCCGCAGGGCCTGCAAGACAGAGCTGTTCCACCTGGCCTTTGGTTTGGACTCAGTCTGACCCTTCTGTTTCCCTCCCTTTATGGTTT